CCCCAATCACTCACAGTACACTCATCACAACCCTGACAGATACCCACACACAGCAACACTATTTGCTCACATCTACCCAAACACAACACACACACAGACAGATGCAACACTTACAGCAACTCCACACTTGCAGAAAACACAGTAACCTCTCTCACACAGACTTCTAATAAATATTCCTGAGTGAAACCTAATGAAATGTGCTGCACATACCTATGACTATAACATTAGGAATACAAACATGCATTACTAAAACTATAGTGTTCTGCTAACTAATTGGATTTCTGACACCCCACGCTTACACAAAACACATTAACCCCTCGTACACAGCCATCTAGTAAATACTCTCAAGTGCACACCCTAATAAAATCTCCTGCACATTTCTTTGACTATAAAGTTAGGAATACAAACATCTATTACTAACACTATTGTGTTCTTCAAACTAATTGGATATCCCCCACCGCCTGTGTGCAATAAATAAAAGATTTACTTACATTTAGCCATCACTGCGTCAGTCATTGTGCGTGCAGGCTTAATGATCTTAGCTAATCCAATACTTCTCCATAGGGAAAAATTTGGACGCAACTGCGCATGCACAGAAAATCGCTGAGCTGCACCAATCAACTTCTCGATCTAGAGATGCTATGAATTAATGCACAGCTTCGAGACTCTGATCGTAAGTCCTGCAAATATTGTAGGACCTAACCCAGAAAGTCACTTTACCGACTGTCTGAGTGATAGCTACTAGAGGTGGATTTTCAGTATAGGCAGCAAATACACTACTGGCCATGCAAGGACAAACTATAGTGTCCCTTTAAATTAAACAAAAAAAGCAAAAGGTAAACAGGTTTTTATTTATCTTTTTTTTTCCAGTGCAAAGACTCATTCAGTTCTCCCACCCACTCATCATCTTAAATGACTTCTTGTCTAAATCAATGCTTCTCACAGAGAAGCATTGCTTCAGAAAGCACATGCATGGCATGCACTGTGCACGCCCAATCTAATGTCCTATGCAGAAGCACCTCTAGTCGAAGATACGATCTGGCTGATAAAATTATGAAGTCTCTGTAAGGTTGATTGTATTCACTACCAATTGAACTAAAACTACATTGAGTCAAATAGATTTGTTATTTTCAAAAGGGTCTTATTGCTACTGTGGGACTGCTTTGTTAATAGGTCAGAACAATTGCAATTGAATGGCAGAAAAAATTCCCTGTTATGGAAAGAAAAAATATTTAAAGTATTAATATAGGGTTTCGGGGGAGTTATTGTTGAGCAATCTTTATCGAGTTGAAGGCGTAGTGTTAGGGTAACTTGGGGTTAGGAGGGATTAGCATTAAGAGTTTAATTCTCTTCTTCTTTATCAAAGGAAATGCAGAGGTGATTGAATAAATAGCCGGGCAAATGCCCATTGGGCCGGGATGGCCATGGGCCGAGGCCGACATGGGAGATCAGTGTATCTCCCGTGCCGGCCCAAGCAGAGCCAGCGCTATCAGAGAGCCGGCCCTGCTGGGTGCCCACATGGCACTGAGGGGAAGGAGGGAGAAAGGACCCGGGAGAGCTCTATCCTGCAGCTCCGCTGGGTTCTTCTCGCGAGATCGTATTCATTACACCAGCATATTTAGTCAATATCTTTTACTCATATCATATAGCCATTACATAGAATCGTCTTTAATATAGATATAGGGGATTTTCCCTGCAATTCATTTTTTACTCGACTGTACCTTGCTCCTATGCTGAAAAATAAACGGAGAGGAGAACTTTAGATTTGTTTGTCTTATAGGATGCTAATAAACTGTTATATTGATAATCACCAAGAATTGTTTCATTGCATACATACCTTCAAAAATCTGGGACGCAATGATAATGGGTTCATGTGATTGACCCTCTAGTGATTTGCTATCTAATAGAACCATGATATTGTAAATGTATTAATGGAGGGCATCACTTTAACTGATGTAGCACAGACGCCCGTCGATGTGAAAATTATAATTCTAAGCATTACATCCATTAATGTAAATGTAATCTTATAGCAAAAATAAAATATATATTGAAAAAATAAAATAAAACTAAGCTGAGTTAATCGATGGTGAAAATCATTGCCTGTTATCTGCTGGTTTTACCTAACATGTTCATGCATGGGTTAATTCAATGTACTAAATGTAATGCAAGGGTTAATTATCCCTCAATTAACTAATTCTCTCTATGAGGCTTCATACTGGTGATATGTAATGCCAGTTACCTGACAGGACAATCTAATTGTTGTGATGGAATATTGGGCATGCATCTTATTATACTTAAACTGCTCAGGGACTTATTTTATTTGATCCTAAAGAGCCTGCCTGGTGAAAACCATGTTTTGGGGGCTATAACTTTGAAATCTTTATAGGTGTGCAGAGGTTATACCTCTGGAAGCGATAGCTAAGTAATACCTATATTCAATCAGATACCTAACAGATATTTAGACTGACCGTTTGCTGAATGGCAGCACCGAGACGTTTTGATGGAGCATAATAAGATTGAGCTAGTTAGTTTACCTCAAAGATTAGATGCCCAGGAAGTTACAGTATAGACTAGTACTACTTAAGCTCCAAGATTAAAAAACTATTATATTAGCATTTCTCTACCTCTAATTCTTAGCCAGATCGCAATTTTTTTTCTTGGGTACATAAGACACTTTAGTATGAAGCAGAATATCTTCCCTTTGGGTGTATTCCCACTAGTTACAAAACTCAGCTGATATATTGATACACTCACTTCACTCAATCTGATTCTCAGTGAATCGCTACATTTGCAGATACTTTTAAGAGGTTTCACTACTAATTTGACTATGTGTTGAAAGGATACCCAATACTAGGAGTATGCTTATATAAAACTGGCCAAACTACATATACCTATCCCTATTATCTGGTTCCGGATACCTATGAATTGGAGTGTAATTTGTAAATATCCATAGTTTCTCCCTTTTTTTTTCCCTATATGTTATCACTAAAAACTGAGAGACTTTGGCTCATCTATTTTAGTAGATGTTTACCTTCTTGTATATAAGCTTTTTTTTTGTCCAGCTTTTTGGGATGTGTATTCCAGTATATAGAATGTGACGGCAGATAAGAACCATTCGGCCCATCTAGTCTGCCCAATTTTCTAAATACTTTCATTAGTCCCTGGCCTTATCTTATATCTGGCAACTGTTTAATGTATTTGGCCTTCCCTAGATTAATCATTGAAATATGAGGATTGTTGCATTGTGTGTGTGTGTGTGTGTGTATTTATTACTGTTATTTTTCACACAAAGTGACAAGTTGTTGTTTTTTTTGGTTTCTGTTGCACTAAGCTATATTCAATTTTAATATAAACTCGTTCTAGACCAAAATAGTTTTTTGGCAACAGTTTAAGCAGACAATCTAAGTGAATACTTTTTGAGTATATGAAGGCCAGAGTGTGGTATTATTTTGTATATTTATTGAAGGCAGTTGTTGGTGGGTGTGTGCCTCAGTACCAGTACTGATGAGACAGGTGAGTACCACCATAATAGCTTCTTTTTCTTGTTTTTCAAAGTTTACAAATAAAAGTTTTTTTGCCACGAACACCAGCCTATACAATGCTTTAACTGACAATCCCAATATCATGCTTCCAAATTGTCCAGCTCTTGGTGGGACAGTTCTGCTTTAGTTCCCAGGTTTCCCACTTTGACCCATAGCAGCACAACACAAGCACATCATTAGGTGCGATCACTCTGTGCAGAAGGCACTAGTTCACAAAGTGAATTTCAAATATAAGGTCAAAATAGCCTAGCTGAAAACATTCTCTAAGACAACTAGCTATTATTTTGCTTTGGCTTCTTTGGTTTTAAATTAAAAATCCTCCTTCAATTCTCAAAGCTGCTATCTCAAAGGTCTATTTTACAGAGCTACTCACCACTGCAAGCCTGTAGGGTCCATGGCACAATCACCAAGGGTGAGTTCCTACTTGCCAAGGCTACTTTTTCACTTGCTAATGGCTACTGGCAAGTGAAAATGTTGAGCCCTGATTGAAACCTATAATTATAGATCATTCTCTCTGCAAATTATCTTCTCCTGAGAACTGTATGTTCCAGCATTGCTACCCTGTGCCTTCATATTCTCCCTTAACTTCCAGTGATAATGGAAAAATATTTTCATTCTCCAGGAATAAACACCTCCCAAAAATATACTGTCCCAAATTTACTTACATAATTGGTATTACAAAATATTGGGGTTATATATATGAGGAAATCTTTAAAAGTACATCAATCTGCAGCAACATCCTATTGGTACCCATGGTGACTATACCACTTTTACTTGAATACCTGACCCAGAATATGTTGTCCTTTACAAATTGTATGTTGCATTGTCTGTTTAATATTTGTATAAAGAATGAATTATGTCAAATGAGGATGATCATTTCTTTTAAAATGTTCTGTGTGCAGGGTCCCTATCCTTTTAACCCTGCAATGCAAAACATTTAAAAAGTTTTTGAGAACTTAAAGTCCACCCCTAGTATGACAAACCTCTGCTGCATTGAGCTAGCACAACAGTAACCTGATGCAGAAACCCTATAGGAAATAATTGATTCAATGCTTTCCTATGGGGAAGTTTCAATGCATACTCACCAATACTCCTCTAAAAGAAGCATTGGATTGGTCATTGCTGGAGGAAAGCCATGCCTCCTCCATGATGTGAGCAGCATCCCTCCCTACTCCGCTCCCCCCCCCCCCCATTTTTAGTGAAAAGGACGTGGAGAGGCTCTGATTACAGCTACAAATATATCCGGTATTGATATTTAGTTACCTTTAAAGCCTGTGCTGTCTGTATTCTGGTTACTAAAACATCCTGATCATTAAAGGGACACTCCAGGCACCCAAACCACTTCTGCCCAATGGAGTGGTCTAGGTGCCAATACCCACCACCCTTAACCCTGCAAGTGTAAGGTGTCTATTCAAGTAGACTTTTTTTGCGCTGCTATAGGAGTAAAGAAAGATGAGCAACTGTTTAACTCTTTTTAATCACCATTTTCATAATTACAAAAAGAAAATTGTAGTTTTTAATTAAAAAAAATTTTTAAACCCTCATTCATAAAATATTCATAAGACAGATGGTATAGTACAACAGAAATTTGACAAAACACGTTCCTTTTAGTGTACCAGTTTGATTTGCGGCTGTACAAAGTGTTAAAGGTTTAGTGGCTTATTAAAAATACGATGTTTGTTATTAATGAACACTTAAAAAAATCACAGTTGTTTTATCTAGGCAGACATTAACAGTTTACCTTCCTCTCATTATACTTGCTCTTTAGATTTCTAATCTATCAGACAGCCACTACACGGACTTCTGGCTTCTTAAAGGACCACTCTAGGCACCCAGACCACTTCAGCTTAATGAAGTGGTCTGGGTGCCAGGTCCTTCTAGGGTTAACCCATTTTTTCATAATTATAGCAGTTTCAGAGAAACTGCTATAATTATGAATGGGTTAAGCCTTCCCCCTAATCCTCTAGTGGCTGTCTCATTGACAGCCACTAGAGGCGCTTGCGTGCTTCTCACTGTGATTTTCACAGTGAGAAAGCGTCCCATTGTAAATGCTTTCCTATGCGGCTGAATGCGCTGCAGCCTGCTGCGCGCGCATTCAGCCGGGCGGGCAACGGAGGCGGAGAGGGAGGAGGAGAGCTCTCCGCCCAGCGCTGGAAAAAGGTAAGTTTAAACCCCTTTCCCCCTTCCAGAGCCGGGCGGGAGGGGGACCCTGAGGGTGGGGGCACCCTCAGGGCACTATAGTGCCAGGAAAACGTGTATGTTTTCCTGGCACTATAGTGGTCCTTTAACGTTATGCATGAGGACCTCCAGCATTGCCGGAATCCCCATAGGAAAGCATTGAATAATGCTTTCCTATGGGGAGGTCTAATTCGCGCGCTGCCATTCCCACACATGCGCATTGAGTCTCCCCCACTGATATCAGGAGTGTGGGCGGAGTTTGATTCAGATAAGTCACTGAAGGGGTTTTAAGGATTCTGCAGTGCCAGGAAAACGGATTTGTTTTCCTGGCACTGGAGAGTCCCTTTAAGTTTGAATGTACCGTGTCTATTCAGGTTTGGTTTTGCGCGGCTACAGGAGTAAAGAAAGAAAGACTGAGCAGAACAATCACCTAAATCTAGAATAACATTTTCCTTTTCTGTCACTACACTTAAACTTTGAACTATGATCCTACAGTGACATCACATGGTGTATTTTAGAATTACATTGAAAATCTTTTCATTTCTAAATCTTTTTCTGCATTCATCTACATTGATTTTGTTTAATAAATTTCCATCTGACGTTTTGCCATTTCTTGTGTACACAGCTATTTCGAAAGATCTTGGATCAAATAAAATCAGTGGTAATCTGACTTAAAATCACTCTCGCAAGTCTGTTTGCTGCATAGTGATTACCTCCCCTATTATCTCTACAAGCCTGCTGAAACTAGCTATGCACACTGGGTTAATTAATGAGAACAGAATCAGGTGTAAATTGCAGTAAATATAAGCAACACGTTCACAAGTAGGTATGTAATGCTTACTATATATACGTTAAAACTGCAGTGTTTAAACTGGGGACCAACACATTTTATTTGAATTGTGTACACTACATCCTGCCTAAACTCTTGAAGGCAGTTTTCTCACATCTATTTGGCCCAGGAGAACAGAAAATTTAGCACTGAACCATTAAAAATACAAAATCTAAATTATTTTGTCACGCAGCATTATAAGAAAGCTAGAGGTTCTTTCCGTATGTACGCAAGTTTACATATATACACACACACTCTCTATGGAGAGTGTGTGTACCTAGTACAGAGGATTCTTTTTGTGCATGAGGAAAATGCAATGATTCCTAAAATATTTGTTGAACAAGAATTTTAAGCACAATTAGTCCTCCCACCCCAACTCTCAGTGTGAGAGTCTGTTGCTGCACATAATGTTTTACATACCATTGCATGAATTTGCTGCATTGTACAGAGCTATTAAATTTAACTGATACAGTAATATTGACTTAACCCATCACATCTTAATTTTAACCAATTAAAACCACTAGCATAACATTTCTGGCATTGCAAACCTGCCTATTTTAATCTAAAATGTGACAGGATATTTCCAGCAAAGCCTTTAATATAAGGATTGTTTGGGGGCAACTGTTTAACTCCATTTTTAATCACCATTTTCATAATTACAAAAAGAAAATTGTAGTTTTTAATAAAAACATTTTATTTTTTTAAACCCTCATTCATAAAATATTCACAAGACAGATGGTATAGAACAACAGAAATTCGACAAAACACATGTTCCTTTTAATGTACCAGCTTGCGGCTGTACAAAGTGTTAAAGGTTTAGTGGCTTGTTAAAATACCATGTTTGTTATTAATGAACACTTACAAAATCACAAATAGTTGTTTTAACTAGGCAGACATTAATAGTTTACCTTCCTCTCATACCTTGCTATTTAGATTTCTAATCAACAGCAAGAGATGGCCAGCCAACACGTAGCAGCCAGCTGTTCAGAACTTTTGTTACCCTGATGCTTTGCCACTGTAAAGGCTGGGCAAGCCTAATTGGAGTTGTCAGAGGTTATCTTTTGGCCAATGTGCAATAAAGACATGTGTCAGACTAAAGATGATGCAGCCGTGATACAGTTATCAGTGTGATATTGCTGGAAGTGGAACTTTCAATGCTTGTTGTCTCACCTATTTGTTTCAGGTGATACAGCATTCTATTACAAAATTAACATAATACGTGCATAAAAACTGTACGAATATGCAGAGCAAAATCTACAAGCCAGCACCCTAATCAGATTTGCCTTCATCCCTATCTAGCTATTAATCATGTTGATTAAACCACAATTACAGTAGAATATTACAGTAATGAAATGGATAGAGCATGCCAATGAAAAGATAGTTATATGTTTACAACATAGCATAAGCTCTTTCACTTCACAACATTGCAAGTGAGATGGCTAATACTACTAGATACGCTTAAATAGAATTAGAGGATAAACAAACATATATGGCCTCTATTAAAACGAATCTGAAAGATTTTAACAAACGTCTCTTAATCATCTATGCTGTCAAATATATAAAAATTGCATTTTTTTTTATTTTTTTTTTACACTCTACATTTATCCTCACAGTTTATTTCAATTAAAAAATATATTGTGTCCAATGCTGAACTACAGTCCAAACCTCAGGCATTTAAAAAAAAAACCATCCATTTCAATCACTTATTGACAGCAGTCAGATAACTCCGAACCCCCAGCTTCTCAAAGCTCTAGCACAGATATATTCCACCCCTTGGAAACCTTTCAGACAGACAGCAATCCATTTACAGCTCTTATGGGAGCAGGAAACAGTGCTGACTTCTAAAAACTTGAACTTATGTTGATAAGTAATTGTATATCTCGAAAGTTAACAGCTCCAAAGCTATAGAAAATAACCCAGTAAGAGAGGCCTGAGAGGGTTTACAAACACTACACACAATGTTATATCTGTCAGAGGTCCTTGATTGACCACAGAATGGTAAAAAGATATCACAGCCTTTGTTCTGAACCAAATACAGCTCAGACAAAGACAAATGTAATAAATGTTATTTCCGTATGACAGGCTCAGGATTGGCAAAAGTAATTCTGATAGTAAGGTCCATCACATATGCAGAAGGTCAATCTTCAAACCACTTGCTCCTTTTTATGGGAGTTTGGGCACTGGACTTCCCAAGGATTTTGCGCTTATATTGTTCCACAAGTTGGTTAAAACGTGTCTCTGCCTGGTTCTTACTTGGTGGTTTCTTCTTGGTAGGTGCCTAAAAATGAAAGGAAGTTATTCAATGTCACAATTTAATTAAAAACTAAAGCAGTGAAAAAGAAAATTCTTGGTCAAGGCATTAATCTGGCAACTGATAGCAATCCTGTTTTGTGGTAATCCCTGCATAAGCAGTAATATAATAAAATAAAGTTTTTTGTAATATGGTAAACCATTTTCACAATACCAGACTTTATATTACGCAATGAAAGAAATATTGCACAGCAAGAAAAGATCTGTTGTTCCTTTTAGGATTAGAAGTGGTGGAGTCCTAAAGCAGCTGACTGTTGTTGTACATTCCATTGTATGATTGTCTAGCCTTTGTCATGCAGCTTTTATTGAACTCTTTACTATTCTGAGGACTACCTGTCAACACTTGGAAAATTATTATATTTCACATAAATGACTGCACTGTATCAAAATAAATAAAATGTCTGGATTGATAGAAAAATAAATTTAAAAAAATACTATTGAGGTGCAATGTGTCTTATCCTCTGTGTAGACTCACCTGTTTTGCAACTTGACGTTGCTGTTTCCGGCTTACTCCTTGAGATTTTGGTTTCTTTGGGGGCAGCTGCTGAACCTTGCCCTTATCACGGTGCCTGAGGATAGAGAAATTGTTTATCAGATTTATGTGTAATGGGTTCTACACATGAGGATCCTAATTAACAGATATTACAGTCATTCTTGCAGGTGAAATTGCCTGGGGCTCAGGCAGCATGTAATGGTGGAGGAAAGATGGAGGTGCAGAGACGGAAGTATATTTTTCTAATTTACTCATCTGGATACATCATACATAAGTGAGATTATATTAAGTTTATGCTTAAAGGCACAAGAAAAAAAAAAAAATAATCCCGAAACATGGAACTGCTTTACATCCCAGAAAGGCTTACTACATGCACACACAATTTACAAGTTGGAAGTATCGGATTAAGGTGGATGGTATTCGACCGCTCACCTTATTTTGGGACCTTTATGAGAAGGCATTGGTAGGACTTTCCTCCTCTTCTTCCCATCGGAAAGCTCCTCATATTCCACTTCGTCTCTAGTTTTGAAGCCAGACCATGATGTAGATCCAGTGGCTCTCTTTTCCTCCTGCTTTTCCATTGATAACACTTTATTTGTATTATCAGGCAATGCTCTCTTGGATGGCTTCTGAGGATGTGTCGCTGCAGATTGTACCTTATTAGGGGTAGCCTCCGTTGTCTTGCCTTTTGCTGGCTGAGCAACAGATGCAGTTACAGCTTTTTCCGGTTTATTGGGTCCTTTTTTCCCAGTGGTTGCACCAGATTTTGTTGCAGGGGCGACTGCAGGGGTGACTCCTTTTCCAGGTGTTTTTTTATGGACGTTTGCTTGAACTGGCTGACCACCACCAAAGGCCTGAGCTTTAGCCTCCTTCTGTCTGAGCACCTCCTACAATGAGAGAAATTGTTTCAACATTCTGAACATATATCACAAGAAGCAAAAACAGTCAGCTTGCTATTTAAGAAGAAAACAGACGTGCAAAAAATAACATCAATAAATACTACACTATAAGGGATATTTTATAGATTAATTCTGGTCAGTACCCCCCTTTTAGAAAATACTTTCAGTGTTTGGTATATTACACTGGATCTAGACAAACATCCCTGTGTGAAGCACTGCTTTATTTCTGTCTAGAGAGAGGTGGCTGCTTAGTGGATATCTCCCTCTCCAAGAGATAGTTTTGTTGCTTTTTAAGAAATATACATAAGTACTTTGTCACTATTACCATAAAACAGAAGGTGTGGATGAAAAAAAAAAAAAAAAAAAAAACAAGTTCTCAAACAACAACAGGAGACATCCTAAACCTTACTTGTACATAACCACTACAATCGGTACACAAATAACTCATATTGGTCTTATTACCAGGCTTCTCTGTGTCCTTTTTTCCTTTAACTTCAGCTTATTCATGTCCTCCAAGGAGAACTCAACAATTGGCCTCTGAAGAAAAACATTAGAATTCAATACAATTTTATATACACAACTATACATCTTTTTTCTCTCTCTCATATTTGCTGTATTTTGAGGGTTTTCTTAGCACACAAACTGCTAAATGCAAGGAAAATGGCTACATAAAAGATTGTGTTTGTTCACACTTTATGCTATATCTTGAATTTACAACATGTTAAGTTTAGTTGAATTCAGTAGAAAATAGAAGAAAATCATCCTGTCTGAAATGTCCACTAAAGGCAAAAAAGTCCAGTTAGGGTAGAATACAGTATTTTACCCTTTTTCATCCTGTTATATTACTAGCAAAAGATGTAAAAATAAACATCTGGAATATATGGCACCAGTAGAGTTCAGCAATTAAAATTTTTTTACTTGTAAATGATGCCCCTGGGCTCTAAGTCCACGCTTACAGAATAGGCAATTTGACTTTAAAAGAAAATAGTTGAAAACATTTGTTACCGGAAAACAGTCTCTAAAAAAGATTTCTGCAAACTCCATGTGGCTAGCCCACCAAAACTTTCTTCCTCTAACATTTTTTTCATATTGTCATTAGCATTCCAGTTCTCACCTTCTTTGAGCCAAAGTATTCTGGGTTGTTGTTGACGTTTCTTAGTGCTGTCAGAGCATGTTCATGCTCAGAAAACTCCACAAACGCATAACCCAAAGACTGACCCTTATGGTTTCCTCCAACACCTTTCAGATCCCTCATTACCCGAGACTGCAAAGAATGTGAAAAAAAGAGAACTTCACTGTAGACGGTCATGTGTATGGGTAAAGACAGCAGGTAAGGTGAATGGTTATTACACTTGGTAGAGGTCATGTTGATGTGTCTGTTTGCTTTTACATACACCGAACTTGAGTTTATTTAGTAACTTTCTGTAAAGGGAAACTTTCATTTCCCAGGTTTTTTAGTATTGTATTTACTCATCTCTATATTTAACAAATCTGTATTTGTAAGGTGTGAAAAATACAACTACATTTACATACCCACACGTCGTTGTCCCAGAGGTGGGTTCCTCCATCTCAGCATCCTTTCAGTCAATGTTCTAAGCTTTGTTGTTTGCACCTGGCAGTCAGCTTACAGAAAGTACACAAAGAATATCTCTACTCTTGCTTTGCAATAATTGCAAAACAAGATTAGATCCAGATTCAGGGTTCTATATATAGAAAAGCTGCCACTCTTTAGGCACACTCCAACGAATAACGCGGCACGAAACGCGTTGAGCTCTCTACATCAGCAGCTTAGCAGTCCAGAGACCTTCAAGACACCACTGGAGTTCCATTCTTGCTTGTGTTGCAAGTATATTCCAGCCCTGGGGGTCGCGACCAAGGGTTGTGTGCTTTTTCATCTGTAAACTTGTCAGCTTAGTGGTTGTTGTCGGGCTTTTGTTCCCTGGCCTCATAATAGGACTGGCTTGTACTGTTGTGTTTTATTCATTTATATATTTTTAATATCTACTATTGCAAGTTTTGCATAATAAAATGTATAGGTTTTTATTTCACTGTTTTTTTTAGTGTCTAGCGCCCTCATTAGATGGGTTTATACCCATCTTTTTTGTATATTTGCAATAATTGCACTGGAGAATACAGCAGTGAGGTTTATGGGATATCCAGCAATTCCACGGGAGACTCCATAGACCAATGTCTGAGTTCCACGACCACCAATTGTGCTCTGCCTTTTGTAAACCTCAGATTTATCTTAAAGCAAAGACCTCCAAATTCTGTGAAATTCCACTGCAGTCTTGATCAGTATTTCATAAAAATATTATATTTTCATTTATATACAGAAAATTGACTTTAACTTCTACAAGTTCACATCGGCATTATTTTTTTAAACTTCTACAATACATCTGCTTTTTTATGTTTCATTTCAGAATTCAAGTGGTGAGAAGTCAAAATGCTAGTGATGGATAATTCAACAGAATGGTTTTAAATGTATCATTGCAGGGATTTCTAAATTATTGCAAGATTAGCTTACCTCCTTTATTTTAACGGATCGTCCTCCTCCAGCTGCTTTTAGAAACAACTGCCGTAACTTTTTGTCATCCACAGATTTAGGAATATTGTGAACACACAGACGGGTCTTGGAGACAAAGATATGCTGTAACTTCAGTTTCTGGCGCTTGGTTTCTTCAAACTGATAGAACAGAACAAAATAAAATTGGAGCTCAAAACTTGAAACCGTAGATAGTTTACATAGAATACCCATTAGTAAATTCCAAACTCATGATTAGGCCATGAATGTCATGAAAGTCACAAAGAGGTTATAAATGCACAAAAACCCACAGCAGCTTTTACAAGTTACTTAAAAGATACTTTATAGCCTGTATCACGGTCCTAGAGGTTAAGTTCTCATGCCAGAGCACTACATGGACCATAACAAACAAATATTTAAATGTAACAAATTATTAGCTGCTGTTTGTGTATGCAAGAAAATGGTACACTGAATAAAATAAATCACTGAAATGTTCATAAAATAGGACAATTCAGCCGAAAATTGCATTTTATAGAGCTGAGAAGAACACAAATCAGTTGTACCTAGAGGATAGTATGTTATATGCGTGAGCTAGCTTTACATCAAAATATCAGCCTCTCTCTACAATTAACACTTACCCGAGCTCTTTTGGCCAAATCCTCTGCACTTACTCCTTCTGCAGCTTTAGTTCCTTCCCGGATCACTGAAGACAAACATCAAATCCCAAATGGTTAGAAATGAAAATATATTTGAAAAGGTTTGTGTAAAACCAATTAAGAAGGGTGTGGTATGTCTACAACCCACTGTGGTGGATATGGTACTATGAGTACCCTTCCACCCTCCCTGAGTAAGTAGTCAAACTGTTTAAGAATGATTTGAAAACTTACCTGGGCACCCATGACTGCAGCCCTGCTTCTGGATTCTCCAGCAAGGAGAATACAGTTAGTTTTTCTGAGCATGTCCCATGTCAAGGCATGTCCCATTGGTGAGTGGGTAAGGTCAGCCAGAAATCGCTCTCCTGTATTGGGCTGTGCTTAGCTGCAGGATAATGCAGGTACGGGTGTGTATGCTACTCAGGTAAGTTGTTAAACATTTCTTAAACAGTATGGCTACTTACTCTGGGTTACCTCCAACAGATGCAACTACAATATTCACATTAAAGATACTCACTTCCTTCTCTGGCCAGATACAGGTTTCTAACTCCTGTTGGTTTTTTAACCTTTTTTTCTCGTAATTTCACAGCTTCTTCCTTAGTCACTGCAAGATCCACCAATAACTTTCTGCCATCCAGTTGAAGACCACCTTTCTGAATGAGGTCATGCATGAAAGAAGACACAATAACGGAGTCTCATGTAAAAAGCCTTTGAATAAGTACCTTGTATAAAAATCTGCACAGGACAACTATAAATGTTGGTGGGTGGGTGTATATTGTTGCTTGCTAAAGATCATAATAATGCTCAATTGGTTATTGCCCATATATGGCTATAGTTTTACAAATATCCCCATGTGTGTACTGAAAAACACTTTGTATTGGTTAACAATTTAATGCGAGTGCTAGCAATAATGGATATGTACTATTACTATAGCATATCCTTCTCTGCTTCTGACCTCCATCTGGAGACACCGGGGAATCCGTGACATGTATGTGATTAAAGTATACAATAAAATGGCAGTGCACATCTATGCAAAATACAGTATAAAATATCTCTCAAGTCAACTATTCACACATTGACTACAGACAGACAATCATAGCAGTTTGGAGGAATAATCAATATTAGATCAGATTCTTTCATATCCCCTTAATCTACTCTGTTGGGATATGGTTCGTAAAGAAAGCTAGTACCTCCGATTCATCTTTAGCAACTGCTAGGCACTTCTCAACTGCTGCTTTATCCACAAACTGAACAAAGGCACAGCCTGAAATAGATGAACAGAAAACAAGTATTTACACATTCAAGTCTTCAGAAATCACTTGCTACAAGCCATTTTCCTGTCCACTGGGTAATTATGTGCTTGACTTAAAAACCATCACGGAAAACGGTAAAGATCTTCTAATAATAAAAAAATAAATGTAGAGTAGCACCCTTAAAAAAAAAAAAAGACTGAAAATTGTCCAAATACACTAACATAATGTTCATATATAAACGCACTTCACAGAATTCCAAACATAAATTGGCAAATCTGCCTTCCAGGTTGGCACCATAAGAGAAAGATGATATATAGAATACTGACAGCATAGCATAACATTTTAGAAAAACACTTTTTACTCATTTGTGAAGAAAAAAATATTAATCAAACAGACATATCTAGTGCAGTGGTCATACAGAATCCCAGTTCTGCAGGAACAAGCTCTTCTCTTGAAGCCACCCCCCACCAAATACACCCGCCTTATGTATTTCATCTGAGAGACTTCAGCAGAAGAACTTGTTGCGGCAGAATCAGGAATCGTACTTGACATGCCTATTTTTTACATGAGGAAATAAAGTGTGTTTTCTAAAAAATTTGCCACACAGTCTGTAATAATATTTAATATCTCTATCTCTACCTCCTATGGTGCCAGCTTCGAAGGAAATATGTCTATCTACCCTAGCTGGTTTGTGATCAAAGGAAGATGTGCTGGTAGAGATCAAAGGAAGAGCTCAGAACTAGAGATTAGTTTTTACTTGTATTACAAACACCATCTATTAAAAACCATGGTGGGTCAACCATTCTACACTTATATACTATATTCTTATATAAATGTAAATAAATCTATACATACTTTCTATTCAAAGGCATTTATGGAAGATTTTGGAATAAATTAAGACCCCTACCAGAAAGGAGGAGGAGGAGAGAGAAAGCCCACAAAACAAAACTCATACAAGCTCATCCTCCATTTATTACAGACCTTTAGAGTGCTCAGTCTCCGGGTGTACCACTATTCGGACATATTTAAGATTTCCAAAGCAAAGTAGCAACCTCTCCAGATCCTCTTCCTCAGAATTAAAGGACAAGTTCCTTGGTCAGAGAGAAAAATGCAGTTAAGAAAAGATTTTGACTTCATTATGATGTCTTTATTATTAGCAAATACCAGAATTGTGTGTATGTAAAGTGTCAGAATATCCGTCTTGTTCTTAAAAATTCTAAGTTAACATGGTCAACTCCAATGGATCCTTGCTAAACACCGGGATAGATTTGAATCTTACAGCTGGCGGTTCTACAATATAGTCACAAAGGACTACATCCATCAGACATGGGCACAGGGCAAAGTAGCACAAAGGAACAATCCATGCACCATAACCACTACAGTGCACCTTAGAATGGATTGACTTGCTACCGGGAGTTCGCCAGGCAAAACTCTCTGCCTCCACTACACCCAACAGAGCATGAAGACACCTGCCTGAGCAAAAATAGCCAACCTGCGAATAAAGCAGAGCTATACAAGTCTGCTCTTACAGGGACTCTCCAGTGCAAACATTTGTAACCCCCGTTAAGACGTTCTGTGACTGTGCAATCACAGACTTCCCAATCCAGCTCAATGAGAAGTCTTTGTAAGTCAGGTGCTCTGTGCAAAAAACAAAAACAAAAAGTCACACTCTTCACACAAAGCTTTTCAGCAAGCAAAAGTTGTTTAGTTACACAACTTTGAATTGACCCTTTAAGTATTCAAAACTTGGTCTTCAGAGAAAAAAAAGGCCTATAAGTGGAGTCAAATGAATGTACTTTCTTTACAATACCAAGGATATCAGACATTGACACGCCAAGTGCCATAATCACTGCAGCCCACTGTGAGAGTGCGCTCCTCAAATGAGCATAGCCCTGCTTAGCTCTGTAAGCAGAAAAAGACTTAAAGCAAAGGCTGTGGCCACGGATAATGGTAGGACACAGATTAGCTGTCAAATTGTACGAATATGGTTTCGCCAGTGCAATCCTAACACTATAAACACTTTTTGTGCCTAATCATTAAATTCATGAAGCACCATAATCAAAAAGCAATAATCAATTACCCTAAGGTTTTTAAAGATATTGGTGGGCACCAAAACCCTATTCGAGATGAGTGAATTGAGTATTTGAGAAAAGGAAGACACTGACATCAAGTACCTGTAAATAATCAATACAAACTTTATTGATTAACAGAGACTTAATAAGTAATCGTTTAACTTAACGAAACCGCTTAATCATCTAAATATTTAGCTTAAAGGACACTATAGTCACCTGAACAACTTTAGCTTAATGAAGCAGTTTTGGTTATAGAACATGCCCCTGCAGCCTCACTGCTCAATCCTCTGCCATTTAGGAGTTAAATCCCTTTGTTTATGAACCCTAGTCACACCTCCCTGCATGTGACTTGCACAGCCTTCCATAAACACTTCCTGTAAAGAGAGCCCTATTTAGGCTTTCTTTATTGCAAGTTCTGTTTAATTAAGATTTTCTTATCCCCTGCTATGTTAATAGCTTGCTAGACCCTGCAAGAGTCTCCTGTATGTGATTAAAGTTTAATTTAGAGATTGAGATACAATTATTTAAGGTAAATTACATCTGTTTGAAAGTGAAACCAGTTTTGTTTTTTTTCCATGCAGGCTCTGTCAATCATAGCCAGGGGAGGTGTGCTAGGGCTGCATAAACAGAAACAGAGTGATTTAACTCCTAAATGACAGTGAATTGAGCAGTGAAATTGCAGGGGAATGATCTATACACTAAAACTGCTTTATTTAGCTAAAGTAATTTAGGTGACTATAGCGTTCCTTTAAGTATACATCACCATAAGAGAATCTTGCTGCACTTGACTGAGAGAACTTCTGGCAGTTAAGCTTGAAGGGGACCCTCTCTTACTGGCAATCAGCAATACGCGTCTGTATTACAGGTGGGTAGTACTCCAAGCAAGTGCCAAGTTTTCTCGTCTTTTATATCTTTCGTAACAGAGACTTACCAATGGGATACATAGTCTGTACTTTTCTATCAGTGGAGCCCGGCAAAGACCTTGCAAAAGCGTTGGATTGGACAGCAGCTGGCCAGGCTGTCCAGGCAAACCAACAATACCATGCCAGGTCTGTGCGGTTAATTATCTCTTATCTAAAAAGCTAGCTCTGTTCTCAGAATATTCTCGTGATGGTATGCATGAGTCATTCTGGTGCTGTGTTTTGTGGTTTTACTAACATGTTCAGTGCTCTGCACCGGTGCCATCTTAACTATCTATAAAAGTTTGATTTGCTCAATAGTGGTCAATCATTCTTAATTAATATGTAATATTATCACACCACTACAGCAGGGAGAAAAGATTGTCACAATAGGAAGATTTAAAGCACAAAATATTTCCAAGTAATTAATAAAAAAAAGACTAAATACTAACCTGATAAACAGAGTTTTCCCTTGACCAACATCAGATGGCAAAGTTCTTTTTTTTGTTTTTTCTTTTTTACCTGCCAAACACAATAAGTCAGTTTAGTCTAGGACATAGTTCACACAAATTATAAAATCATATTCTTTCCACTAGTCAGATGTCGAATACCTTTCTTTTTGCTTTTGATGTCCGAGTCTTCTGAATCATCTGAATCATCATCCTCGTTGTCATCCTCAGAGTCTGTACTTGCTGTTTTTTCCTCATCCTCCTCCTCATCATCATCATCATCTTCCTCCTCCTCCTCTTCACTACTAGAGTCTTTGGGATACTGAGACTTCTTGACTGATCTGAATGATTAAAAATAAGTTATTTAAAATAATAAATAAAAAGGAACCTTAACATTCAGGCATCATTGTGCATACTGTTGCTGCAATGCACCCATTACAAAGAAAACACTTTGCTTCTACATTTTAATTACACGTTTGTGCTTTATCAGATCTTTAGCCAAGTCTTTCAACCACTCAACCAGATGTTAAAGTTCATGCTCCTATTAAATGGTCAATCTAAGCACAAACACTCTGCATTACTGCAAGATGCACAGTGTACAGCACGTCAAGCATACTCAATACTGAGAATTGATTATAGCATAAGTGATATGTTAAAATTGGTGCAGCTATAAAACAGCCTAGCAATGCTGTCAGTCAGTCCAGAACACTTGGTTTAAAGTCGCCCTACATCAATTTTGTCCCTATGGTGCATCATAGTACTCATACCGCGCACACACTACAGAAAGCTCTTCCTCCTCCACGGAGATAGCAAAACCATGGACTCCACATGCCCCCTCTGCGGCTATGTCTGAAAAAACAGTCCAACTCCCTAAACAGTGAACAGGCGGTATATAAATAAAAAGCACAATACCACAGCTCCCAGCAGTTTACAAAGCTTAAAAATTATATATATATATATATATATATATATATATATATATATATATATATATATATATATATATATATATATATATATATATATATATATATGTGTGTATTTTATGTTTTGTCCTGATGAAAGCTCCATGTGGGAGCTGAAACGTTGACTTTTTAAATGGATTGAATAAAAGCTAAATTTTATTTGAAAATCTCAATAAAGTCCTTGGAGTGCGGTCATTTCTGCTATGTGTATATATATATATATATATATACATACACACACACACACACATACATATATATATATATACACATACATATATATATATATATACATATACACACTTTAAAAAAAAATTACCTGCACACTAGCCCAAATCCCTGCCACGTCAAAACAAACCTCTTAGGTGGGTTCTTCACCAACAATTCACCTTGCTTCCTTCAGGCAAAAATCGTCGAATAAGATAGAGGTATTTTTCTAAACCCCTAAATACATATTAACCTTTAATAGGGAACACATGGGGTGGGCGGCAGCATTGTAACATAGCTGTGTGATACAAAGGCAAAATACACAAAAATAGGTCTAGTGCTCAGACTCCCACTACTCCTGGCTGGCAGTAATGACCATAGTACACATCAGCCCAAATACATAAAAAAAAAAAAAAAGTTACCTTGTTTCACTCCAATGGCCCTTAAGTGTAAGCCCATCTGCCACATCAAGGCAAGCCACTTACAAAGCTTACTTACTTGTGCCCCTGCCAATCTCTTTCTTGTGTCCCTCTACCTCAACATACTGTTCAAATCATTTTATGGATTATCTATATATATATATTTTTTTTTATTTTTTTTTTTTAATATTGATTTTTAATTTTTAAATATGTTTCCATTATTTTTTAATACATCATTTAGATCGGGGTAGGCAACCTTTGGCACTCCAGTTGAGTTACATCTCCCATAATGCTCAGCTATAATGATTTCAAAAGTATTATTGTAAAGCGCTATCGAATCTGTTGGCACTATATAAATGGCAATAAATAAAAGCATTTCCCAATGTGTAAACAGCTCTTGAAAAAAAAAAAAAAAACATATCTTGGAAAAGAGGCCTGGCCAGCCCTGGCTTTGGAGCACCTGGGTTATTTGGCAAGTGCGGTATCCAGTCAGTCAGTCTCTAATACCTCTCTACATAGTGACTTGTGCAGCCTTTCCCGCAGTGCCACCTGGAACACAAAGATCTTCAGTTTACTTCTAGCCAAGGAACCTAGGAGACCGGTAGAGGAGTACCCTGGGGCATCTGCACTTTTTGTACAATTTGTAGTTGTGTACCTTTTTTATCCCCATCTCTTTTTATGTATTAAATACTACACTATATACATTTTATCTCTTATATTCAATTCCCCATGAGAGTTTGCTAAATATGTGTGTGACATTCTTGTAAGGTAAATTACATTCATATTTTCATTAACTTGTAAAAGTGACACTTTATTTGTATGTTGCACTGTTTGGAATTTAGTCAGTCAACTAAGCAGCACATTTGTACAAATACACACTTTATCAGTAACCATTTGCACTAGACTGACTTCCCAACATACAAAGAAATTAAAGGGACACTATAGTCACCAAAACAACTTTAGCTTAATGTAGTGGTTTTGATGTATAAATCATGTCCCTGCAGTCTCACTGCGCAATTCTCTGCCATTTAGGAGATAAATCACTTTGTTTATATAGCCCTTTTTCACACCTCCATGCATGTGACTTACACGGCCTTCCTAAACACTACCTGTAAAGAGGCATCTAAAGTTTATTCTTCCTTTATTGCATAGTTCTGTTTAATTTAGATTTTCTTATCCCCTGCTATGTTCATAGCTTGCTGGACCCTGCCTACTGTATGTGATTAAAGTTCAATTTACAGAGCAAGAGATCCAATTGTTTAAAGGTAAATTACATCTGATTGAAAGTGAAACCAGTTTTTTTTCACGCAGGCTGTGTCAAATCAGAGTCAGGGTAGGTGTGACAAGGGCTGCATAAACAGAAACAAAGTGATTTAACATGTATCCCTCACTCTATAGTGTTAAAACTGCCATTTAGGTGGCTTGACCCTGTTATATGTTAAGAAAACAGATCTTATTTGTCCAAGCAGGCGTTTGGCTAGCCCGTGATCCCCCTCCTTGGCCAACATCAGAAATAATTTCAGCCAATCCAATGTTTTCCCATATAAAAAACAATGGATTGGCTGAGATCACCAAGGAGGGGGTGCATGGGTGGGGCCAAACGCCAGTCTGGCCAATCAGCATCTCCTCATAGAGATGTATTGAATCAATGCATCTGTATGAGAAAAGTTCAGTGTCTCCATGCAGGTAGCACCTCTAGTGGTCATTGGAGGAGTCCCTAGGCTTTAATGTAAACACTGCCTTTTCTCTGACTATACTCACCAGAACAACTGCATTAAGCTGTAGCTGTTCTGGTGACTATATTGTCCCTCTAATGTTTGATACAGAAAGCCTATATAAAAGATAAAATACTTGACAAAAACTATATCCCAATATTCTATAAACTTAGCACACACAATGAAGAGTTACTAAGACGTTCTCTGGATGTTGACAAAAACTATACATTTCATACTTACTTTTTCTGGCCTTTAGTTTCTGGCTCATCTTCACTGTCATCTTCATCCTCCTCAGCCTGTTCTACCTCTGAATCCTCAGCATCTTGTTTCCCATCTGATGAATTGTCCTCTTGGTCTTTCTGCTCCTCTTCCACCTCACTTTCACTCTGAGCAGTCACTTCCTTTTGGCCACTTTCCTTTTTTCCTTCTAATTTAAAATACATAAGTGGAGTTAAAAGTTACTTTAAAATAAACAATAGCCCCAATGAGAACATGTATTTATTTAATGATGCATTTTTCATAATTGTGGATATTTCTAAAACAGCTTTCAAAGCTGCAGATCATTTGTCTAAAGCCATTGCAAGGTTTTATGGTTCAGATGTCACTGCAATGTTGCTATCAGCATTGAATGAAGCATGTCAGTGTAACAAGGGAGGATCATTCTGATTGAGAAGAGTCTCCAATCAGGTCCACATGTGTGGGAGGATAGCTGGAGGTTACAATTCACATACTCTATAGCTGCGCTGAAAATATACAACATCCCCTTGTCATAAGAAAAAAATATAACTATCAATGGCTGTATAAGAAGACGTTATCATATCAGGAGAGGTTCACTAGAAATATTCCAGAGGAAGCATGTTTGAGAAACATTCCCATAACCAGTTACTTTGCTTCACACTTGAAGGACTTTGCAAGGAGATATGCAGGTAGAAATATATGGTAGAAGATAATTATGCTATTGTACATGATAAACAGTGATAGTGAAAGAATTTCCTGGGAGGTTAAACTTCATGGTCTGATCTCAGCGTCCATTATCAATACTATGCAAAACATGAGGAAATATTCATGTACCTGGAGTAGCTGTTTCCTGTGTAGCAGTGTACTTATCCTTTGCAACTGCCCAGTCCACTGCAACTGTCCGACCTAGTTAAAGTAGAGCATTAAAAGTGATTAACACTGCATTCACGCTCACAAGGCAATTTAAATGCAGATAGACAGTTTGTTGTATTAGTTGAATTGTAATAATAATAATGAACCTTAATTACTGTATTATTTATGCTTATAATCTCACCCCCTCACTTGTCTCTTTTCTCATCCTTTGTATTGTTATCCCGATTTTTTTTTTTTTTTTAGTATCTCAATTCTATAACTTTTATAAAATGTAAGGGTGTGCTGGCTATTTTAATATATCCTTTATAATATGACTTTGCTGGTTTAAAATTCTGGTTATTCGCCCACCATGCACAATTACAGACAAGAACTTTTCACATATGCAGGAGACCAATGACTACAACGAGGTGGCTCAATAACCAATTGAATTAATCTATATTTTTTCCTGTCATATTGTAAGTGCCTGTTCGCTAAGAGTTGCACAATTCCAATAGGAACTGGAATATGTAAACTAACGAATAAAAAAATATTATATTTAAGCTACAACTAGCTGTCACAAAGCATTACACCTACCTTTAATGCTCTTCATGTTTGTGCCTTTCAAAGCCTTACTGGCTTCTAGCATATTCTTAAACTGTACAAATGCGAACCCTCGTAACTTTCCATCTGTAGAAAAGAAATGGTAGACATCATTTATTCCCCTGGTTCAGGGACCTGTCAGACTTTGTATATGAAACGTATTATTTTAAATTCAGTGATTTGAGACAAAATCACTGAAATAGATCATCATACCTGGCTTGGTAGGCATATTGACTTCCAGCACCGTTCCAAATGTAGAGAAATGTTTCTTGACATCATCTTCAGAGCACTGTTAACAAAATACACACTGAAAAGTTAACCATGCATTATGCATTGTACACAACTTTTCTATATTATACATGATAAATATAAAGAAAATGAAAGAGAGAAACAGCTTTAAATAAAAAATAAAAAAAATCTGCAGAACTTCTTCTCTTTCCCTTTCCTAACACTGATCTTTGCACCTGCATCTCTTCTCCAACATTGCCCAATGGATGTCATCACATTTTCTTCAAATTAACCGAGCAAAATGTAAAGCGATTTTCTTCCCTGCAGCATTCCCACCAATCCCCAAAAAACACCTGTTACTTCTGTCTGTTTTCACCAATTTAACATTCAGAAAATCCACTCCTCAAGACATTTTCTTCTGCAAAACTCCTTATCCACTTCATCTTCACCAGGCTTTTGATTTAACAAATCCAAAATGCTGTTGCCTGCATACTCCTCAACATGCCCGAACCCTTCTTTAAAAGTTCAACTGGCTTCTGGTTCGCCAGTGGTCTCTCTTTAAATTCTTCCATAACCTTGCTCCTCTCTACCTCTCCCACTACATTAGGATCCGGTCTCTCGGCTCCTTAACTAACCAATCCCTACACCTTTACGTTCCTTCAATATTCTGCTCATTTTCCAGCATACCACTAGAACAAGCTCTTTCCACATCCAATCTGCCACCTCTCATCGTTCCACAGATTATAAAAAGGCACTTACTTGTCCAATTCCTCACAGTTTAACATCCCTGAATGAAACACCCTCCCATTATTCCCTTATCCTCAGCAGTACTGCCACCAGACAAGGTAATTCCTGTCTCCCAGATGCAACTCTATTTATTCCAGGGATATGACTCAGCTAGGTCAATCGCCACTAGTCCCATGGTTGAGACACCCACACCAAAACCATTGCATTAAGCTAAATCAATTTTGGTGCTTACAGCAGGGTTCATCATTTCAAGTCCTATGCTACTAGACAGGCAAAAAAGTTATTTGTCACTGCATGCCTGAAAGGTCTATGACACCAGTACTGAATTCCTACTCAAGTGGGGGAGTGGAGCCCTGGCTCAGAGTATCCTTTAATAAACACAAGGACAAAAATACACAAACATACCTCGCTAGTAGGGATCGATCGATATTGGTTTTTTTTAGAGCAGATACCGATACTCTGAAGTTTCAGGCCGATAACTTAACGATACTCTGTACATTTACCATTTTTTTAAAATAAACTATTTCTACACAAATCTACTGTGAACTGAACGGGTTTATTTTTTTTGCATTTTTTTTATTTTTATTAAGGTACATGCACAAAATATACATGCGAGTCAGAATTTATGTTTTCAAGAATGTGTGTGTGTGTGGTGGATTCAGTGACGGTATTTGATTAGTGAATGCAGTGTGTTTGTGAGGTGTGTGTATATAATGAATGCAGGGTGTGTGTGTATCTTTGGGCAGTGAGTTTTTGTGTAGGTATGTAATGTGTGTAAAATGTAAATATGTAATTTTTTTTATATATATATTTTTAGTCCCCCCTCCCTCCTTCTTACCTGGGGGGCCCAGCAACACTCTTACTTAACTTTCCAGAACAGCTAACAAGGCACTATATTGTTGGGAATAGAAAGGATTTCTTTAAAAAGAGCATAAGTTGTACTTGGCATGATAGGTACCCTTTAAATGCATTATTAAAGGGAAACTATAGTGCTTGAAATACAAAGTTGTTATCCTAGCACTGTAGCACCCTCTGAATCAATGCTTCCCTATAGGGTTCTACCAGACACTAGATGTCCTCATGCAGAACGTGAGGACATCCAGCATCAGTTAGCAGACCAAAAGAGTCTCTAGTGGCGGTCTGGTAGACAGCCACTATATGTGGAGTTATTTATTTAGAAAAGATTTTACCTGGAATTAATCTTGCAAGGCAGTTTCTTAATAACTGCAATAATTACAATTGCAGGTTTAAAGGAGACAGGGGCACTGCACCAATAACATTTCAATGAGATTAAGTGGTCTGGATGCCAATAGTGTACCTTTAAAAATAATAATTGCACTAAAAAGGAATTCTCTATTTTTCGCTTCATTCCTCCTCCCCACCATTTACACACAAAAGCAAAGCTGAATATCTTTAAATATGTTTTGTTTTTGTATAAGCTCATTTTTATTTGCATGGATATATAAATGATCTAGTTACCAAAAGATTCAGAACGTAAGTATATTTCTTAGGGGGGGGGAATTACTTATGTTTTTATAAACCAATGCTTGCCCTGATTTCTATATTAATTTGTATTTATTTATGCATGTACATTGCCAAGAACTTATCCTTTTGAATTATAAATACAATGGACACAATCAAGTGAAGTGCTCATTCAAAATGTATAACTTCCAAAATGTATATTTATGTGCCAAAAATAGGGTTACAAAAAGCTGTGTTTTTCTTTAATTACATCCCCGTGAGTCTTTATTTGTTTGAATTCAGAATTTTGCTGCTAAGGAAAGTTGGCAAACAAGCCATTCAGAAGCATCAATTAGTTTTTACTGCTCTATATAGCCTGATGCAACATGTTGCCAAGTTAATTACAAACCAGAATTCCTTTTCTTGAGATTAAATTGACTGTAAAATATTGTACATGTAGACAGGCGGATTACATCTGTTTCTCTTTCAATTGGGATTTCTAGCAATGGTTGCATATCCATTAATATATTTCAATCCTGTTTAAAGACAGCGTCAAGTCTTGTTCATACATGCTAAATAAGAAACCAAACTGCATATTATAAATGGTGGTTGTGGCTTTCTGAATAATTTATTCAATTTAATCTTTGTCAGCTTGTGAGGTACCTTAAAACTCAAATTTCGGATAATCAGCCTGGCCTTTTTGTGTTGAGTTTTCATCTGTTTAGGCTTCTTCACATTATTCGTTTCTTCATTGGGCTCTGAGATTGAAAATAAAAAATAAAATAAAAACAGTCAAAACATAGATCTGCCTAAATTTACACTAAAGGGGAATTTATAGTCCCAACAATAATAATGTCAGGACCACAGGTTCACTTCTATAGATCTTATCACTGTCCACTCCCCTTTGCTCATTAAAATTGAAGATTAAATTATTGAACTGAAATTGTTTTTAGCATCAGAACCCCTCCGCTGCAGCCTCCAGCTCCGCCTCTGTCAATATCAGCATCCAAGGTGACTTTTTACAAAACTACAGGACTGCTCCAAGACCACTTAATTGAGAATAAGTGGTCTGGGGGTCCTTAGTTGTCCTTTAAGTAAAATGAAAGCATGAAAAATCCTACTGAATAGCATGAACACATTTTCACTTACAAATACTGAAATACATTTGGTTAACACACCCCAGTATTCTCTGCCTATCACTGCTGTCCAGTTAGGGCGAAATTCTAATGATTCGGCATTATCAAGTCAGCTGGATTTTATCAAAATGAATAAAAATGGTTTGTGAAAATCACCTTGGCAGTAAGGAGTGCTCTAGTGGGACAATGGATAAAGGACTTAACTCACTACCTTCCTTTGGCATTACATAAGATTGATGACTTGTACCAGATGGATGAACCAACAGTACATAATACTCAAGTGTGGAAATTGTGGAAAATATAATGGTCTATGATATATTAATTTCCTAAAACATGATATGTCATTGGTCCTGGGTGGATTTTTAATTAGCACATCTTTTCCTTTCTTCACCTTACTAAATCTGGTTATTTTTCTGCAATTTATTCTTCGTGGGCATCTACGTCTTTCCCTAAAACCAAAATGTGACAAACCTATTTTTACTTTTGACATGTTTGTGGCTTTAAAGAAAAGATTGCGTAGGCGCTCATTATAGCATACAATGGGTGGCAGCAGTAAATCTACAAGGACTCCCAAAAACCTTGTTTAAAGATACAATATATGTTACAACAATTGGTGATAAACCATGCCTAATGCTAAAACTTGGTGATGTAATATAGAATACCTTTATAGTGTGGTATACAGGTGTGTGTATATTATACATACACAAACACACGACTTAAAATATATTTAACAAATTACTTTAAGTTAAAAATATATAGTAAAATCATCAATAAAAAAAAAAAAAAAATAGGGGGCAACAATCTCACACTTAAGGCAATTCTCCCAGCAGAGCTTCCTCACAAGTGTACAAAACCAGAGCAAGTTTTTGCTCTATAAATTGTAAGTAGGATACTTCATTTTACCTTTTTACTTCTGAGATTTTTATACTACACCATCAAAGTTTCCACTTCTGTTTTATTATTTATATATTGGAACACTACCATACACCATCTGGAGGATCGTCACACATCCTGAAACAAGGATTGTAACATCCAAGCGGAAAAAAAAGCAGAGCTCTAAATTGCTCAGAAAAGTGTGAGTTAGTCCTCTATATTTATATAGAATACGCACTTAAAGTGACATATTGCACTACTATCTTTTTTATGTGTGTAAAAAACAGATAAAATTCTTATCTTGTAATACCTTTTTTATTGGACTAACAGAATTTTTTAATGACAAGCTTTCGGGAGAACCTCCCTTTCTCAAGTCTGAAGCATTTCTGAGCAAAACGACACATTGAATTCAAAGTTGAGTTGTGATACGGGGTTAAAGAGACATGAGTGTAGATAAGACACAGGTTTGTTAGCAGAGGGTCATAAATATCTTGTTGAAGAGCAGAGTAGGGGAGAGAGAGGGAAAAGAAAAACAAACAAGCAGACAGTGCACAGGATGGTACACTTTATATACACACACACACAGAAATATGTATATGTGAACGCATAAACACATGTACATACATGCACATGGACTCATATACACAAATATAAATAATATATATATATATATATATATATATATATATATATATATATATATATATATATATATACACACACACACACACACACACACACAATCATTCTATATCAAGTCACTGCATTGGAGGAGCCTGGTTGCCCGCCTGCTGCCTTTAGACCAGTGGTAGTCAACCTTTTTCTACCTACCACCCACTAATGCATCTTTCTTGATGGAAAAATTTCCTTACCGCCCACCAGTTTTCACGCAAGCGCAGAATATTTTTTAGAAAGGAGGGTGTTTTAAAAAAAATAAATGTACTTACATTTATCTTTTTATTTCTACTTAATGCATGTTTATAATGTTTTTAACTTTATAAAGTTTAATTAGAAAACAATAAAGTAAATTGAAAGCTTTACTAGTGAGATCCTTAAGGCTGATGCTGCAAGACTAAATATTTGAAATCTGGTTCGATTTTCGTAAGGAACAAACGAAGGTCTCCTCTTTCAGTGATATTCAGACGGTTTCTCTGTTTGCTCATAATATGATTAACCGCACTAAAGCCTGATTCTACAAGATATTTGGTAGGGAAAGGTATCAATAAATTGAACATCATTTTCCACATATTTGGATATAACGCAGGCATTTTTTTTATTTTGCCAGCGTTTTTGGTATCCACCACTGCCAAAATTACATTTACTCTCTTCGTCATATTTAAGTTCTAATAGTACAACATTTGCTGTAAAAGGATTTATCATCCAGTCATGCACCTTTAACCCCTTAAGGACCAAACTTCTGGAATAAAAGGGAATCATGACATGTCACACATGTCATGTGTCCTTAAGGGGTTAAGTTCAACATATCTTGAAATCGTTTTTCCATATCCAATTTCAGTTCCTTGAGGTGGCTACTGAACCTTTCAATATCCCCCGGAGTTACATCATTGTTTATAGAGGACAATTCAGGAAACTGATGAAATTCTCTCTTGAAAATATTATGACGGAGAAGATCAAGCTTTTCGATAAATAATGACAATATTTTTGCAACTTATAAGAGTTATATTGGCTCCTTGAAGCTGCAAATTAATTTCATTAAATCTCTTGAAAATGTCTGCCAAATAAAAGGCATCATTCTTTACGTTTTTTAACTGTTCATAGAGACCAGCCTCATTATCACTTTCAAAAAACTGTACGACACTATGCAACAAAACGAGTCAAGCATGTACCCTTTGAGAGCCATCGAACTTCTGTATGTAAAAGTAACCTAATAAACTGCTCGTTATTGTCCTGGCACAGCTGTCGAAACATTCTATCACACTTGGCATTAGATTTTATCTTATTTACAGCTTTAATTATAATACTTAATGATGAATGGAGACTTGTACTTAAATGTTTTCCTACAATATGTTGTCTGTTCACAACACAATGAATACACAAAACGTTTGGCACTTCTTCCTTCACGTAAGCAACAAACCAACGATAGCAGCCTACCATTGATGGTGCTCCATCAGTAGCACATGCAACAATATTGTTCAAGGGTATATTGTTTTTTGCAAAGTATGATTTCACAGCATTAAATATTGATAATCCTTTTGTATCTGTAATCAGATTGACAGTGAATAGCATTTCTTCTTGCAATGTATTGTTTTCATCAAAGTACCGTACATATGTCATCAGTAGAGCATTATTATCTGCAATGACAGACTCATCCAAATGTATAGAAAATGACGAATTTTGGAGAATACCTATAAGTTTATTTTCAACATTAGCCGCCATTTCATCAATGCGTCTCTTTACTGTGTTATCGCTAAGGGGCAATGTTTTTAAAACTTCAGGTATATCCTGATGCATTACTGTTGAGATAAATTCTTTGATAGAGGGTATTATCAAAGTTTCTCCAATATTACGGCTTTTACCACTTTTTGCAATTAAGTGTGATATACGATAAGCTGCAGTTAATCCATCCTCATTCTTTGCATGTTGTTTTTGAAAGGATGTAGCTATTGAACGATTTTGAAATCTTTTATAGATTTCTTGAAAATATTCAATGGGCTTATCTTTATCTTGCGAATGCTTTGTAGCAAGATGTTCTCGCAATCGACTTGGCTTCATTGCTTCATTAGATAATGTCTTGTGGCACAGTAAACACATTGGAAGCGGTTTATTTGTAACAGATTCAATGAAACCCATCTTCAGATACTCTGGTAAATAGCCACGAGCATATTTCTTTTTTTCAGACATGGGTTCTAAGTTTGTTTCACAATTTAACAACTACTTTTACGTTTTGATCTGCACTCCACACAGTGCTTTTTTCCCTCCTCTTTTCCCTTTTACTACTAACACCAAAAACAATGCTGTATTAGGTGCCAATTTTTATTAATGTCACCATCAAAAGAAATTCCTTTTCCTGCCTGCTTCTTTACCTTCCTTATAGTATATCACTATATTAAGGATCTCTTTTTCCTTTTTTTTCTCCTTCCCTTACTTATTTTTTTCTTTTATTTTATAAGATAACAAAACTTAATTTATGAGCCAGACTAAACACTGCTTACTCTCCTCCTTTATTTTATCCCCTTTTCTCTATTTTTCTTCCTTTTTTTGTTATTTTAATTTTTTTTTATCTTTTCCTTTTTATCTCCTTTCTTTTACCTTCCTGAGCGACATAAGTAAGGCTGAGCTAGTTAGCCCACTTATTATTATTGGCCAACAATTCTCTTTCTCCTGTCTATAACTTTTCTTTTGCAACTGCTCTGCTCCATTTCTGCCTGTCCCTGCTATCAGTTTCCACTCCTCCCCTTCCTCTTCCCACGTGTTTGCGTGCGCTCACTCCAGCCGACCCCTTCTCGCACAAAAGGAGGTTGATTGATGTGTGCACTCGCGCCCGCCTGCACCGCCCACTCGCTCAAAAGGAGGTTTTAACTTCCGAAAATCGTACCGCACGCATTCTCGCGCACGTTGGTTTCTTGATGTATGAGCTCGCGCGCGCCCACTCAAAAGGAGGTTTTAACCTCCAAAGTCCCTACCGCCCACCCGGAATCCCAAAATACCCACTAGTGGGCGGTAGGGACCAGGTTGACGACCCATGCTTTAGACTATGGCCCCATGTTGAAACGCTTGATTTTCCCCTGCAAAGACATGAAAGCCAGGTCATTCGGTGTTTCCCCTGTTTGAGCGGTGATACCCCAGATAGCTATGCCATGGAGCCCATTCGTATAATGAAAGACTATGGGAAAGACTTTGGCTCTATGGCAATTGAACTGTATGTGTGTGATCTGAGCACCATTCAGTAATAATGTGCGCTCAGATCTGAGATATCTGGGAATATGTTGAATGTATCTGTTTTATGCAATGGCTGCAGAGTTATATATTTTTATGGTCTTTTGCTGCCATGTGTTCAATGGAGTTTTGCCTCTGTCTTTGGAGATAATTGGATTACTTCCCAATTATCTCCAGGATAGAAGACTCCGTGGAACTGGTTTTGGGCAGAAAAGCCATGCTTCATTTGGTCATAAAGGACTACGATCTATCTTTTGAACCAATGGACCAATTTGGATGATTCTGACATGTTTGTATTTGGAGTAAGCTGATTCTGAAAATGTGAATGTGATGCATACTTTTAAAATTATGAATAATGTGGAAAAACTATTTCTCTACCTGTGATAATTACATTACCCATTGTGTAAGGTAATTGTATCACAGGCAGAGGGGAGGATTTTGTGTGGGAGTGTCTGAATGTATTGTATGTGTTTATTGGTTGTTTTCCAAAACCCTGTGGGTGGTACTAATGTGTAAGAATGTGTATATAAGAACAATAAACCTACAGCTCTGTCTGTTCCTGCTTGACACTCAAAAGAGAGCCTTGTCTCGTTCTTGGGGGGATTTATTGTATGCTGTTCCAGTTCGACTGCTAGGAGTGTAAACCTATTCGTATGTTTACAGCATTCGTATATTTGAGAGCATTCACATGCTTCTCCGGTTCGGTGGATTGGTGTCTACAGTAGCTGTGTCTGTGTCTCTGGAAGGGAATATCTACTAAACGTCTGTTTAACCCTTTTATGCCTGGGGGTGCCGTTACACATTCTATATCAAGTCAATAAGTTTCACCATTAGGCATGGTTTATCACCAATTGTTGTAACATATGTTTGTTGCTTTACCTATGATAAACTGACGCTTGTTTGAGATGCTGTATGTTAGTACTGCGATTTGTATGGACAATGTCGAACAAAGAATATACAATACAGTTGGTTTGGCATCTTGGAGAGAAGGGATGGGCTGCCACACAATCTTTCCAGGAATCTCTCTTATCTGGCATTTACCATCAAGTTTCAAGCAAAAGTTTATCGAAAAATAAGTATATTTATTTAAAGTAACCACTTAGGGAGTGTCTTGGATGATGACCTGAATGAAAACAGTTTCCTATTTCCACTGAGCCTGTGTAGGCATAACTGATTTTCAAGTTTATTCTTGCACAATAATGAAGATGCAGTGTATATTTCTAATTAGCTGCTTGTCAGCTGCATTGACACCACGATGGGTTAATGACTGACATAAGGTGGAATCAAGGGAGTCTCATGCTCACCCTCAAATGGAAATAAGATAACAGCTCATAGATGCTAGGGTAAAAGCATATTTATTTTTTCCCCAGATAAGTTCTATTAACCCCTTAAAAAAAAGTCTGTTATAAGTGCGCACTCTATGTAGTTTTCCTAATGTGGGATTTAAAATCCAGCTTTGCAGCAATAGGTGACGCATCACATTATAGCCTTCCTTAGGTCTGCAATTACGGAGTCAGCCAGTTCCAGTAATCACAAGCCTATCACCAGCAGCCGTTGATCTGCACAAAAATGTCTCTTCAGATATATACCTGATCTAGCTTTAAGAAAAAAAAAAAAAATAATAATAAATAATATATATATATATATATATATATATATATATATATATACACACATATATACACACACACACACAAAATAATTTTTACCGTACATGCAGTAACTCTGGCATGCTCAATGATACTACTAGAATCCAGATTCTGGGCTGCAGCACTTCATGCAAGGATTAGCTTTCACTGACGTATTACAGGGTTGCCTAAGCACTGAGGTAGTCCAGTAGTAGTGACCAATTCACCCTCTGGCTGCCTGATCACCAAGGGACCCAGTCTTGTTAAGACAAATGCCAGTTAAGTCTTGTTATCATTGACTGACGCTCACAACCATAAACTAGCCTGCATTGTTGGGCTTACGTAATGTGATACACCCAAAGTTATTAACAGATTTATTTAACCAATCATTGTTAAAAGGAGTAGTCCCAGAAGATTGGAAGTTAGCGAATGTTGTGCCCATTCACAAGAAAGGTAGTAGGGAGGAGTCGGGCAACTATAGGCCAGTAAGCCTTACTTCAGTAGTGGGGAAAGTAATGGAAACCATTTTAAAGGATAGGATTGTTAGACATCTAAAATCACATGGATTTCAAGATCAGAGACAACATAGGTTTACTTTGGGGAGATCATGCCAAACTAATCTTATAGGGCTTTTTTGATTGGGTAACTAAAATAATAGATCAGGGTGGTACAGTAGACATTGCCTACCTAGATTTCAGTAAGGCATTTGACACTGTTCCACATAGAAGGTTCATAAATAAACTGCAATCTTTAAGTTTGGATTTCAATATTGTTGAATGGGTTAAACAGTGGCTAATTGACAGGCAACAGAGGGTTGTTGTCAACGGAGTATATTCAAAGCAAGGTCTAGTTACCAGTGGGGTACCCCAGGGATCTGTACTTAGACCCATGCTCTTGATATTGCAGAAGGTTTTGATGGTAAGGTATGTCTTTTTGCTGAGGATACTAAGATATGTAACAGGGTTGATGTTCCAGAAGGGATAAGCCAAATGGCAAATGATTTAGGTAAACTAGAAAAATGGTGGCAACTGACATTTAATGTGGATAAGTGCAAGATAATGCACCTTGGACGTAAAAACCCAAGGGCAGACTATAAGATATTTGATACCCTACTAACCTCAACATCTGGAAAGGGATTTAGGGGTGATTATTTCAGATGACTTAAAAGGTAGGCAGACAATGTAATGGAGCAGGTGGAAATGCAAGCAGAATGATTGGTTGTATAGAGAGAGGTATTAGCAGTAGAAAGAGTGAAGTGATCATGCCATTGTACAGAACACTGGTGAGACCTCACTTGGAGTATTGTACGCAATACTGAAGACCGTATCTTTAGAAGGATATTCATACTCTAGAAAGAGTTCAGGGAAGGGCTAAACTGGTTCATGGATTGCAGGATAAAACTTACCAGGAAAGGTTAAAAGGAACTTAACATGTATAGCTTGGAGGAAAGACGAGACGGGGGGGATATGATGGAAACATTTAAATACATAAAAAGAATCAACACAGTAAAGGAGGAAACTATATTTAAAAGAAGAAAAACTACCACAATACGAGGACAATCTTAAATTAGAGAGGCAAAAGTTTAAAAATATTATCAGGAAGTATTACTTTACTAAGAGGGTAGTGGATGCAGGAATAGCCTTCCAGATGAAGTGGTAGAGGTTAACACAGAGAGGGAGTTTAAAGCATGCGTGGGATAGGCATAAGGCTATCCTAGACTTAAGATAAGTATTTCAAAATATTGGGCAGACTAGATGGGCCGAATTGTTCTTATCTGCCGTCACATGTTTCTAACCTAAACTTAGGGCTAGATGGGGCTTTAAACAGACTATCAAACCAACTTATAAAGGTAGGGCTATTGTTACTTTCAATACTAAAGACTATGTGTCTGAAATATTCAAACAACTTGATGATTCAGTGACATACTATATGGTGTCCCATTATTTCACCAATAACATGTTGCAACATATTGCTAACATTGTGTCATATTCAAACCTTTTTTGGTTAATAAAAATCCCATCATACCAACTAAGTATACATTGCCCAAAATACATAAATCACACACTCACCCACTCGGTAGACAAATCATAACAGGGGTAGATTCTGTTCTTTCTCCCGTCATTTTTTTTGGACAAAGCAGCCAGCCCATATTTATTTAAAGGGAAACTATACGCTATGAATACAAAGTTGGTCGATATCCGAAACTTAATGCGCATGCTCAGCAAGAGTTAATAGGACAGCCCCAAATGAAAACCTTAGGTAATAGTTTCAGGTAACGCTGGATGTCCTCATGAATAGCGTGCTGATGTCCAGCATCAGTTAGGTGACATAAAGTCGCACAACGACCTGGAAATCCCTCTAGTGACTGTCTGGTGGAGTTAACCCTGGATAGTAATTGCCGTTTCTCCATAACTGCAATAATTAATATTGCAGGTTTAAGGGGACTGAGACAGTGCCAGACTATTTCAATGAGCTGAAGTGGTCTGGTTGCCTATAGTGTCCCTTTAAGATGAAGTCTTAGACACTAGGATTTTTTGATCAAGGTCGCTGGTATGGATATTTGTGACAATGACATCCATGTCAGTTTTGACATCTGTAGCCTGTATACCTGAATTTCAAACAGTCGAATGCCTTTGATAAGAAAGAATTTCTGGTTGAGCCCTTATGTACTGTTTGAGAAGAATTACTTATCTTTTGCTGGAAAGTTTTATTTCCAAACCAGAGAGGATGGGCTAGAACGTGGCACTCACATATGCTAAGATTTATATTTATTTTGAAGAAAGATTTATCTGTCCACATCAGTTTTCCATGCCAATGTGTGGTATTGGTATCGCTACCATGATATCCACCAGGAACTCAACTCATTCTTACAGAATATCCATTTCCTGAAATGTGTAACAAATTTCTGCTGAGAGGTTATCCTAAGCGATTATGTGCTTTGCAAAATATCAACAGGTGTGATCTGCTACATGTCCTTTTTAATCAAAGACCAGGGAGAAAAAATAAATAAAAGCTCTACTAACAATGTGTCTTTTGTGAGTGTTTTGGGACACACTAATGTCGTAGGTAACACTTTAATAAAATATTGAGACATTTTACACTGGGCATACCTAGGCATTTTAGACTTCAGATGGCCACCATTGATAGCATACACCAGAGGTAGATCCAGAGATCATCTAGTCAAAGCTAAATTTAAAAATCACTATGCTGAAGTAAAGGTTCTTAAAGGGACAATAGGTACCAGAACAACTTTAGCTTAATGAAGCAGTTTTGTTGTATAGATCATGTAGAACTTCTGGCTCTGTGATCAAAACAGCAATTTCTTTTTAAATCAGGGAGAAAACATCTAAGTATGTGTCACATTTTCGGACTAAGCTAATTGACAAACCAATGCTAGCTTATTTTTGTTTATGTAACCATTTATTGTCGTCTTAAAATGTTACACTTAATAAACATATTACCTTGCACGCCTGTCACTTACATAAGAACATGTTTTGCATTACTATGAATCACTTACTACATTCTTTGGTCTCTCCTTTGTTTTTTGTTTTCTTATCCTTCTCCCGCAGCTTCTTTTTGGCAACTGTGACCTCTATTTTGCCTCCATCATAGCTCTTAATCTCCTTCATCGCTCGCTGAGCATCTTCCAGCATGGAGAATGTAACATATCCAAACCCACGACATTTTTCAGTTCCTACAAAAGAGACAGGTTTTTATATCAAAAGAAACAATATAGCACATCTGTGAACATTCCAAACTCCCAAAAACTATTTTTTTGTTGTTTGCAGTACAATTCAGACTTTGTCAGGAAACATGTCATTAGGGAGGGTAATTGTGATGACTGTGCTAATATGTATTTATGTAGGACACCCAAGATTTAGGGATAAAACTACAGTATGGACCATGTCTATCGCTACTACGGTTATTCCACTTCATATAAACTTAGCCATGGAAAAAGACAGTAGTTCTATAGGCCTTTATGCCTATGTGTCCAGTAGTTTGCTACGGAGAGCAGTGTGGGCTCCGACTGCACAGCTCCCTTGCTTCTCTGCACAAGCCTGCTATGGCAAGAGGGAGATGCCCTGTGCTCTGCCAATGTAGCCTGCCACCTAGAATGGACCCCCCCACCCAACGCCACTGATCCTAAGTTCTTACATATGTAATTGGGAATGGGAGGCTGGGGGGACAATAGGATTGTGACACGATTAACCTAATGCATGCACTCAAGCAGCCTTCAAGGGAAATGGTCCCTTTTCTTGAATTTACACCATCTAAAAAAAATATTAACACAAGTTACCTATAACTTGTGTTAAACTGGTTTTTAATGAGATGCTCCATTTTCTTTTAAATGTGTCCTAAAGAAACATTAGCATAACTGCAACAGAGAAGTGTGGCCTAGCTCCCACCCAGAGTTATCCATCAAATATTTTTGAATAGTATGACAACTTATCTGGGTCCTCCAGGCACCCACGCTGCACCCTTTCTTTCCCTGTAAGAGAAGTCAATTGTCTTGGCTAAACAGGACCAATACAGCACAGGTTCTCAACCTGGTGTACACGCACCACAAGCAGGGTGTACACCAAGAGCTGGCCTACAGGTGACTGTAGCAACCTCAGGAGGTAGCCAGCTGTGTGCTAAGAGAGAGCAAGTGCCTACTCTACCCACACAGAACATGTGGGTAGATAAAAATAAATGTAAAAAAATAATTTGTGACTGTGTGAGAGAATGTATATACACTTTTTTGGAATTTAAATCAATATAAGTAAGTTTCTAGCACTCTTTGGGTGAGAAACGTTGTTTCGTCTCTCATCTTCGCTCTATATACTTTCTCTATGCCGATTGCAAATAACAGAACTTATAACAATTATTAAAGGGAGCTAAGATAGAAACAAGATAAAGCTTTGGATTTTTTACATTTAATTTTTTCTCACTTCCCAAGTACATATTTGCTAATCATGAAAACATAATAAGCCTTGTGAAGTGACAGTTGCCATTTAAGTACGCAATTCATACAAACTAAAACACATCTGACGTGCCAAAACACATCTAACATTCTTAAACATAAGAGAACGAAAGGATAGAATGTCATAAGAACTCATCACTCCACAATAGACAATTATAGTTGAGGAAGACAGATTTAAAAAGGAAATTAATAAAAAAATATATATTTAGAGAGCTCTCGTCTGATAATTCGGCAAGGAGTTAGATAAAATGAGCCAAGAGCATAAAAAGTGTTTGATGATGCCATAAAATTGCAATTATGTTACTCCTAAGAAATTGTGATTGAGAAAGCACACTGATCCACGTCCAAGCGCACACATGGACAACAATCCTATCTAAACATGCAAATACACATATTTTTTGTACCTTTCTCTCTAACCACGAAGCACTGTCTGACGGGGCCAGTTTCACTAAAAAGCTGCTCCAGTCCTTCATTGGTAGCAGCAGCAGGGAGGCCGCGAACAAACAGAGTAAGCCCAGCCATCCCGGATAAGTATCAGATGAAGAACCCCTCTGCTTTAGAAACTACCACGCTGTTCACTGGGAGCCGCCATCTTGCCCAATCCGGAAGTCCCATTTCAAAATCATTCCGACGTGCAATGTGTAGCGTGGCGATCAGTTCCTGACTCGTAGCATTCTGGTTCTGTAAATAATCCAAAAACTGCATTAGACGAATAGGTGACCCTGTGATGTTTTTATTCTCGACAGACTTTAATGAGCTCACTGTCTAGCATTCCTGAGCCAGTGTTCAGTGATTTAATGCTACACGAGTTTTTATAAAGGTATTTGTAATGAGACTAGTTTGTTACATGATGTTACCGTACATATTTTATGGTGATGTGGATCTGAATAGTTATACAAATACTAATAGGTTTAAAGAGCTATTTTTGGCTATTTTTGCCTTAAATGTTGCATTCATATTGAATATTGATCATTCTTACGTTAAAGAAGTGTTACAAATTTCAAATAAAAGACCAGAGTAGCTAAACTGGAAACATAAATAATAAACTGCAAAGATAAAATCAACACCAGATAACAGGGTGCCAAAGTCATTCTAGTTGCCGACTTCTATGCGATATTTTCACAGATAGAGAGAATAAAAATCAGTGAAAATATAATACAATTCATTGAAAAGTTAAAATCAACAGAGATAATTAAGCAATGGCACAATACACAAATGTGCAACAATCGCAATTATAAGCCCAAATGGGCAAAAGAATCCTTAAACATAGCAGCTTCTTATAGCATAATACATTAAAGTGCAAGTGCTAAAGTACAAAGATTTTTCAAGTAAGGGGAAGTATAAGGTGCTCAATATGCCGCTAGAATGGCAGCTAACACCCATTATTCCTTCACAGCACGTAGTCAAAATCACACAGTTTGAAAGTGCAAAATGCAAATAGTTATAAAAGTAATTAAAAGACTGCTACTACCAAATCACATGGTTCTTGGATAAGGCTCAACGCGTTTCGTCGATCCGACTTCCTCAGGAGCTACAGAGGCCTGCCTGCACTTTTTTCCGGTATCACTCTTTCCACTCACCCACTTATTTTTATTTAAACTGGAAGCATAGCTGACTTGGTATAACCATCAGAACTAGGTAGGTCCACAATGAAATCCATAGACAGATGAGACCATGTACACTGGGTATGGGAAGTGGATGTAATAATCCACACGGAAGTGTATCTGGACCTTAGAGACTGCACAAACAGAACATGCTTCCACATAAACCTTAATATCCCTTCTGAGTGACTCCCACCAAAATGATCTGGAAATAGCGGATACAGTCTTATTTATACACGGATGCCCAGCAGTAACATTGTCGTGGAATATTTTCAACACCTCTTTCCTGTTATTTAATGGAATAAACAATTTACCTAGAGGTTTATCATTAGGTGCCTGGGACTGAGCCACCATGATAGCACAAAGCAATGGTGATGACAAGGAAAGGACAGTGGATGCTATGATCAGGGCCGGACTGGCCTACCGGGATACCGGGAAATTTCCCGGTAGGCCGCCAGCCCATGGGGCCGCTTTGACACGTGGCTGCACTCAGCCACAAGACACGAAAAAAAAAAATATATTTTCCCACATCCGCGCCGGCCGCTGCTGCTTCCTGTGCAAGCGCACAGATCCTTGTCAGCCTGTCAGCCGCCGGATGTGAGCGGCAAATGACGACATGACGTCACATCCGGCGGCTGCGCGGCGGAGGCTCTACACAGATTAGATCGCGGCCTCTCTTCCCTCCTGCAACATTGAGCTGTTGGAAAGGTAAGAATAAAGGGGCTTGGGGGGACCTATTGTATTGGGGGAGGGTCAGTAATGTATTGGGAGGGGAGGGGGGTCAGTAATGTATTGGGAGGGAGGAGGGGTCAGTAATGTATTGGGGAGGGAGGAGAGGGGTCAGTAATGGATTGGGGGAGGGGAGGAGAAGGGGGTCAATGCATTGTAAAGGGTCAATAATGTATTGGGGAGGAGGGTCAGTAATGTATTGGGGAGGGGTCAGTAATGTATTGGGGGAGGGGGGGGGGTCAGCAGTATATTAGGGGAGGGGGTTACAGCAGTATATTAGGTGGAGGGGGTTACAGCAGTGTATTAGATAGGGGGAGGGGAGGCCAGTGTGTGTGTGTGTGACTGTGTCTGTGTGTGTGTGTGTCTGTGTGTGTGTGACTGCCTGTGTGTGACTGTGTACGTGTGACTGTGTGTCTGTCTGCCTGTGTGTGTGTGTGACTGCCTGTGTGTGTGTGTGACTGCCTGTGTGGCTGTCTGCCTGTGTGGCTGTCTGCCTGTGTGTGTGAGTGTGTGGCTGTCTGCCTGTGTTTGTGGTTGTCTGCCTGTCTGTGTGTGTGTGGATGTTTTCCTCGTTGTCAGTGACTGTCTGCCTCTGTGTGTGTGTGTGTGTGCGCGCATCTGCTAGTGAGGGAGCCTCTGTGTGTGTGTGCACTTGCTCTTGAGTTTGTGTGTGTGTGCCTGCTAGTGAGTGAGCTTGTATGTGTGTCAGTGAGCTTGTCTGTAGGGATAATATGTGTGTGTGTGTGTGTGTGTGAGTGAGCTTGTCTGTAAGGAGCATGGGTGTGTCGGAGCCTGTCTGTGGTGAGCATGTGTGTACAGTGAGCTTGTCTGTAGTAAGCATGAGTGTGACCGTGAGCTTGTCTGTAGTGACCATATGTGTGTCAGTGAGCTTGTCTGTAGTGAGCATGTCTGTAGTGAATCTGTGTGTTAATGAGCTCTTCTGTAGGGAGCATGTGTGTGTCAATGGGCTTGTCTGTAGGGAGAGTGTGTGCGCATCAGTGAGCGTGTCTGTAGTGAGCGTGTGTGTGACAGTGAGCTTGTCTGTAGTAAGCTTGTTTGTGTATATCAGAGTTTGTCTGTACTAAATTTGTGTGTGTGCCAGTAACCTTGTCTGTGTGTGTCATTGAGATTGTCTGCCAATTAGCCTATTTGTGTGCATCAGTAAGATTGTCTGTGTCTGTGTGTGAGTATGCGTTACTATATAATTTAATTACCCTAAAAGAACTAATATTTTGAAGAAGAAGAAGAAATGTATCAATAAAAAAATAAATAAATATATATATAGGCAATTGAAATAGTTGGCTGCACGCTTGGATTTCCTTAAAATGTAACTTTTATTGAAATATTTAAGAGAAGATCAACGTTTCAGTCCCTCTTGTGGACTTGCATCAGGATCATGACGAAAGTTCACAAGAGGGACTGAAACAGTGATCTTCTCTTAAATATTTCAATAAAAGTTACATTTTAAGGAAATCCAAGAGTGCAGCCAACTATTTCAATTGTGTGTGTGTGTATATATATATATATATATATATATATATATATATATATAAACACCCTACACAGCACAATGAATTATGGGGCTGGCATAGATTTTTTTCCAGGGCTGCTTCGTGTCCCCAGTCCGGCCCTGGCTATGATACACTCAGGAGGAACAATGGGTGACATCTCTTGTTCTAGTTCTAACTCTTCTTCAAATTGTCTAGATAAGGCGTCAGCTTTAACATTTTTAGGACCAGGCCTGTAAGTAATAATAAAGTTAAAGCGGGACAAGAACAGAGACCATCTAGCCTGTCTAGAAGACAGATGCTTGGCATCACCAATATAGGCCAGATTCTTGTGATCGGTTATGATCAATAGGGGGTCTTTGGAACCCTCCAAAAGATGTCGCCATTTCTTGAGCGCCAATATAATGGCTAACACTTCTCTGTTACCTATGTCATAATTACGCTCAGCAGGAGATAAGTTTCTGGAGAAGTAACCACAAGGATGCAAAGGGGCATCCTGACTCTCTCTTTGGGAAAGGACAGCCTCAACCCCTGCTTCAGAGGCATCAACCTCAAGTATGAAAGCTTTGCTAGTGTCAGGATGTATTAATATGTCTGCAGAAGCAAACTATTTTTTGAGACGTCTTAAAGCCTCTTTGGCTTCTTTGGACCATTCTTTACAATTAGCCCCCTTGCATGTCATATTGGTGATTGGGGCTTTTACTGAAGAGAAACCCTTTATGAATCTCCTGTAATAATTGGAGAAACCAATGAACCTTTGAATGGCCTTTAACCCGTTGGGTAATGGCCAGTCTAGAACAGCCTCTAGTTTGCGAGGATCCATTTGGAAACCAGAGGCGGATATATTATAACCCAAAAAACTGTACTTCAAGTTGATCAAACATGCATTTTTCAAGTTTACAATAAAGACCATTCTTGAGTAAAGTTTGTAATACTTGTTAATCATGATGGCGATTGGGTCTGGAGGTCGGGGGAATAAATGAGGATATCATCAAGGTATACAAGTGCAAAAGAGTAAATATAATCCCTTAGCACATTGTTTATGAAGTTCTGTAATGCGGCCGGGGCATTGCATAACCCAAAGGGCATAACAAGATATTCATAGTGGCCAATTCTGGTATTAAATGCCGTTTTTCACTCATGATCATTCTTAATCCTAACCAAATTGTATGCACTCCTGAGGTCAAGTTTGGTAAAGACCTCAGCACCCTTGAGTCTGTCAAACAATTCGGAGATAAGGGGGCATTTTTTATGATGATTTTGTTTAACCCCTATGGTCAATGCAAGGGCGTAGTTCTCCATCCTTTTTAGACACAAAAAAGAAACCTGCACCAGCAGGGGATGATGATTTGCGTTTGTGAACCTTATTTAAGGCATCTCTGATGTACTCCTCCATGATTTTACTCTCTTGGGGGGTAAATCATTAACCGCCTGTGGCGAAACCGACCTCGCCACTGGGCATTGGAGAAGACTGATTGCCAGCCTCCTGCCATGTGACTATGGCCCCTGAGATGTATTGCCCTTTAAAGACATGATTCGGGCATAAGGGATTTGTGCTGTGCTGCTGCTGGCCCTTTAAGAACCATCTGGGGACATACTGTGGAGTTACTGGGTGGCCACCATTTCCTGTATCATAGGCACATGGTGAGAACAATGGATGGCGGCCATTTTAACTCACAGACACTGTTTGGACTTTTCAACACGATGCCATCTCACCAGTATTTGGTGCACAGAGACATTGTGCAGTGGTTTTGGACTATACAGTAGGGGACACATTATACAGTGATTGTTTTTCATTTAGCCTGTATATGTTCTACAGAATCTGCATTAAACTGTATCTCCCAAAGTACTGAACGGATCTGGGTGAATTTTGGATATGTGGTTCACCCAGATATACTTATGGGGTTATTGCATGTTTTGGGGTCCCTGTGATGTGTTTTATGAAACTGTATTTCTCTGTCTGTGATAATTAGATTACCCTTTGTGTAAGGTAATTGTATCACAGGCAAAAGGGGAGGATTTTTTTGTGGGAGTGTCTTTCTATAATGTATGTGTGTTATTGGTTGTTCTGTAAAACCCTGTGGGCAGTACTAAATTTGTGGATTGGGAATAAAAGAGGCTGTATGTGCCACTCCAGTCAGTTCCTGCTTAACCCTCAAAGTGAAGTGTCGTCTCATTATTGGGGGATGATTTATTGTATGCTGTTTCAGTTTGACTGCTAGGAGTGTAAACCTATTCGCATGGTTTTTCCTATTCGGCTGTATACAACATTCATATGCTTGAGAGCATTCATATGCTGCTACGATTCGGTGGTTTTGGTGTCTGCTGCAGTGCTTGGAGTCCTCAGGAAGTGCTAGGAGCATCCTTTAACGGAGGTACCCAGTCGGGGTGCCAGGTTATCCGTTACACCGCCCATTTCAGAGTCATAGCCCTCGGCAACAGATCAATGGAACAATCATATGATCTATGTGGAGGTAAAACTTCAGTTTGACTTTTACTGAACACTTCCCTAACTTCCCAATACTGCTTGGGTATTTCGGGGGTAGTGGGTGTTATAGTAGGTAAAGTAACGATGCCCACTCTTTTAGTAAGAGGTGTCATACAGTCCTGCTGACAGTCTGTACTCCATTCCAGTATTTCCCTTTTGGTCCAGTTAATATGAGGGTTGTGCTTGATGAGCCAAGGGAACCCTAATATGATGGGACACGAAGGGAAAGCGATTATCTAAAATGTAAGGAATTCTTTATGCATTGCTCCTATACTGATACAGATAGGTAAGGTCTCGTGGGTAATCAATAGTTGAGAGAGAGGTCTCTCGTCTATAGCCTCAACCACCAGAGGTGAAGGTTTCTCCTTGAAAGGTATTGAGTGTTTTTTAACAAAATACATGTCAATAAAGTTACCTGCCGAATCTGAGTCTACCAGTGCCTTGTATGAAAAGTTTTTCTTGTTGCAAAGGGCGACAGTGTCAAGGAGAAATCTACTTTGGTTCTTACTAGAGGATGTATCCATCACACCTAAGACCTGTCCCCTTAAGGTTCTTAGGTGCGGAAGTTTTCCGGGCATATTGGACAAGTATCTCTCATATGTCCTTTTTTTCCACAATACAAGCATAGACCCTCTCTGCCTCTGACAATCTTGTAACCCCTAGTTGCATAGGTTCGGATTCAGGTTGCACCGGGAGGTCAGGGACAATAGGTTTGGAGAATCGAGGTGCTAGTGACAAGGTCATGTCAGGTTCTGCTTCTAGTAATTTCTCTGGTCCTAAGTCTATTATCAATCTGCATCACAAAGGTAATAAATTCATTTCTTTTTTTCAGTAGATCTTTAGCAGCAATTTCGTCAAGTATATTCTCGGATAATCCTTTTTTAAAAGCAGCGATTAATCCATTGTTAGTCCAGTCTACCTCAGAAGCCAAGGTGCGAAATCCAATGGCATAATCTGGTATAGACCAGTTCCCTTGTTTGATAAGCATTAAGGCAGTGGAGGCATCATCCTCCCTGCCTAATGGTTCAAACGTTAGTTTGAAGGCACCAACAGATTCAAATATATCTTTGCTGCTATGTAATGGTATTCTAGCAGCTGCTCTCTTGATCCGATGGATGGATCTGGCAGAAATCTTCCTCAATGTGCCTTTATCTGTACGAACCCGTCTGTGCTCTGAATCAGCCACAAATCTCTTAATAGTGCGATGATCACGCTTAAGTTTTCGTGAATTATGTAATGTTTTCATACCTCGTCCAAGGCATTGAACTATTTTACTCTTTTTGGAAGCAGAGTGATCCTTTTTCTTCCCCACATTGCATGAAAATGGTGCTCTGCTTAATAATGTGGAACACCCTCCTTTAGTAGTTTTTTACCTGGCAATCTAATTATCACAGGTGTTTGAGATTGTTTTCAGTGATCAAAAGAGCCCAGAGACACAATGCCATCCATGAGTTAAACTGAAAAACAAAATATTTAATCTTTGTGACACTTAAATAGAATTTGCATAATAATTTGGAACAGGGTGTATGCTTAAGCGGTATCATTATATGACAGGATGCAAGTCCACTGGAAATGAGTATAAATTAAAGTACAATGACAGAAATTAAAGTAGGGAGACTGCTGCAGTGCTTAAAGCTAAGTGCTGAGATTGGATCAGCCTCTTGGAGGTTCGCTCCTGGCTAAATAAACGTGCCTACATTATTCACTACACAGCGACAGACGAAAACGTGCCCTCTGGATGCTAAGTAAAGTAAGGCATGTCCTCTGTGAGGCATAGTATTGGATGCTTCAGCCTATGCCCAGTGCGGGAATGTCCCGGTTATTGTCCTTGTGAGCCTCTTCGATGGCACCCCTGGGTTGTGATTCAGCTCTAGCGGTGGTCAGTAAGGTGGACTCCTGTACATCATCACGGTGTGCAGCTGTGGCTTTAAAGGTTAGCACTGCCCAGAAGCTCTTGCAGAGAAAAAAGCCTCCAGGGGATGTGTGGGTGGCTAGATGCCTATGCCCATTGATTTGGGCCTATGCTTAGCCGCCATCTTAGCTGTGTCTCGGCGGTTCGGTACCCCTGCAGTCGGCATGGCCAGTAAGTTTGTCATCCGTCCTGGTCTGTTTATCCAGTGGGGACCGGGATATCTCCCACCGGTCCAAGGGGTTGGGGGAGGTAGGGTGCAATCAGAGTAGTTTAGGAGTCCCGGTTTCAAGGGGGTGCGGCTCCAACTCCAGTATGCCGCACTTGGCGTTCTGCGCCTCTGGCCCCGACTGGTTTCGGGGTTGTTTCACTCGGTTCAGTGGCACACCCCCGACGTGGGTAGTGCACCCTGGTATGTCCTTGGGCTTTGTAGCCACCGTTATCACCCCAATTTCTACCCGCTAGGCAGCCAGGTCTGCACAGCTAGGTGGTCAGGCTAAGCCTCAATCTGCATTTTTTTTTAATAGTTTGGGAGAGGACCAAGATAATAAGTATGGCTCGCAGATTCCTATTCTATGTTTTTCAATGTTGTACCAGCCAAGATTAGTCTCCTTCCTTCTCCTCCATGCTAGCATATGGAAGAGTTGGAATGAGTCATGATAACAATATATACATGGATATCCCAATCCGTCCTGTAACATATTTCTCTTAAGGACTCTTAAGGACTGTACTTGGGATCCTAGGTTTTTTAGATGCCCAGACAAAGTTAGAAAACGCCAAATCAATTTTTTTTCAGAATGGAATTTGCAACTTGGTATGGTATAGCTCTAAACAAGTAGAGAAGGTTTTGGAGTACATATGATTTCAATACACCAAGCCGTCCCAGCCATGAGATTTCTAGTCTCTTCCATTGAGTCAATAATATATCAAGTTCCCCCCACAGGGTTTCCTAATTCAGTGTAACAGTTTCCAGTATTTTAGGTCTGATCTTGATTCCTAAATAATCTATAGATGTTTGATATCAAATTGACCAATGTCACCTATGTCCTTCCTCAGTTCATTAGTCATATAAAATGTCAATATTTGAGTTTTAGAAAGATTTAATTTATAATTACACAATGAGGAGAATAGATCAAGACTTGGAGAGGATCTGCAAAGAGGAGTGGGACAAAATCCCTCCTGAGATGTGTGCAAACCTGGTGGCCGAATACAAGAAACGTCTGACCTCTGTGATTGCCAACAAGGGTTTTGCCACCAAGTACGAAGTCGAAGGGGTCAAATACTTATTTCACTCATTGACATGCAAATCAATTTATAACTTTTTTGACATGCGTTTTTCTGGATTTTATTCCTTGTTATTCTGTCTCAAGCTGTTAAAATACACCTACCAATTATAGACTGATCATTTCTTTGTCAGTAGGCAAACATTCAAAATCAAAAACTAATGTATAAGTGGAGCGCAAACAAAGTGAACCAATGAGCCTCTATATACACCAAAATGTGCAAGTGCAACAATACAGGTGGTATACGTAAAGGACCACTATAGTGCCAGGAAAACATACTCGTTTTCCTGACACTATAGTGCCCTGAGGGTGCCCCCACCCTCAGGGTCCCCCTCCCGCCGGGCTCTAGGGTGAGGAAGGGGCTAAACTTACCTCTTTCTCCAGCGCCAGGCGGGGAGCTCTCCTCCTCCTCTCCTCTCCTCCTCCTCGACTGAATGGCATGCGCGGCAAGAGCCGCACGCACTTTCAGCCGGTCTCATAGGAAAGCATTCACAATGCTCTTCTATGGACGCTGGCGTCTTCTCACTGTGATTTTCACAGTGAGAAGCACGCAAGCGCCTATAGCGGCTGTTAGGGAGACAGCCACTAGAGGCTGGATTAACCCTATTGTAAACATAGCAGTTTCTCTGAAACTGCTATGTTTATAGAAAAAAGGGTTAACCCTAGCTGGACCTGGCACCCTGACCACTTCATTAAGCTGAAGTGATTTGGGTGCCTATAGTGGTCTTTTAAGTAGTTCTTTGTGATCCAATGTTCTCATAAGAAATAAACACAACACATTGGATGCATATTGAATGCACAAAGAACTACCTAAGTATACCACCTGTATTGTTGCACTTGCACTTTTTGGTATATATAGAGGCTCATTGTTTCACTTTGTTTGTGCTCCACTTATACATTAGTTTTTTATTTGCATCTTAAGTGTGCTGGGTTGATCGTCTGGAGACTCTGCACTTGAGTGTGTAGCAGCATTGTCACTTGTTGGTATATACCATATTGCATGATTTTTTACTTTTGCACTCTGTAAAGGAGATATTGCAGTTTTTTACCCATTTTTCCTCGGCTCCTTTGAATGCCTTTTTAGCGCTTTTTACAATTCTTCATTTTTCAGTAAATGTTCAAAATTAGCAGGGGATCAAATACTTCCCCTCACTGTAAAGAGCCTTTGCTTGCTCCAAAAATATGCCATCTATACCATACACCCGCAAGGTCTCCAGCATGGACCTCCAACTTACTCGATCAAAAGCCTTTTCAGCATCGAGAGCCATTAAAATAGAAGGGGTTTGTTTAAGATGGATTTCCTCTAAAATGTTAATGATTCTGCGGGTGTTCTCCTATCCTAATCTACCGGGCATAAATCCAGCCTGGTCTGGATCAATAACTTAATAGATCACTCGATTAAGTCTCTGAGCTAAGATCTTAGAAAAAAAGCTCAATAGCTAAATTGATAAGGGAAATGGGCCTATAGTTGGCGACTAGTGTCGGATCTTTTCCTGGCTTTAGAGTAGGAGAGATACTGGACTCCATCATCTCTAGAGGGAAACCAGTATTTTCCCTAATTGTGTTAAACATTCTGCTTAGAAGTGGATTGATTACTGGATCAAGAATTTGATAAAATAGAGCTGTGAAGCCATCCGGCCCGGAAGCCTTGCCTCTTTTTATTTCCTTTATTGCTGATGATATCTCTTATATCAATGATTCAAACTATCTAATTTTTCTAAAGATAGGGAAGGGAGATGCAGGTCATTTAAAAATGATCTCATATCAATATTTTTAGCCACCGAATCCAGTAGATTATAAAGTGATTTCTAATATTGTCTAAATGCCTTTCCTAACTGTGCTGGTGAAATACAGATATTACCAGAAAATATTATTTGTTTTATTCTGGGTTGCTGATTATATATTATTTAGTTTCCTGGTTAGTTATTTTCCAGGCCTATTGTTTTTATAGTACCAGTACCGTTTTAGGCGCGATCGTGATTTCTCTGCATTTTTCAGGTTTTTTTCGATGATTTCTATCTCATCTGCAACCTTCTTTGTGGGAATAACTTTATTCTGTCTTTCTAGTTTTGCCAGAAAAATATACAATTCTGCGATATGTCTACCTTCCTTTCTCTTCATCCAGGATCTGTTTTTTATTAAATATCCTCTTAAAAAGCATTTCAAGGTGCACCATAATGTACTATCTTGAACTTCTCCATTATCATTAAACTCTAAAAAATTGTTGGCCTGTTTAATCAATTCTTGTTTACTCTTTTCTTATTTTAATATAAATTAATTCATTTTCCATTTAGAGCGAGAACCATCTCGATTGTTGCCTTTGAGATGTAAGAACGTTGGTGCATGAGCTGACCATGTGATGTTTCATATCCTGGAGTTGTTAGTCGTGTCTACGGTGGAGCCAAACATCAGAAAAAAGTCAATTGGTAAATATGAACCACGGGGGGATGAGTAGAAAGATTAATCTCTTTCCTCTGTATAATAAAATTATTTTTAAAAAGAGAATTTAAAAAAAGTTTAGCCTTAATTCTAATATTATTTTCATATTTACAATCTTTGATTAACTTGACCTTTTATCTATGTCAGGATCACAGATACTATTTAGATCACCTCCTATTACCAATAAACCTTTTGAATAGAATGATTTAAAAATTTGACTGAATGTTCAGATAGTGCATATAAACTAACAAGAGTATACATAATATCATTAATGCGACAAATCAGGATTATACATCTGCCTTCGTTATCTGAGTCATGATGTACAAATCAGATTTGATTTTACAAGAAACAATCACTACAACACCCGATTTCTTTTTCTCCATTAATGAAGATGTAAATATATATGGGAATCTATGATAGTAGAGGTTGGTTTCGTTTCCAGTGTGTCTCTTGTATTAAAGCCACATCAATATTTTCTTTGACTAGCAGGTCGTATAAATATGCTCTTTTGTATGGAGAATTCAGTCCCTGCAAGTTTAATGTAACTAGTTTAAGAGACATCGAACACTCTTGTCTCCACCTCCAGGCGTCCTGATTTATTGGGACACATACCACGGAACACCAGAGAACAATCCATCAAAACAAACAAACAGAAAAAAACATATAGGAAAACATTCATACAAGACTCATTTATACTCAATCTTCTGGTCTTGTGATGCAAGTCATAAATTCTGCATCACAAGCAAAAGACAAAATCCCTTTACCCTCAGGGATAGCCTTGGGCCCGTCGTAGTGCCTTTATACTTTGTTCTAAATTTATCAGTGGCATACTTATCAGAGAAAAAAAAAGAAAAAACAGTAAAAAAAAGAAAAAAGAGAGAGAATAATTCTCTCTCTTCCTTTCTCTCTCTCTCTCCTTCCTCCTCTCTTATTATATACAACCTTTTAGCAAAAACAACATAAAAAAACCAAACCAAGTTGTTTCTCTCTTACTCTCTCTCCCCGCCCTCCACCTGGGTTTCTTATTAGAACATATTCATAGTAGTTTAATAATATTAAATGTAACATTCTAAGTAAAAATCTTAGATATTGATTAACGATAGTACCCTTTTTCCATGATAAACATTATAGAATATCTGTCTCATAGATGTTAGGTATGTGCATGGGGAAATTTTCGGTTCAGTTCCGCATTCCGAAATTCGGGACTTCGGCAACTTTGGAATTTCGGGACTTCTCTTACAGCCGCTTAGTAGTTAACTCCCTAATTCCCACGGTATTAGGGAGTTATCTACCAAAATGCTGAAAGACCTAAATTGGTCTTTCAGCCAAATTTACTAATACTAAGTGCTCACTGTTAAAAAAAAAAAGTGTGGGGGCGGAGCCGAACGCCGACCAAGATGGCCGCGTGAGTCCCGAGCTCCGTGCATGGCGGCGAGAACAACCGGCCCAACTTGACCACCCACCTCGAACATCCAGGCACAAACCCCGCAGGAAACATGTCCCACCATAAGGGAAAGGGGAAAGGCGACCGTTCGTCCTTTTTTGCCGCGAGGAACCAGTACAGGCCGTCGGCCGACCAGGTAGGCCTCCAAGATGGCGACAATGATTCAGGGGAAAGTCAGGACTCAAGCCCCCCCTTACCCACTACACAAGAGGGAGAGGGAAAAGTCACCCCAGCCCTAATACAAAACATGCTAGATGCCCAATCAAACAAGCTGTTGGCACATTTCCAAACCTCCATATCTGACCTGAAAAAAGAAATTCAAGCCATTGGAGACAGGACAGAGCACCTAGAAAATAAATTGGAAACCCATGCAGCTGCACACAACACCATGCTCACTAAAATTAAACAACTGGAAGCACACATATCCTCACATGATAAACTGGCAGACCTTGAAGACAGGTCCCGCCGGAACAATCTGAGGCTCAGGGGCATCCCAGAATCTGTGGCAGTGGGGGACCTACAAGCATTCGCCACGAACCTGTTCCAGAACCTATGTCCTGACATACCAGCTCAAATGCTTCTCTTGGACCGCATACACAGAGTGGCTAAAGCAAAAGCAGCACCGGTATCTGCTCCCAGAGACGTGCTACTACGCGCACATTACCACCATATCAAGGAAGAGATACTCAGAGCCAGCAGAACAAACAAATCCCTAGCTGAAGTTTACAAGGACATTCAAATATTCGCTGATATATCCCCAGCAACATTAGCCACGCGGCGACTCTTCACCCCAGTGACAAACCGCCCTGAGAAAACACCAAATCCAATACAGATGGGGTTTCCCCACCAAACTGTTAATCATACGTAATGGACAGGCCACGGCAGTGCTCAGCCCAGAAGACGGCATACAACTCTTAAACAAATGGAATATACAGCCGGCAGATTCACCCCAAACACTTAACACCCTACCTCCTGAGTGGAAACGGGCGAAACGTTAACCGTTGCCCACAACACCCCACTGCAAACTATTGTTGCCGTTAACTACCATACTTTACAGATCTCCAAGAACTTTGATTTCCCCCCCAGAGGTCCCCTTGTGTGACCTGACCCACCCGCGCCATGGACCCCGCAGTCACTACAGGCAGCTACAATCAACACCCTCGAGGCTGTGGAGAGGGCTACAGAAACATTGAGGGGCATCCAGGGGCATCATGAAGGGACTACCCCTCACCCTACGCTGTCACATGTCAAGATCACCTTGGGAACGATCCCAAAAGACACTTATCAATACAAGCAACCACAGACCCGTCCCGGGACTACCACCAGTGAGGGGCATCACCCGAGACACCCGACAGACGTCCACTCAGGTTAAATGGGACCGACTCAGTGACTGGAGAGAAAGGGTAGCATAGGGTCACAGAAGTTAGTGGGAGCAGGGAGCGGGGAGGGCAAACAGTAGGCCAAACACAAGCCCCAAGCATAGCACCCCCACCCCTACACTGGCTCCGATCTCACAACGACCGGGGACAAAAGATCACCTTCCACAGCCAGGGGACCTTTTAACCGCCCACTTGCAGCCAGGAACGAACCCTTAAAACTCCCCCCCAAACAACGTTATCCCCTGACTACTCCGACGAAATAGAGCAAATACATCTGAGGCGTGAGGATCCCAACAAGGGGGAAGCCTTTACTGGAGGACCCACATTAAGGGAAGGAGGGGATAAACACTCACCTAGGTGGGGACGGGGAGAGGAAGTTAGAGGAGACTTAGTCATAGAAAGCGGCCAACCATTGCAGTATCTTTTGGGGATTGTTTAAGGTTAAATCCTCATGTTAGAGGAAACCAATGTGTTATAATATGTACCTGTTACTAATGTTAATTTTATATGTCAAGTTGAGGCTCATACCACATTGTCTAGAAGTGCATAGATCCGCCTGTACGGAGCGTGGACACCCGAACCCATCAAGCCTAACCTCAACCCCGAAGGGAACTGGGTGACAAGCTCAGTACAGCCGAATCCAACTCTGTTCGCCGGAGGGCGATTAACTTTAACTCAATGGGGGATAGCCCCGAGTTAGTCCTGAGTGTTCGCCTATGCGACACTCAACACGACACCTTTCCTTTTCTAGCCTTTCATCTTCTTTTCTCCTTTCCTTTTTCTCCACAGGAGGTACGACGGACGAGGGGGGGTGGGAATCCCACGGATATACGGGTATGTTACTACACCACACTGTACACACACTATGCGGATAATATCACATAATGTTAAAGGGTTGAACACCCCGTCAAAACGTCATACCCTCTACAAAGAAATAAAACAACTGCAGGGCAACATCATATGTTTGCAGGAAACACACTTCCGCAAATCTGACCCATGCCGCTTCGGCATCAAACAATTCCCATACCAATTCCACTCACCTTCAGACACTAAATCCAAAGGGGTATCCATCCTTATCAGCGGCCAAGTATCTTTCTCCTTAATCAAAAAAATAGCTGACTCTAAGGGTCGCTTCTTAATAATCATAGCTCTGATCAACGACGTTACATACACAATAGGCAACATCTACGCCCCAAATGACCACCAAAGAGACTTCTTAACTAGAATCCTAGCCAAAATCGACAAACTACAACAGGGTTTCCTTATCCTAGGAGGAGATTTCAACTGTATCCAAGACCCTGTACTGGACTCATCCTCCGTCAAAACACCCACACGACTCAAAGCACTATCGAAATTAGCCAAACAACTAACCACACTTTTCCACTCCTACAATCTTTAGGATGTATGGAGGACCAAACACCCCCCAGACAGAGCATACACATACTACTCATCTGTACATAACTGTTACAGCAGAATAGATAGGTATTATGTAAAAGGCACACAACTAACACAGGTCTTGGAATGCGAGACTGGGAATATTGAATGGTCAGACCACGCCCCGATCATCCTCACGATAGCAGACAAATTTGCCTTCAAAAACAAACCTCCTTGGCGACTCAATGAATCGCTTCTCCAGACCCCCCATTTCACAGAAAACATGCAGACGGAAATTGACCAATACTTTAATGCTAATGCAACACCCATGATGTCCACAGAAACACTGTGGCAAGCCCACAAAGCTGTAGTAAGAGGCCTCTTCATAAAACAGGCTGCCCACGCAAAAAGAACCTCCCAAGCCAAACTCACAGAATGGAGCAAAGAACTCCAACACTTAAATACACAAAACCAAACAAAACCCTCCAAACACCTTAAGAAACAGATACTGCAGCTCCAATCCAAAATCCAAGAGGTACACCTGCACCGCACCAGCTTCATGCTGAAAAAACTGAAACTTACCCACTACACTCAGGGCAATAGAGCCGGAAAACTATTAGCCTCCACACTGAAAGAACAACAGACTCGCTCCCGGATACCACATCTACACTCTGACACAACTGGTAAGATACTCTCCCCAGGAGACATTAGTAACGAATTCGCCTCCTTTTACACCCAGCTCTATAACATCCGGAACGACCAGGACCAACACCACGCCACTACTGAGGAATCCACTACATACCTAGACCACATTAACACTACCACGTTGTCAGCAGACCAAAGGGAATCACTGGCCAAACCAATAACCGCAGAAGAAATTGAGCAGGTTATACAGAATCTCCCAGCCAACAAAACACCAGGCCCTGACGGACTGTCTAACATTTACTACAAAAAATTCCGTAAAAGCCTGACCCCCCACTTGCTAAAATTATTTAACGATGCAGTTCTCAGCTCCAAATTACCTCAAGACATGCTAGCGGCGACAATAATCACCCTGCCAAAACCAGGCAAACCCCCCACGCACTGTAAAAACTTCAGGCCCATATCCCTACTTAACTCAGATGCCAAGATATTCGCCAAAATAATAGCCAACAGAATGTCAGACGCTCTTACGACACTTATCCACTCAGACCAATCTGGCTTCGTAAAGGGGAGACAAGGCACAGATAACACTAGGAGAGTACTTGACATCATGCACTCCATGCAAAGACAACACACAAAAGGGATTCTAGTATCCCTTGACGCCGAAAAGGCATTTGACCGCCTTAGCTGGAACTTCCTCGAAGCAGTGCTGAAAAAATATGACTTCCCAGACGAATTCCTATCCGCAGTTAGGGCACTGTATAATGTACCCACAGCGAAAGTACTATACGGAGGCTTTCTCTCAGACTCCTTCACCATCACCAATGGGACGCGGCAGGGGTGTCCTCTGTCACCCCTGCTGTACGTCCTGGCCCTCGAACCACTCGCGACCCGAATTAGGGCCCACCCTGACATACAGGGAGTTCACATAGGAAGTACTGAACACAAACTCAGTCTATTCGCTGACGATGTTCTCCTCACCATCACACAACCAGACACCTCCATCAAAGCACTCACAGAGGTTTTGAAAGAATACAGCAGGCACTCATACTACAAGCTAAACGAGGCCAAAACACAAGCCATGACAATTAACCTAGACCACAAGACGACACACAACCTCAAAACGCACTACAATTTTGACTGGAGAAATGACCATGTGGTTTATCTGGGAATAAAACTAACAAAAAACCCGCTAAACCTAATCAAAGCCAATTACCTTAAAATAGCCTCCGACATCCGCACAAAACTGGACAATTGGAAAGGTAAATTTCTGTCCTGGCTGGGCCGCATAGCGGCCTTTAAAATGATGCTGCTCCCGAAGCTGCAGTTCTTGTTCCGATCCATACCAGTGGAAGTCCCGAAGACATACTTTATCCAATTGCAAAGACACATAGACAGGTTTATTAATGACAGACGCAAATCCCGCATCCCAAAGGCCACAGCCACTAGAAAACTAGGAGAAGGGGGAATAGGCAGACCAGACATCCTAGCTTACTACATAGCCACAATACTCAGCCACACCATCGCGGCACAAGATACAAAATACCAACCACCTTGGGTGGAGATTGAGTCCTACTGGTCCCTAGCAGAAGGGATCGCCTGTCTATTCTGGATACCTAAACCCCTGAGACCACAAATGCACAACATGCTACCCACCACGGCCCTAATGCTAAAGACATGGGACAATAAAAAAGACACGTTCTCCTCCTGGAGCCCAATATCGTTGGCTACCCCAATCAAATGTTTCAAATACTACATTCCCACCTTCGACAGCAGGGGATGGGAGGGCAAGGGAACAGTCTTTCTACACCAAGCATGGAGCGGGGAGAACTTGATCCCTTTCCCCCAACTCAACCTGCCGCTGAGCACACCCCAAATAAGTGGCCTGTCATACCTACAGCTACAATCCCTACTAAGAACCACCAACCAAACGAAACCCCTCCACCCACCCACAATACAAAACATGACCAATATAGAAAAAATGTGCGCAGGGCTACTACCAAAGAAAAAGGTCATAACAACCTGCTATGAGGCAATTTTGAAAGACGATAAACGACCAAAGCCTAAATACACCACAGACTGGGAGGTAGACATAGGACGTAAAATACCTGACGCCGCCTGGTCGGGAGCCTTTAAGATACACAAAAAATACACAAAATGCAACTCCCACGTAGAATTAATAAGGAAAATAGCCACCAGATGGTACCTAACACCAGCGAAGCTAGCACACATGTTCCCAAACACCTCTGACAAATGCTGGAGATGCAACACTGACAAGGGAACAATGCTACACATCTGGTGGGATTGCCCGTTAATCAAACCCTTCTGGGCGGAGATCGCCAAGCTAATGGGGGAAGTACTACACAAACCAATACGGGAATCAGTGGAATTCTTCCTACTGTTCATATTCCCCGACCTCATCTCAAGACAACAAGGGACTCTGGCATTCCACATACTGATAGCAGCGAACTTGCTTATAGCTAGGAAGTGGAAATCCACCACTGCCCCCCCCATAGGCGAAGTGATACAACAGGTATCTCTCAATGGCCAGTACGAAAAAATGGCCCACGAGAGCTCTGATAGACGCAATAAAATTCTAGACACATGGGGAAAATGGAATGAATGGGTGGAAGGGAAAAACCTTAGGGATGCGGCACAGGAGGCAACAACCTGGCGGCAAAGGGGTACTGTACCCACACCACTTGAAAAGCAGAACCCATAGGGACCACCACCTCCGTCCACTCTCCCCCCCCCCCACCAACCTAGAAGACCCACGATGATATCACTCGTGCCTAAAACTAACCCTCCTCTCGCTACTCCTTTGCTAGTTTCCTTTCTCTCTCTCTCTCTCCTCTCTATAGGAGTCCTCACACCCAGCCCTAAGCTGGAACTTCCTTAAAACTCCTGGGGTCCACACAGTCGGACACAACACAGAATACCAAAGGCACATAAAGATGATGCTACCGCAGTCTTTAGAGACCTTATAGGTACGGAAAGACAAACGAGATAAGGGGCCAGCTACAGACAAACTACAAATTTAATGAGGCACGGAGTAAACTAGCTGGCGGCCCACAGAAAGCAATGACCATGCATATACAATTGTATAACTATATAATAATGTAACGTTAAGATAAAGAATGCACGCAACCAATGTAACAAAACATAGTGCTGATACACTGTTCGATTGTACTAACTAATGTGTCTTGTGCCTGTTTGGATTTCCGGAATAAAAAAGAAATAAAGAATAAAAAAAAAAAAAGTGTCCCCCCTCCCAAGCCGCCACCTGTGCCGCGCGAGTGGGGGCTTTTAAACTAAAGGGGGGACCTATTGCCCCCCTGGCCCCCACCCCTGAGCAGCAGGTGGGGGCAGTAAAGTAAAAAGGGGGGGACCCATTGTCCTCCCCTCAGCCCCCACCCCCGAGTGGCGGGTGGGGGCCCTAAAAGTAAAATAATGGGGGGGGGTCTATTGTCCTCCACCCCGGACACCTAATGTCCTCCCCCCTGGCCCCCACTCCGGAGCGGTGGGTGGGGGTCCTAAATACCAATAAGGGGGAGGACCTAATGTCCTCCCCCCTGGCCCTCACCTCGGAGCGGTGGGTGGGGGCCCTAAATAATAATTTATCTTACCCCCCAGGTGACTAGGAGTCCCCAATCCCCTAGTCACCCCCCTCCCAAAAACAATTAACCCCTACCTACCCCCCTCACCCTAAAAATAATGAGGGGGGACCATTAACTAAGTACCTGTAAAAAAAAAAAAAACTTACCATTTGAGGTCTTCTTTTTTTCTAAAATCTTATTTTTTCAGACCCAAAAAAGGCAAAATAAAAATCCATAATGACCGTCACAATTAGAAAAAAAAAATACACAAAAAAAAAATCCATCTTCACCCACGGAGGGCTCCGCGCAGACTGAGCTCCGCAGGTGGGTGGGTGCCCTATATACCATTCTTTGTGTGTTATTAGTTTAAGCAGACTGTGATTGTTGTGACTTAGATGATGATCAGATCACATTTTATAACCAATTTGTGCAGAAATCCATCTCATTCCAAAGGGTTCACATACTTTTTCTTGCAACTGTATATTTAAGTGTTGAAAATTTTATTCCGTGCATTGAAAACATACCCATTATGACCTCTAACATACACACTTCCTTAATTATTTCCCCCCCTCAAAAAAAAAAAAATAGGTGTTCAAAGTTATTTCATATGCAGATTATATTTTGTGGCAAGACTTATCCATTATCTAAGTTCGTAAAAACTTTTAAAAAAGGAAAGAAAAAAAAATAAATGGATAAAAAAATTATATTCCACCTGCCTCTGTTCTTCTTATATTAAAAATGACTGAACACACTTGCTGAAACAGGCTGGTTTCAAGTTAAGGGACCATACTTATAGTATGACCTATGAGGCTAGAACGCACCGCAAACAGAACGGAGTAGCGATCCTAATACGGAACAGCTGTCCTCTGAAAATAACCTTTTCTGACCCTGATCCGGATGGGCGATATGTCAACCTATCCAGCACACTACTTTCTCACACGATACACTTAATCAATGTGTATGCACCGAACCATCCAGTGACCGGGTTCTGGGAGTCTTTGAAGGCAAAAATATAAACTCTACCACACGGTATGCTGATCGTGGGAGGGGATTTTAATGCGGCGCCGTGCCCCGCCATGGAAAGGAGCGCACGCAAGGGAACACCTAGATCCCATGGACGAAGGGGCCAGGACAAACTATTCCACGGATTTGTGACCGACGCTGGGTTGGTAGAAGTCTGGAGGGCACGTTCCATCGGATGAAGGAAGAACCACAATAAAGTCCATGGATAAGTGGGTCCATGGTTTCTTGGGTACGGATAAAGGCATTAGGAGTCCCGGGGTTTGACATTAGGGGACTTACACTGTGCACAAACACGACAATCCTGCACATAATCCACTACGTCTTGCTTAAGTGAAGGCCACCAAAACTGTTGAAGGAGACCCTTGTATGTCTTGGTAACCCCTGGGTGGCCAGCCGTTTTGGCTAACAATAAAGCTAACAATTTCTTTCTATCTTTTTCCTTCACGTATAGTCTACCAACAGGTGTCTCAGAGGGTGCTTGGATTTGGTATGCCTTGATACCATCACGGAAAAGAGACAAAATAACTAAACGGGTAGCAGCTATTATCTTAGACGTTCAGGAGCGGGGGCGATAGACTCCAAAGGTTCGTATTGTCGGGAGATAGCATCAGCCTTGACATTACGGTACCCAGGCCTATATGTGATAATGAACTGAAAGCGTGAAAGAAATAAGGACCATCTGGCTTGACGAGAGGACAACCTTTTAGCATCAGCTATATAGGAGAGATTCTTATGAACAGTTATAACCAGGATTTTGTGTCTAGCTCCTTCTAATAAGTACCTCCACTCTTTAAAAGCCATCACAATAGCTAATAGTTCCCTATTCCCGACGTCGTAATTCTTTTCCGAATCAGACAGTTTTTTAGAAAAGTAACAACAGGGATGGAGGGGTTCGTTATAGGATAATCTTTGTGATAATACAGCTCCTATACCTGATTCTGAAGCGTCTACTTCCATTATAAAGGGAAGGGAAGGATCAGGATGGTGTAGCACAGGGGCAGTGGCAAATGCCTTTTTGAGAGTTTCGAAGGCTTTAATAGCTTCAGGAGTCCAAACCCTGGGGTGCAAGTTTCGTGATAGGAGAAATGACCGAAGAAAAGTTTTTAATAAACCTGCTATAATAATTGGCAAAGCCTATAAATCGCTGTATTGCCTTAAGGCCTTGAGGGAGAGGCCAAGACAATATGGCTTCTAATTTAGAACGATCCATGCTGAACCCCTGTTCAGAAATTATGTACCCTAGGAATTGTACTGATTTCTGGTCAAATAAACATTTCTCCAATTTACAATAAAGACCGTTCTGTGGCAATCTCTTAAGTACCTTCCTCACATGGGCATGATGTGACACCAAATCAGGAGAATATACAAGTATATCATCGAGATAAACCACAGCACAGACATGCAGTAAATCTCTAAGGACATCATTTATGAGGTCCTGAAAGACAGCAGGAGCATTACACAGTCCAAAAGGCATGACTTGATACTTGTAATGCCCACTGCGTGTATTGAACGCTGTCTTCCATTCATCATTTTCTTTTATACGAACCAAGTTGTAAGCCCCCCTGAGGTCTAGTTTAGTAAAATATCTAGAACCTTTAACACGGTCAAACAACTCAGTAATGAGAGGGATAGGATAAGCGTTTTTAACTGTTATATTAGTCAGGCCCCTATAGTCTATACATGGCCTCAAATTGCCCTCTTTCTTGGCAACAAAAAGAAACCAGCACCAGCCGGAGAGGAGGACCTTCTGATAAAACCTTTACGTAAGGATTCCTGTATGTACTCCTCCATGACCTGGTTTTCTTTCTCAGAAAGCAGGTAGACCTTACCCCTAGGAGGCATCGTTCCAGGCAACAGATTTATGGCACAATCATAATCCCGGTGTGGGGGTAGTTTATCAGCTTCCCTCTTTTCAAAGACCAATGCGAGGTCTGCATACACAGGAGGGACAGAAACAGGAAGTGGTTTAGCTGTAGGCACATTAAGTAAACAAACGGGATGTAAACGGGCCATACAGTCTTGTTGACAAGATACCCCCCAGGAGAGTATATCTAGAGAATCCCAATCGAGTACCGGGTTATGCTTAACTAACCAGGGGAAGCCCAGAATGATGGAAGCTGTAGGGGAGTCAATTATTTGGAAGGTTATCCTTTCTTTGTGTAAGGCACCCATGACCATAACCATTTCTTGGGTTTCATGGGTCACCAGAGGTTTCTCAAGTGGTCTACCATCTATGGCCTCAATGGCCAATGTGTGGCCTTTTGGATCAGATTCAAGGCTGCGGTTTTAGCAAAGTTCTCATCCATAAAGTTGTCAGCAGCACCTGAATCGATCAAGGCTTTAGTTGTTATCGTGGTTTTCTTGACCAAAAGAGTAACCGTGATAAATGGTCTGGAGATGGACACATGAGGGGAAAATATCATAACACCCTTGGCCGGCCCCTCTCTAGGCCTTAGGTGCTGGAGTTTCCCTGCAAACTAGGACAGTTTCTTCGGAGATGCCCCCTCTTACCACAATAAAGGCACAAACCCTCCCTTCTGCGGTACGTTCTTTCAGCTTCAGATAAGCCTACAGCACCTAATTGCATAGGTTCGGGAGGTGGTTGATTAGGGGGAGGTAACGCTAGTAATGCAGTACTGGGTAAAGCAGGTAACCCCTGTGTATTCATCCTTCTTTAACTACGCCTCTCTCTAATACGGTTGTCAATTAGAATGACATAATCTATTAGATCATCCAGAAGAACAGGCATTTCCCTGGATGCTATTTCATCTAATATGTAAGCGGCCAAACCTTCCTGAAAAGCTGTTACGAGAGCGTAGTTATTCCAGACCACTTCAGCTGCCAGAGTGCGGAATTCAATAGTATAATCCGCTACAGATCTATTACCCTGTCGAACCCTAAGCAGAGCTTTGCCAGCAGAAGCAACCCAGCCGGGTTGATCAAACGTACGTTTAAAAGCTGTTAAGAAGTCTGCAAAGGACATTGGGGACGTATTCTCCCACATGGGATTAGCCCATGCTAGAGCTTTCCCAGACAAATGGTTAATCAAAAAAGCAATTTTGGTTCTGTCAGTGGGGTAGGAACGAGGATTCATCACCAAATGAATATCAATTTGGTTGAGGAAACCACGGCACAATGCTGGATCACCGCTATAGCGCTGAGGTGGCATCATGTGAACCACGTGAGCAGGAGCGGGTACTGGATCAGGAATGGGTTCTGGCACAGCAGCAACAGCTTCTTGAACGGCAGGTTGCAAGTGGGCAGTACGAGCCAGTATGGTTTGTAAAGCCTGAGCAAACTGATCCATACGGTGGTCTAAACCATCCATTCTAGCCTCCTGATTTACTAACAACTGTGGAATGTCAGCAGGTTCCATGGTGGCCCTGTTGTAATGTCACGATTCCGGAACCTAACACGCTAACAGGACACAGAGAGGAAGGGTGCTATACCGGTCCTTAGAGTGGCCGGGCTAAGCACACTAAGAATGGTCAGGAGACAAGCCAAGTAAAGGGAGCCAGAAAACGGGAGAACGAGAAACAAGCCGAGGTCAAAGGAGTGGAGAAGACAGGATAATCGGAATAACGAGCCAAATAATCGGAAACCAGAGAGCAAGACGAGAAAACTACGCTACAGGTATCACAAGACCACAACAGGGCACTGAGGGACAGGAAAGGTAAGTATAAATACCCTAGGTTTAATTCTGATTGGATAACTTCCAATCAGAATTAACAATCACACGTGGGGGATATCTATACCTCCCACTGTGATTGAGGTATTGTTTCTTTAACGCCGGGTCACTCACGTGACCCCGGCGTTTGCATAATTTAGTGTCCTCCCAGCATGCAGCGTTATACATGCTGCTGCTGGGGGGCGTGGAGGACGCGAGCGGCGAGCGGCAGAGAGGAGACGCCGCTCGCCGACAGGTGAGACGAGGGGAGACCGCGGGCGGCGACGGACTGAGGGTGAGTGCTGCAAGTGGCGTGCAGCCTCCCCTCCTAGCCGCCCGTGGATCCCTGACACACGTCATCCGAGCACTGTCGACTATACTTTCTATTCTGCCCCACACGATACCTATTCTAGGATAGATTTATTCTTGGTCAACGCATGTCACGGCTGCTAGTGTGGTCCAACATGCAGAAATGATGTAAACATATACATAAAAAAGGAAAGGAAATAAAAGGACAGAGCGTAAACCGGACCTTAGAATGGCCGGACTAATACGCTAGTGATAGAAAATGGTCAAAGGGAAAGCCGAGGTCAAGGAAGCCAGAAATACTCAGATACTGTTTCAACAAGCCAAGTCAGGGGAACCAGAATTTGGAATAACCAGTGAAAAGCCAAGATCAGGATACCAGGAAGTCAGATTCACAAAGATAAACGCACTCTCAGGAACCAGGAACAGGAAACCACGACATGGCAAGGAACTGGAGTGAATTAGGGATTTAATTATCCCTCTCTGGGCTCTGATTCGTCAGAGGGTGACCTCTGACCCCAGAACGTGCGCGTGCGTTGACGTCGTGACGTCACGCACACGTCCGTGTAAATTTGAGGCGCAGAGCTTGTGGTGTGCGCGAACACGTGGTCAGCGCCATCTTTGATTTGGACGCAACGCCCAGAAGAAGCGGAGGTGCAGTTCCCGGCTCGCCGGCAAGCAGGTAAGCTCGCAATATCGGCTAGGTCGTGCCAGTCGGGCACGGCTGCACTATGCGGCAGGCCGGGAGCCGCAACAACGAAAGATGCTTGACCCGTGTCCTGGGCTCAAATATAGGGTCCATCACATGGTCTAACCATGCAGACGTGCCCCTTACGATAGGGAACCTCTGTGCAGCGTCCCCTTGGACCTGGAAACTCAATACCTCCTTATTGAGAGACCAAGAGCTAGTGGAGCAGATACTGGCAGACATCCTAGAATTACTTGCCACCAACACCACCCCTGACCTGAGACGGGAGATGAAATGGGCAGCACACAAGACAGTGATACGGGGCACTTTTATTAAATTAGCGACTGCTTAAAAGAAGAAAAAACTCCAAAGACTGAACGGACTATTGACTGACCTTAGAAGGTTGGAACACCAACACCAGAGTAGCTCTGACAACGAGACACTACGATGCTTAGAAGTAAAGAGGCATACCATCCGCTCCTTGCTACTAGATGACACCGCCAAAGCTATGACATGGTCAAAACGCACTTTTTACGAAAAAGCCAATAAGATGGACACGCTTCTGGCAAGAGTCCTTAAGCTTAGACAGAGATACGGACATATCACCTCCATACGACACCCGGACGGTTCCATGAAAACCATGCCCCCAGACATTGCAGATGTATTTACTGACTTCTACAAGTCACTCTATAACCATTCCCCGAATACAAAGACACAAATAGCGCACGATATAGACATGACGCATACATTTCTGACCAATCTAGGACTACCTAAACTATCTCAGGAAGTAATCAATAGAATGGCAGCAGAAATTTTACCGGAAGAGGTCGACCAGGCTATATCAGAACTGAAGGGAAATAGGGCCCACGGACCGGTCGATTTTGACGGGACTTACTATAAGACCTATCGGGAGGAACTCAAGCCTCACTTGACTGCGCTATTTATCGGATTTAGAGAGGGAGGTACACCTAACCAAGACATGTCCTTAGCCACTATTGTCTTACTACCAAAACCTGACAAAGACTCTCTCTTCCCCGAAAGCTATAGACCCATATCCCTCATAAATCATGACATAAAAAAATCCTTTCAAAGATACAAGCGGATAGACTTAACCCGTATCTCGTAGATGCAGACCAAGTGGGCTTTAGACCTGGCAGGCAACTATTCGAGAACACCTGCAGAAATATTGACCTCATATGGAAACAGGCAGCCACCAACACCCCAACGCTGCTTTTTTCAATTGACGCAGAAAAGGCCTTCGATCAAGTCCAATGGCCCTATCTATTTACACTTCTGTCCCATATAGGTTACCTCGAACAATCCATAGCTCTAATAAAGGCCATGTACAACAATGTCTGTGCGCAGGTAAAGATTGCAGGAGCCCTGCTCTGACCATTCGCCCACTGCCTATTACTACCGGATCCCCACTGGCTGGAGGTAAATAGAAGAAAAATAAAGTTACTCTAAGTATACATCCCTATGGTGCATAACCCATTAGTGAAGGTGTCATTACACACCGAAGCGCGCGTCGGGCAACCGGCATGCTTTGATTTCACTCATTTTGTTTTTCTTTTTCACTAATGGATTATGCATCATAGGGATGTATACTTAGAGTAACTTTATTTTTCTTCTATTTACCTCCAGCCGGTGGGGATCCGGTAGTAGTAGGCAGTGGGCGATACCTCCTCAGAGTGAGCATTTAGATTAGAACACCCACGAAGGTGTTTCACAGAGCTTAGGGACTTACTTTGAGGCTTATATACCTCGTATACTAGGAAGTGTGTATACTCTCCTTTTGCCTTACTATCCTTTTTCCTCTACTCTCACCCTTAACAGGGATTACTGCTCCTCAATTATTCTATTAGAAGGTTCAAGCCCTACAACTCTGTCTTTAATATTCTTTAGCCATACTTTCTATATCCATCTTGGATGTTCATATAAAGACTGCAGCCTTATCTCTACCATTCACGAGTTGTTATAGAGGGGATTCAGTATAGAGTCTTCCCCCTTCTGTTCTGTTTTTTTTTGGGGGGGGGCTCCCCTTTGGCTATTTCTACCCCATGACTTAATATAGATTTTTTATTTTACTTTTTGATCTAGTCTTATCAGGATACTTAAGGGACCTGATATGTTATAATGTTTCCGGACCCTGTTCCTCTTCCCCTCTATTAGATCCCTATACTGGTCATTCTTACTTTTGTACGGTTGTCTCTTATTTGTCCATTTATTTTTGTCAGCATTTCAAGATCTCCCCAGGCGGAGATCACACTCATTATTTTGTAGACTATTGGGGTACAAGCCCTTGGTGGAGCTGACAGCACCAGCTGACCATAAGGCTTTGTGTTGCCTCTCACACCCCGCTGTTCAACTATTGGGGCAGTTTGGCGAACGAAGCATCTATCTTGCTGTATTAACTCTCCTATATGCCCACCTTTGTTCGGAAACCAGGGACTGGGGGAATCTCACTTATACAGCCCAATGGGAGAGAGATCCAGGGGAGGAAATAGAGGGGATAAAATGGCAGGAAATATGGGAAGCTAATAATACCTCTTCCGTCTGTGTATACAATGCTCCGCTGGTATTCCACTCCTGTTAAATTGTACCACATGATGAAGACTCCTACTGATTTGTGCTGGAGGGTCTGCGGGATGAAAGGAACATATATACATATGTGGTAGGAATGCCCAATAATTAGCAGATTCTGGACACAAATTAGGGACATAATGACCCAAGTTTTCTCCAGGGCCCCGGACCCAGACCTATGTACTTACTAAGCAGATCCATAGATGGGTGGACTAGGTGTGAGCAAAAACTCATCCACAAAATCACCCTAGCAGCAAGGAGAGCAGTGGCATCAGATTGGCTCAAACGGAGTATTCCTTCTGTAACTGGGGTAATCAATAGAATCAAAGAAGTACATCTAATGGACGATCTAACGGCCAGGGTGAGAGGTACTCAAAAGACCTTCCAAAGAATATGGGAACCATGGGAAAGCTGCCCCCTGGGGTCATAGAAGGTGTCCCTGTCGTAGGGACCAGTAAAATATAGGACTTCAAGTTTACAAAGTATGTATATACATTTCTACATAGAAGTTATCATATCTATCAAATATCATTAGTATTATAATAATAACCCCACGGAGGGGGAGTTTTGTATAGATGATACATTCTCACCAGTAGAATATAGAACTTCAGATCTACAAACTATGTGTAGCTATATACTTTTCCGGAATAACTGATTCTACCTATTTGTATATCACATCCTCCCTATTTACCATACCTGTTTGCATCATATTACCTTGGGAGACGCTCTACATAGGGATACACTTGCGAACTAAGATTGTGTTTGGCAATGGTTAATTTCGTTCTGATGAACTGTTTCACCTAGGCACCAATAGGGAGCCTGACCGTTTAACAGTGTATCACTGACAATGCTACAGCTTTAGTGCCTTCCCCCTTTTCCCCTTTATTGCTACCTACTTGTCTGGAATAGTTCCTATAGGATAGCAAGGGGATTATTGGGTTTTCATATTACAGTGACAGCAGGAGACATACTGTGCTATTGACCATTTACCGATAAAGAAACCTCCTTCCATTATTTTACTTTATTCCCCCTATATGATACTTTAGCTACATGGACTATAAAAAAGCCAATATTACAGACTGTATTTATAAAGTTATTTCTGTATCTTGCTTAGTCCAATTGAACCTTTTTGCACATAACGATCTCAGCGATTACGTAGCACTACTGTTTACTTTATCTCCACTTTCCGTTCTATCTATCCCATACTAAACATACAGGTCACTCTGTGTAATACATATCCTGGATACTTAGATTAGCCTGTTACTTTTGTAACAAATCGGTTATAACTATTAGTACTGAGTTGCTACATTTGTTACCTGTGGAGTCTACATTTAGAGTGTGCAAATTTAAGGTACTATCTTAGCAGTTTTTTATCCTTGTTTGATCACTTTTTTGTCACACATTTACACTATTATGATTACTATTTATTTTGTGTGTTTTTTATATACATTTTTTTCTTTCTCTTAATAAAGTTTATTACCTTATTTTGATTCTTTACTTAGGAGGTAATTCCTATGAGGCTGGCTCTCTTATTTAGAAGCCAACTATCCCCACTAGTGTGTTTCATATAGCAGTATTTTAGGGTTATGCCCTCTATTACCTCTGTAATCCTTCTCTATCCCTTTTATTTTCTCTGATTTATTTGAATAGACCTTGGGTATGACTTTATATTTAATTCTTTTCATCTCCTCAATGGGCTTCTGCTTTTCAGTACTCACTAGTTCTATGGGGTTCTTCTCTATGAATTGCATTTTTAATTCAACTTCTTTAGTCTAATGCAGTGGTTCCAAACCTTTTTAGGACCTCAGCACAGTTCAGTTTAAGGGTCACTCCAACCACCATGACCACTTCTGCTTTTTTAAGGGGTCATGATGGTAGGAGTCTGTATGTGTAGTGTTTCAGGTGGCAAAACTGCACATTCAGAGTTATTGGCAATTGTGTGTGGGGGACTAGTTGCACCCCTGGCACACGTGACTTAGGAAGCCTGGAATTTTGTTCCAGGCTGCCTAATACTAATTCTGTGCATATTTTACATATCGTCAACACACACTGCAAAAATGTTGACTGATATAAGTTTGTGTCTCCCTCTTTGATTGTTGCCTCTGACTGTGTTGTCACCACAAGGGGGCCGTACATGATATTAGGCAGGAGCTTTTAATGGCTTATCAGTGTCTACACATTTACTTTAAGTCTACTAGAGAGTCATACAACATGTTTATTACTTACAGCTAACTAAAGTAACTTACAAATTTTAATTAATTCCAAGGTTGAAATCAGACTTGCTGAGGGAGTCTTGTCTAGAGGATTAATTAATGGTATATTATTATTATTGCCATTTATATAGTGCCAACAGATTCAGAGCTTACAGTACATGGGAGGTGGGGTATAAAACACAGGACAGGGAATAGCAATTAAATAAGGTGGAAGTGAAGCAGAGCTGGAGGAAAGAGTAGAGTGCTGCCCTTTAGGAGAAAGCAAGAGACAGGTATGTGAGGTAGATGTAACTCTGGGAGGCCATAAGCTTTCCTAAAGAGATGGGTTTTAAAGCACTTCTTAAACGATTAAAGACTAAGGGAGAGTCTGATGGCGGTAGGCAGGCTATTCCATAGGAAGGGAGCCGCCCGCAAGAAGTCCTGCAAGCGCGTGTTGGCCGTACAGGTGCGAGTAGTGGACAGGAGAAGGTCATGGGCAGAGCGGAGAGACCGAAAAGGGGCACACCTATGGATCTGTGAAGAGATATAAGAGGGGCTAGAATTGGCCAATATTTCTATTTAGTTGTAACCTAAACTGAACCTGAGTGCATCAGGCAACATTTCACTGTTCAAACTTAACCTCTTACATAACGATATGTGTAGAAAAGAATACAGCTCTGTATTACAGCATGTTAAACATTCTTTGTTTACCAAACCCAGAGTGACCTGAAACACTCCTTTGTCCCACTATCTGCTGGGTCACAGTGACCTCGTAACTAGTCAGGAAAATCCCAGCATTTTGAGTTTCAAATTTGAAATACAGTTCATTGAAAATGTAAAGTGGGATTTAAAACATCTATATTGGTGAATATAAATTAATTTAATTACCAGTTATCTTATTCATTGTAGTTTGAGACTAACTAGAACTATTTAGTATCAACTACTGATTTATTTCGAACAAATGTGAAAAGTAATGAGCATATCTTTAAAAAAAATCATTAACTCATTATGAGTTATGAAGATAAAGACAGTGGGAAAAAAATAACCATATGTGAATTCTTTACAACTGCTTTAACCCCTTAAGGACTAAGCCAAATGTACACGTTGTGAACAAAACAAAATGTAAACAAAACCTGGCATTTGCGTTACATGTCTGTCCAACCGTAATTCACCTCTTTCATATTAAATGCACCCACCCTTATTATATATCATTTTATTCAGGGGAAACAGGGCTTTCATTTAATATCAAATATTTAGCTATGAAACATAATTTAATCTGAAAAAAATGGGAGAAAATACAATTTTTTTTATTTTTTTAGTTCTACATGACATTTTAACTGTCAATGTCATTATACTGTTTGCTTTTACTGCAATAAAATACACATATTTGTATTCAGCAAAGTCTCGCGTGTAAAACAGTACCCCCTATGTACAGGTTTTATGGCGTTTTGGGACAGGGTCAAATATAGCACGTTACATTTGAAATTAAAATTCGCCAGATTGGTTACGTTGCCTTTGGGACTGTATAGTAGCCCAGGAATAAAATTTACACCCATAATGGCATACCATTTGCAATAGTAGACAACCCAAGGTATTGCAAATGGGGTATGTCCAGTCTTTTTTAGTAGCCATTTGGTCACAAACACTGGCCAAAGTTAGCGTTAGTATTTGTTTGTGTGTGAAAAATGCAAAAAACACCAATTTTGGCCAGTGTTTGTGACTAAGTGGCTACTAAAAAAGACTGGACATACCCCGTTTGCAATACATTGGGTTGTCTACTATTGCAAATGGTATGCCATCATAGGGGTAATTTTCATTCTTGGGCTACCATAGGGTCTCAAAGGGAACGTAACCAATCTGGCGAATTTTAATGTGAAATGTGAAAATGAAATACAAGCCTTATATTTGACGCTGTAACTTTTGAAAACACCATAAAACCTGTACATGAGGGGTACTGTTGTACTCGGAAGACTTCGCTGAACACAAGATTTGTGTTTCAAAACAGTAAAAAGTATCAGAGCAATAATATCGTCCAAAAAACTTCACTTTTACTGGCGATATCATTGTTGTAATACATTTTACTGTTTTGAAACACAAATCTTGTGTTCAGCGAAGTCTTCCGAGTACAACAGTACCCCTCATGTACAGGTTTTATGGTGTTTTCAAAAGATGTAGAATTAATATATGTGTATATATATATATATATACGTATGTGTATATATATATGTGTATATATATATATATATATATATATATATAATTTTTTAAAAATATTTTTATTTATATATAGTGATTTATACGTATATATTTATGTATATAGATATATATATTATTTCGTTCTACGTGTATTTTGTTTTAAATATATATATATATATATATATATATTAATATCACAATATAGTTAGAACGAAATAACACACATCTATATATTTTTTTATTATTTATTTTTAATTTTTGTATTTTATTTTTTAACGTATTTACATATTTTTTATATTATATATAAAATATATATATAACAATAATTATATATATTTAATCAGTATCAGTCTACGTGTAATTTGATATTAATATATATATAATTATATATATATATATTAATAGTAAAATACACTTAGAAAGTGTATGTGTGTGTATGTATTTGTGTATATATATACTTAGATCATATATATATAATATATATATATGATCTAAGTATATAAAAAAAAAATTTGTCCCCCCAACTGCGATCGCTGGCGACCGGGTAAGTAAAAAAAAACCCAGAGGGCGTACTATTACACCCGGCAGCGTTTAGAGCCGCCTAAAATAGGGCGTTATAGGGATTAAAGGGACATGATAAGCACCCAGACCACTTCAACTCATTGAAGTGGTTTGAGTGCAGTATCCCTGTCCCACTTAGTCCTGCATTGTAAATCATTTAAGTTTTTGAGACACTGCAATTATTACTTTGCAGGACTAAGACTGCCTTCAGTGGCTGTCTATCCAACCTATCATTCCTGTAAGTTTTCTTGTAATTGCTCTGCATTGAGGCAATGCTTTCTTATGGTGAGGGCCTAATGCGCTTGCCAAGCATGTGCATTAGGTCCTCCTGTTGGATAATGTCGAGAGAGGCTGTGCGCCAACCGAGCACAGGGGGACATTGGCGCTGGAATCGGGCAAGTGACTTTATGTGCCGGGTGGAGAGCAGCACCAGAGGCCACTTTAGTGTTAGGAATACAGATTTGCATTCTTAACAGAAGCTTTTTTAAAAGAAAGGCTTATTTATAGTTTTTTTTTTTTTATAATATCAGATAGGTATTTTGTCGTTATATATATGTAATCGATACATACTCTCAACAGCCAATTATATCTTTTGTCATCACTTGTTTCAGACATTGGGTTAATTTACTCTATCCTTTCTTATTTCATTGCGTTTTGTTTCGATATATTTCAAATCCTATCTGTATTTTACTTTTACTCATTAATTAATTTACAAGTGCACAAAATATATAACTAATAAACATATAGTGCAACACTAATCAAATTCTATTATACGTTAACTGGATATAACTGGTTATATTACAAGCATTACTAGTTTTGTGATTCTAGTTATCGTTCATTCATTCTTCTCATTCATTATCAATAGACTAGTAGAAGAACTTAGAATATGAGAACAGAGAGTCTATATATATATATATATATATATATATATATATATATATATATAATATATAAACAGCAATAGTGTTCTCCCTGAACACCAACACCCCACTAATCTCTGAAAAGCGTGATATATATAAAAATTAAAAAAAAACAAAGAAAGAAATAGTGTGGTAAAGATAATAGTACAATAGGGATACAGGCATAATGGAATATTTATACCTATTCACTTTTCCGTCTGATATGTATATATGAATTCTGGAAGACCAAATGTGAAGGATCAATTCTTCCATATCTTTAATCACTTTAAAATCACAAAAAACACAACATAGTATAAAACTAACACCAGTAAAATAGGAAAGAATATTGCACTCACAAACGTGGTACCACTAGAAGTGGTCAGTTGAGCCGGCCGGCTCATTGAGAAGTAAGGGAAGGAGACCGGCTCATGGAGAGCTGTGAGAGGGAGGCAGGTGGCTGACAGAGGGAGTAGGGCAGCCGGCTCATTTACTGCTGAAGGATGGAGGGGGATGGCCAGCCCGTGGAGAACTGAGGGAGGCAGGAGGCTGGTGGAGGGGGTGGCTGGGTAATGGAGAGCAGAGGGAGGCAGGCGGACGGACGACTTAATGCAGCGGCGAGGAAGCTGTAATGTCCCTGCTCTGCTCCTTTGCGCGACTTGTCGTGATGCCGAGTTATGACGTTACTCCGGCCCCCAGCTCACTAAACAGTGTGTGAGAGGTAGCTGAGTAGGGAGATGACAGCAGCCCCGCTGGACCCAAGTGAAAGCTTATCCACTCCAGCTCTACAGAAGTAAGGTGGCTGGGTGTATTGAAATAAAGTAATTACTTGTGAGCGAGTGTTTCCGCATGTCTGTGAGTGTGTTTGTTTGTGTATCTGTGAGTGAGTCTGTGTGTGTGTGTCTGTATGTCTGTGAGTGTATCTTCCCTCCAATCACATAGGAAAGTTGTTTTTACTTGCCCTTTTTCTCCACGCCGTGCTGATGACGCTGTGGCTGGCCCCACCTCCATGGCTGAGATTATCAATCTTGATGATTTCAGCCATCCAATGCTTCCCCATCGGAAAGCATTGGAAGACTAAGGCCACTGCGCCAATTTAACTTCTCATAGAGGTGCATTAAATCAATGCATCTTTGTAGGGAACATTAATGTAGGTGCTGCACATTGTGAAGCACTGACCCAGGAAGCACTTCTAGAGGCCGTCTAAGTGACTGTCACTAGAGGTGTTACCAGGCAGCAATGTAAACCCTGCCTTTTGTCTGAAAAGTTAGTGTTTATATTGAAAATCTTTCAGGGACAGGATATAGACTTCAGAACAACTGCATTAAAGGAACACAAACATGTATTCTCGACCGTATAGTGTTAAAACCACCATCAAGCCCCCCTGGTGCCCTCATGCTTCCCGAAATATAGCAAAATCTTACTTGTATTCAAGCCTGAAGCTGTAGCTCTGCATTCTGTTTGCCTCAGAATAACAAGCTGTCTGCTGACATCATCAGACGTGGTGGCCTGATCCAATCAAAGTGCTTCTCCATAGGATTGGCTGAGACTGACAAAGAGACAGATCAGGGGCAGAGCCAGCATGATTCAAACACAGCCCTGGCCAATTAGCATCTCCTCATAGAGATGAATTGAATCAATGAATCTCTATGAGGAAAGTTCAGTGTCTGCATACAGAGGGAGGAGATACTGAATGTTTGGATGCATTTTAGGCAGCCATGACCCAGGAAGGATCTCTAACAGCCATCTTAGGTGGCGTTAGTGAAGTTATCACTAGGCTAAAATGTAAACATTTGAAAGCAGTGGTGGGCTTAACATTATATATGGCCATATGGTGGAACTAAATCCCCATATTTATTCTTAGATAGGCATTTTAGAAGCCTTCTTTGTGTTGTATTTTTTGTAGTCTGAGTGCGCCGCAACTATTTTTTTTTTTTACAAGTCTGTGGTGCAACGTGATGTTGGTGGATGGAGCGAGACAGGAAGTCCCAGATGTGCTCAATTGGATTCAGGTCTGGGGAACGGACGAGCCAGTCCATAGCATCAATGCCTTCGTCTTGCAGGAACTGCTGACACACTCCAGCCACATGAGGTCTAGCATTGTCTTGCATTAGGAGGAACCCATGGCCAACCGCACCAACATATGGTCTCACAAGGGGTCTGAGGATCTCATCTCGGTACCCAATGGCAGTGAGGCTACCTCTGGCAGAACATGAAGGGCTGTGCGGCCCCCCAAAGAAATGCCAACCCACACCATTACTGACCCACTGCCAAACCAGTCATGCTGGAGGATGTTGCAGGCAGCAGAACGTTCTCCACGGCGTCTCCAGACTCTGTCACATGTGCTTAGTGTGAACCTGCTTTCATCTGTGAAGAGCACAGGGCGCCAGTGGCGAATTTTCCAATCTTGGTGTTCTCTGGCAAATGCCATATGTCCTGCAGGGTGTTGGGCTGTATGCACAACCTCCACCTGTGGACGTCGGGCCCTCATACCACCCTCATGGAGTCTGTTTCTGACCGTTTGAGCAGACACATGCACATTTGTAGCCTGCTGGAGGTAATTTTGCAGGGCTCTGGCAGTGTTCCTCCTGTTCCTCCTTGCACAAAGGCGGAGGTAGCCGTCCTGCTGCTGGGCTGTTGCCCTCCTACGGCCTCCTCCACATCTCCTGATGTACTGGCCTGTCTCCTGGTAGTGCCTCCATGCTCTGGACACTACGCTGACAGACACAGCAAACCTTCTTGCCACAGCTCGCATTGTTGTGCCATCCTGGATGAGCTGCTGCCACTAAAGTGAAAGCATCGCCAGCATTCAAAAGTGACCAAAACATCAGCTAGGAAGCATAGGAACTGAGAAGTGGTCTGTGGTCACCACCTGCAGAACCACTCCTTTATTGGGATTGTCTTGCTAATTGACTATAATTTTCACCTGTTGTCTATCCCATTTGCACATCAGCATGTGAAATTCATTGTGGACAGTTTGATTTCACAGATGTGTGATTGACTTGGAGTTACATTGTGTTGTTTAACCCCTTAAAACCGGAGGACGTACAATTACGCCCTCTAATAGGCGGCTCTAAACGCCGCCGGGCGTAATTGTACGCCCTCCGGTTTTTGTTAACTTACCCGGTCGCCGGCGGTCCCACGCCGGCGATCGCGGTTGGGGGGACTCCCAGGGAGCCCCCCGCGGCACATCCGTCCTCGTTGAAGCCCCCCGGCCATGTGAGAGTAGGGTCCTAGCGAGGACCCCACAATCACATGGCCGGGTATAGCTGGCTTCTGTATTGCCGGCAGGGGGGCTGCCTGTAATGACAGGTGGTCCCCCTGCTGGCTGAAAATAAAAGTAAAATAAGTTAATGGTGTAAAAAAAAAATTATTATATATACTTAGATCATATATATATATTATATATATATATGATCTAAGTATATATATACACATATACATACACACACATACACCGTCTAGGTGTATTTTACTATTAATATATATATAATTATATATATATATTAATATCAAATTACACGTAGACTGATACTGATTAAATATATATATAATTATTGTTATATATATATTTATATATAATATAAAAAAAATAAAAATGTAAATACGTTAAAAAATAAAATTAAAAAAATAATTAAAAATAAATAATTAAAAAATATATAGATGTGTGTTATTTCGTTCTAACTGTTTTGTGAAATTAATATATATATATATATCAAAATACACGTAGAACGAAATAATATATATATCTATATACATAAATATATACGTATATATCACTATATATACCTATATATAAATAAAAATATTTAAAAAAAATTATATAGATATATACATATATATACACATATATATATATATACATATATTAATTCTACATATATATTTATGTAATATTTTTACATAATTAGGTATCTTAATTAATTACAATTAGCGGGACCTGCCTGACAACCCATGCCGAAAGTAAAGGGAATTTAATTTACTAGCACTATATTTAACCCTATAACTTTCCAGACACCATAAAACCTGTACATGGGGGGTACTGTTCTACTCGGGAGACTTCGCTGAACACAAATATTAGTGTTTCAAAACAGTAAAATGTATTACAACGATGATATCGCCAGTAAAAGTGAAGTTTTTTGCATTTTTCACGCACAAACAGCATTACACGGACAATATTATTGCTGTGATACTTTTTACTGTTTTGAAACACAAATATTTGTGTTCAGCGAAGTCTCCCGAGTACAACAGTACCCCTCATGTACAGGTTTTATGGTGTTTTCAAAAGTTACAGCGTCAAATATAAGGCTTGCATTTCATTTTTTTCACATTAAAATTCGCCAGATTGGTTACATTGCCTTTGAGACCCTATGGTAGCCCAAGAATGAAAATTACCCCTATGATGGCATACCATTTGCAATAGTAGACAACCCAAGGTATTTCAAACGGGGTATGTCCAGTCTTTTTTAGTAGCCACTTAGTCACAAACACTGGCCAAAATTGGCGTTTTTGCATTTTTCACACACAAACAAATACTAACGCTAACTTTGGCCAGTGTTTGTGACCAAATGGCTACTAAAAAAGACTGGACATACCCCATTTGCAATACCTTGGGTTGTCTACTATTGCAAATGGTATGCCATTATGGGTGTAAATTTCATTCCCGGGCTACTATACAGTCTCAAAGGCAACGTAACCAATCTGGCGAATTTCAATTTCAAATGTAACGTGCTATATTTGACCCTGTAACTTCCTAAAACGCCATAAAACCTGTACATAGGGGGTACTGTCTTACACGTGAGACTTTACTAAATACAAATATGTGTATTTTATTGCAGTAAAATCAAACAGTATTATGACACTGACCTTTAAAATGCAATTTAGAACTAAAAAAATCTAAAAATTCGTATTTTCTCCCATTTTTTTCATATTAAATTATGTTTCATAGCTAAATATTTGATATTAAATGAAAGCCCTGTTTCCCCTGAATAAAATGATATATAATAAGGGTAGGTGCATTTACTATGAAAGAGGTGTATTACGGTTGGACAGACATGTAGCGCAAATGCCAGGTTTTGTTTACATTTTGTTTTGTTCACAATGTGTACATTTGGCTCCGTCCTTAAGGGGTTAAGTGTTCCCTTTATTTTTTTGAGCAGTGTATATATATATAAACAAGATATTATCTAAAGTATGGCAAACGGAAAAGTTTCTATTTGAGAGGAGGATGCAAATGCCAACTCTCGCCCGGGTAGGCATTATATATTATATAGGGATTATCAAGCGAGTCATTTGCAAAATTCATCTAGCTAAATTCCTGTAAACAGTGTTAAGAAATTTGTGTGATGTTGAGTATAGAAATTTTATTCAAGTTAGACAATATATCTTTATGTAAATGAATAGGCTAATTTATTATGTTAATTTTCTTTGTAATTTCTTTATCTTTTACATCACTATGCTGATAATTGATGGACAGGGTAAAGCAGGAGAATCCTTAACAGTGTTTGTTCCTTCTCTCACTTGTTGTGGGAATATATAAATAGACTTTAAAAATGTCACTCCATTCTGTCCCAAGTGCTCGCAAGTGCTGTATTTTATATTATTTTTCAGTTAACACCACTTTTTAGGTAATATATGTAATCTGACAAAGTTTTATTGAAAGAATATAGATATATAACTTTAGTCAACTTCACAGTTCTGTAATAAGTCATCTTAATACTTAACACCATTTAAATGCAAATATAATTATATAACAGTTTAATGGTTACAAGCAAACAATATAGCTTAAATGAGTGGAGTTTATAGCAATACATAAAACATTTAGCTATGAAGCAGCACAAAATATTTGATTTCTCTATCTTTGGAGGTTTGTCCTATTGACCAGTTATGTGAGGTAGTTTTTATATTCTCATCCGGATTTGGTCCATAATGTATGGGGTTTCATTGTCCACTATCAACTAAAGGATTTTTTTCATTGGGTAAACATGATATGACCCTGTATCTCAGGATGAATACAATTTATATACACATGGGTTATTCGGATTATTTCATTTTAAAACCTCAGAGTGCTATAGGAGTTAGCTTGCTCTGGACTTTTCAACAGCAGCTTTGGAATCTCGTTATGGTGGTGTCCACTGAACCAGCAAACTAAGCACATTCTGATTCCATTTGTAAAAAGACTTTCTAAAACAAAGACATTGCACATCGTCTTTCATGTTACAGGTTATTAATCTTATATCCCACAACCTAGAAGATAGTAGCAGGAGCTAATGGCACATCTCACGCTAATCCTTATATTTTGTTTCGATCTATTTCAAATCCTATCTTTATTTATAACTACATCTATGATACAGAAAAATATGTCAATAATAAAGTCACCTTCAGGTATATGTACATTTAAAGTTGGACTCCAAGCACTATAGCCGCTACAGCTCACAGTGGGGTTTACAGTGCAAAGAGTGCCCTGGTGACCACACATTGCTACAAGTCTAACTATTTTTTTTATTGTCTGGCTACTTACCTGTGTTCCATTAGTCAGCGCTCCCAGCCTCCAACCACTGGTAATAAGTCAAACCATGCTAAAACAGTTTGATTCATTACAATGCATAGGCACCAGGGTTCTCCTAGTACCATAATTGCTACAGCTCAAACATCATTAGTTGTTTTTTTGCACTCGCACACATTAAAGGACCACTATAGTGCCAGGAAAACATACTCGTTTTCCTGGCACTATAGTGCCCTGAGGGTGCCCCCACCCTCTGGGACCCCCTCCCGCCCGGCTCTGGAAGGGGGAAAGGGGTTTAAACTTACCTTTTTCCAGCGCTGGGCGGAGAGCTCTCCTCCTCCTCTCCGCCTCCGATCCGCCCCGCCGGCTGAATGCGCACGCGGCAAGAGCTGCGCGCGCATTCAGCCGTCGCATAGGAAAGCATTTACAATGCTTTCCTATGGACGCTGCGTGCTCTCACTGTGAAAATCACAGTGAGAAGCACGCAAGCGCCTCTGGGCCAGTAGAGGATTAGGGAAGGCAACCCCGCATAATTTAGCAGTTTCTTCTGAAACTGCTATAATTATGAAAAAATGGGTTAAGCCTAGAAGGACCTGGCACCCAGACCACTTCATTAAGCTGAAGTGGTCTGGGTGCCTAGAGTGGTCCTTTAATCTAAAGTATCATACATTTCCTATGCAGGGCCAGATTAAGAGCCCAGTGGGCCTAGAGCTGACAATTCTGATGGGCCTAATAACAATCTTATCAACCAAAAATACTAAAACAACCATACCTCCCAAGCGTCATGTATCTGATGGAGGGAAACTCAAAGGACGCAGCTATATGAAAACACATACTCTATGCTTTCATCTTTCAAGTAATTCAAGAACCCCTAACAGCAGTGTCCAGTGAAGCAGGAAGTCAAAGGGAAGGGTAAAAGGGTGTGCCACTGACGCAAGTCACGTGACCAGACCTGCCAAAAGGGGTGAACATGCCCAAAAAGAGGGCATGTCTGTCCAAAGAATTGGAAGGCCAGCCTAGCATGAATGCTGTCCAACTAAGGGCATAATATGCAGGCATCACCCAGAGCTTGTCATAAATGCATCAAATGATGAGCCTACTCCACGCTTTCTAAGGACTGTCCCCTAGCACTCACATGTCCACTTGTCTCCTTATCATCTTACTAGCAGACATAAGTTCCTGGTATATAGTCTGGGACAGAATAAAAGTGTATGTAGTGAGTGTAGAAGAAAGGGGACATGCCACAGTGTTAGAGAAACCAAAGTCTGCATTACCTAAACTAATTTTGTCAGCCAGTCCACACAAGTTTTGTTGCCATACATCCCTCTTAAGCTTCCAAACTTAAAGGGACACTATAGTCACCAGAACAACTACAGCTTATTGTATTTGTTCTGGTAAGTAGAATCATTCCCTTTAGGCTTTTTGCAGTAAACACGGTCTTGTCAGAGAAAATAACTCCACTGGCCACTCCTTAGATGGCTGCAAGAGGTGCCCTCTGGGGCAGTACTGCCTAGTGTGCAGCACTGCCATTCAGTGTCTCCACCCTCTGCATGCAGACACTGAACTTTCCTCATAGAGATGAATTGATTCAATTTATCTTTATGAGGAGGTGCTGATTGACCAGGGCTATGTTTGACTTCTGCTGGCTCTGCCCCTGATCTGCCTAGTTGACCGTCTCAGCCAATCCTACGGGGAAGCATTGCAATTTGCTCAGACCACCACTTCTGATGATGTCAGCAGACAGAGTAAGTTCAGAGGCAGAGCCAGCAGCTGCAGACAAGATTTTACTATATTTAGGAAGGCAAGAAGGGGCCAAGAGGGCTAGATGGTGGTTTTTACATTATAGGGTCAGAAATACATGATTGTGTTCCTGACCCTATAGTGTTCCTTTAAGCAAGAGTTTGTGAAGAGTAGTAAGGGTTGCCACCTTTCTTGGGAAAAAAATACCATATAATTAATTAGTTATGCGTGACATCACATGATGTAAATCACAAGGAGTGACATAAGAGAAAATTCTGTAAAATCACCAACAAACTACTCACAGTTCGATTCTGCTGTATAGAGGAATTGCTCCCAGTGTCTCCCTGTCTCCCAAGTCACCCAGTGTCTCAGTATCCCTATGTATCACAGTGTCAGTGTCCCCATGTCGCCCAGTCCCCTAGTCTCCCAGTGTCCCCATGTCTGTGTGTCCCCATGTCACTAGGATACTAGGGGACACCGTGAGACCTGGGGACACTGGGAGACATGGGGGCACATGTGAATACAGACATGGGGACACTGGGAGACATGGAGACACAAGGGACACAGAGACATGGGGACACAGACACTGGGAGACATGGGGACACTGACATTTGGTGAAACTAAGACACTAGGAACACAGAGACATGGGAACACAGAGAGTGGGAGACTAGGGGACACTGGGAGACAGACACTTGGGGACACTAGGAGACATGGGGACACATACACAGGTAGACCTGTGGACAATGGGAGACATGGGGACACTGGCTGGGAGAAATGAGGACTCGGAGTCACTAGGGACACAGACACTGGGAGACTAGAGGAAGCTGAGAGCCATGGTGACACTAAGCCACTAGGGACATTGGCTGGGGGACACTGTGTCCCTAGTGTCTCCGTGTCCCAATATCCCTATGTCTCCCAGCATCCCCATGTGTCTCAGTGTCCCCATGTCTCACAGTCAGTGGCGTACACATGACCCATGGGGCACCGGTGCAAAAATTGTTCCGTGTCCCCCCCCCCCGCGCTTACTCTGCGCAGGCCGGGGCCGCAACACATGGCGGCGGGCACCTGGTCGCAGGGCTGCGACCGCAGTATATACGACAGTGCATGCAGATGCACACAATTAAAGGACCACTACAGACACCCAGATCACATCAGCTCAATGAAGTGGTCTGGGTGCCAGGTCCCTCTAGTTTTAACCCTGCAGCTGAAAACATAGCAGTTTCAGAGAAACTGCTATGTTTCACTGAGGGTTAATTCAGCCTCTAGTGGCTGTCTCATTGACAGACGCTGGAGGAGCTTTCTCGATTCTCACTGTGAATATCACAGTGAGAAGACACTGAACGTCCATAGGAAAGCATGGCGGTTTGAATGCACGCGCGGCTATTGCACCACATTCGGAGCTGAGAGGTGGAGGGATTCCCAGCGCCAAGGGAGTCCGGCACTGAAGAAAGGTAAGTGCTGAAGACACACACACACGGTCACGAACAGACGCATACACACTAGCTAACAGACACACACATTTACTGACAGAGACACACTCAGCGACAGACATACATACACACTCACTTACAAAACATACACTCTCACTGACAAACACACACTCACACTCAGTAACAGACACACACAGTAACACACTCACTGACACCCACTAGCAGACACACACACTAACACAAACACACACTTTTTTTTTTTAAATTTAATCCCCTCAGCCTCCTTACCTTTGGGAGAGCTGGGGGATTCCCTGGGGTCCAGTGCTGTCATCCCACGGCCGGTCCTGCGGGCGCACGAGGGAGCTCCCTGGCTGAGTGCTTCCTGTTCGGCTCCCTCGTGCGACGCGTACTGATGCCGGTATCAGTGCGGTACGCGAGGGAGCTGAAGAGGGAGAGTGCTCCCTCGCACACCCGCAGGGGGCCCTGTGGTGGCCGGCTCCTGGGCCCCCCAGGAGAAGAGGCTGGCCACACTGGGTACATACCAAGTCGCAGGGGCGGCCAGTCCCCCTGGTGGGCCAGGCCCGGTCGCAGCTGCGACCCCTGTATGTACACCACTGCTCACAGTGTCCCCTAGTGTCTGTGTCCCCATGTTTTCCAGTGTCCCCAGGTCTCCCAGTGTCCATGTCCCCATGTGTCCCCTAGTGTCTCGGTGTCCCCATTTCTCCCTGGAGCCTTTCACCCCATCCCTAACTTACCTGAGCTGTAGAGCTGCTGTCTGGACTATCTGTGCTGTGTAGCTGCTCCCCCACGTATCAATGAGTAGTAGAGAGAGGCAGGGATATGCTGTGACTTCCTATCCCTGCCTCTCAGTGACCCCTACTGGCCATTGCTGGTATTGCAGAGTAATGTCTGTTTTTATACTGAGAAAATTACTTGCATTTGTATTGCCGGTATTACTGCAATACCGGCACGGCCAGGCAGCCTCAAATACCGGCTGTGCCAGTAAAATACCAGTCAGGTGGCAAACCTAATAGTAGTGTGTAAATTAAAGGTAAAAATGTTTTAATTTTTATTTTTTAAATGGGCCTATTTCATGTCCTGGGGCTGCAGCTCCATCAGCCCCTATGTTAATCCGGCCCTGCTCCTATGAGGTAGAATAAACCTAGCCGTTCAGTTTAGTTACACTCTAGCAACTTTAATATTATAACTATTTCAGTATAAATTAACTCCGTATTGACATCTCAAAAAAAATGGAACAGGGAAATGATGAATAGGATAGATTTGTGTGCAAAATTAAGCACCATGTACATTATAGTTTGCTCCTGAGGAAGTTGGAATGAAGACTACAAATGAATTTGTTTAACGTTGCAGTGTACTCCTGTGGGTGTCTCCGGAGATGACCAGCATGCACTGATTGTTCCCATTTCTTGCTCTCCACTTTGATGCCTTGTTTCTCCCAGTCTGCAACGAGTTGCTCCACTGCAGCATGGTCACTCATGGGGTCATTCAAGCAGTAGAATATTAAAGCAGGGCAGGTGATGGGTGTATTACGGAAGATTTGTATGGCATTCTCATAGTAATCCGCAGTTTGAGATTTAAAGAGGCTGAAGTAAAGGAGTGCTCCTCGGAAAATCAGAGTCTCTAGAAAGCCAGAACTCAACATTGTTGCTACACCTGTCAGAAAATGAAAGTTGGTATTCAAGTTAAAAAGGGAAAACTACAATTACTTGTGAGCCCTATTAGAGCAGGGGAGACCAAAAGGTATATCCCCAGATGTTGTATTACTACAGCTCCCATGGTGCATTGCATGCCTTTAGAATGACAAAGCATAATTGAAGCTGTAGTGTTAAAAAATCTGGGGGGGGTTGGGGGAGGGGAGGTGGGAGAAGAGAGGAGATCGAGAGAGATGGTGTGGTGGGTGTGTGTTAATATATTCGGCATAATTCCTTCTGCTGAGCCTATTTGTATTTCTGTGCTAAGCCTATTTATGTTTTAAATTAAGCAACCATAACAACTTATGCTTTCTGTGCTTTATGCTTTCTGTGCAGATCTATCCCCACTGCTACCTATAAGCCCACTGTTAACTAGAGTATGTAACATTCGTTAACCTGCCTGTCCAGTGACCATACAAGTTCTCACCTCTTTGGGCAGTTTCTTTTTGTGTTCTGACGCCACAAGCATAAATGAAGGCATAGGTAAGCTGGTTGTAGGTACATCAGCAGCTATCAGGCTGAGAACATAATCATATATTCTAATGAAAGGAACAACCGTTAAGACCAGAATCATTTATTCCAGCCCACTGAAATTATTATGTGAATGAAATTGGCTGACGTGTCAGCTACTTATCCATTTTGAATGCATTACTTAGATTATGTTTTAAAAATTATGAAAAATATAATAAGAAAAAAACTTAAAGTTACTAAAATAATAGCACTTGACATGCAAATGGTGCAGCAGACCACTTTCAGACCAAAACAAGTCTCCACGAAGCTGGATACTAATTCTAGTCTGTGGTTTATTTTTTTCTTATTCCATAAAAGCATGTCCAGTAAAGACATTTGCAAAGTAAGAAACAAATTTATTTACCTTTTGCCATGTTCTCCATACTGCCTATTACAAGGCTGTCATAAACTTGACCATGAATTCGCTGTAGTGCCTTTCTTTGTTCTTCAGGACCTCTGGATATTGCCACCAACATCTGTGCAAATGTGTACCCCCCTATGGAGAAAGCATGAACAAAAAGACTACGGGAGGAGAGGTCCTTTTCATTCAATAGAAGGTCTAGCACATGTCCAGCATAGTTCAACCCTCTTCTGGGCCACAGAAAGTGAGATAAAGAGCTTTCTGCCACCAACACATCAAAGCCAAGCTTAAAATACAACTGAATATACTTCTCAAATGCTCTTTCTTTTGAACCCAACCAGGGAAGGAACAGTAAAAGAGGACGTGCAGACCGCTCATTTTCACTGATAGAGGGATCAGAGTACAACGAGATAGAATTGGAGTACTGCTTTACTTTTGGTGTGGGATCAGCTGCGGCCTGGTCGGGAGATACAGATCGAAGGGCGGACGCTGACGAATTGATGTGGTACATTTGCAGGTTCCGACCCTGATGTATTGAAAGAGATAATGTTTAAATTTGTATTTGGTGATTAGTCTAGCATTGTAAATTCGAAAAGTCTTTTCTCAGATCTGATACAACGGAACTTGTTTGTCCCGTGCTTTTTGAGATAAATTAGGCAAGTGAAGCAAATAAAAGAGGTAATCTCTCGTGATTACGGTGCCTGGATCCCTTGGCTTTAACTCACAGTTCAGTGTTAAACAGTTTTCAATCAGTTTAACTCTGAAAAGGGTTTCACAGCCACCCACAGAAGACATGGTTAAGACTGATGCTCTCAGACCATCACTGTTGCCCATGGGTGTTTCTACGTTAGACTGATAAACAGCGAGTGATTCTTATTTCAGGTACCTGGGAACTCTTATTCAATATTAAACTATTCAGAAACAGTTAGGTATTTAACATGTGCTGCTGCCAGGGGACTCCAGGCACCATAAGCATATCATAAAGAAGTGGTTAGGGCAACTAGAGTGCCCCTTAAAAAAGGAATTGTCACTAACCAGGATTTTTAAAAAGTCTACCGCTAGTAATAATAGAGACCAACACCTTAGTCGCATCTGGTGTTAAGTAGGGGCGGATGCCTGCAATGTTTTTGAGATGGAAATGACAGGATTTGGTGATAGATTGAACATGAGGCTTGAATGAGAGGTCGGAGTCAAAGAGAACACATGTATATGTGTGCATATTTGCATATTTTTAAAGTTACAGTATATGTGTAAAAAGTTTATTTTTCCTGCCTGTGATAAATTACATTAACCCATTGTGTTCAGTAATTATATCACAGGCAGAGGGGCGGGATTGTATGTTGGGTTTGGGTGTGTTTTACGGTTTTCCTGTAAATGATTGGTTGTACTGTCTCCCACCCTGTGGGATGTCCCCTTGCATGGGGACTTGCATAAAAGCCAGTGTGTGGTCATTAAAATCAGTCTTGTTCCAGCATTAAGCTTTGGCTCGTGTGTGGATTATTTGGCGATACCAGCGATAGTTATTTCTGGGGATTACTTGGTGATTTTCTTTTATGGGAAGAAGGGAATGTTTGGCGGTGATACAGATTACTACCGTCACACACACAGACACACATACACGCAGGAGGTGAGGGTGACGATGTGTGGGAGAGGTGAGGGTGAGTGTGGTAGGGATGGTGTGTGTGCTGGTAACAGTGTGGGGGGGGCAGTATGAGGGCAGGATGAGAAAGGATTACAGTGGGCGGGCAGGGGGAGAAAGGGTTACAGTGTGGGGGCAGGAGGAGAAAATGCTACAGAGTGGGGCAGGGGAGAAAGGTTACAGTGAGGGGGGAGGGAGTGAAGGGGTTACAGCGTGGGGAGGGGGCAGGAAGATAATGGGTTACAGTGTGTAAGTAGGGAGTGTGAGGGGCAGGCAGAGAAGGGGTTACAGTGTGGGGGAGCAGGGAGTGAAGGGGATACAGTGTGGGGGAGCAGGAAAAGAAGGGGTTACAGTGTGGGGGGCAGGAAAAGAAGGGGTTACAGTGTGCGGGGGAGGCAGGGAGAGAAGAGGATACAGTGTGTGGGGGGCAGGGAGTGAAGTGGTTAGATTGGGGGGTAGGGGCAGAGTAAGGGGGCTGTGTCCTACCTTTATTTAATTCCCTGGCGGTCCAGTGGGTAAATTCTCCAGTCTGCAGCTCCGCCGGGTGCAGAGCTGCAGACCGTGTGATAGAAGTCTTCCAAGCTCCCAGAGTGTTGCCATGGTAATGCTGTGGGTGCTTGTGAGACTTATCACACGGTCTGCAGCTCTGCACCCGGCGGAGCTGCAGAGCAGACTAATTGGAGGGAGTCCTCAGCGGCCCTGGATATGTGGGTCACCGCGACCCACACTTTGGGAACCGCTGCAGTCGCAGATCTTTAAATATACTTTTGATGCCTAGAGTGTTTTAATAAGCTGATTGGCAAACCGTAACCAACAGTTATGTAACAAGTTCCTTGAACAATTGCTCTTTTCTGTAATAGATTAAGTGAACATGTTATTTTCCTGGAAAGAGCTACAGAATTAATTTGGCACAGAGAAGCCTGCTTGGCAGAGTTACCCTATTAAGGAGTAGGCAGACCTTCTGCTCATAATCGGGAGATCATGTCACTACAGACATCTCTACTACACTGAAGATGAGTCTGCAGCTCTGGCAATTGGTAAGCGTGCTGCATATTTCACTACGTAACAGTATTTAATCTCTTTACATGAAGCAGACAGTGACATTATCATTCGTGCATTATACTATAAAAAATATATATACAGTGGTACCTCTGTTTACAATTTTCAGTTTACAAATGAAAATCCATTGAAAATAGTGCTTCGGTTTACAATTTTTTTTTGCATTACGAAGCAAGTTTTCCCAGGATACATTGCACCAGGGAGGTTTATAGTGCCGCCCCCGTGCATGCTGGAGTTTGTGGGTAGCACGAGGCGTCGCGTGTGGAGGTGTTGAAGTGGTTTTTGCGTAGAGTCTTGGAACCATTCTGGAAAAACTTTTGCAGCAGTTTTGGGACTTTTTGGGTGCATTTCCCAAGTGGTGGAAAGGTAAGGAGTTGAGCTTCATCGTTTGCATGCCTTTTACTGTTTGTTCTGCATTGTGGGTTGACCTCCGGAACGGATTAATTGGTTTTCAATCCATTCCATTGGGAAACCACGTTTTGGTTTACACATTTTTAGCAATACAAAACGTCCCGGAGAACACCTTAAATTCGTAAACCGAGGTACCACTGTATTTATTTTAGATTGAACCATTGAAAAAAAAAGTACTTAGAGAGAGTTCTGGCTACAAGGGGAAAGTGAATATACAGGCACCATAAACATAAAAATTTCAAGTTTCCCTGAAAATATTTGAAAACTTTAGTTTGAAATGTTGTTATATTTTCCCTCATCTGTGGTGACAGGGTTCCCCCATCCACCCATTGAGATCTAACTTCCCTATTGAGCTATCCAAGCAATTGGATGGTATGCTGATGCACACATTCTATGAAAGGTTGTGCAGTCTCGACCATGGAGCTGTTTCTCCATATAAACTAAGTAGGAAGGGAGCTTAGGTGACAGAGATGGAAATCAAAATCACAAAAGCATAAAAAGTTAGAATGCATGTTCTAATGGACAGCTTCTCTTGGAGTCAGTTTAAAATCTGATTTTAGAATACCTAATAATAATAATAATAGTTACTAAGTTATAGATTTTAAATTAGTCATGTAAGAAGTTATAGCTTTTATTGACCACATAAAGTGAGGAAAAAAGTATTTGATCCCCTGCTGATTTTGAACATTTTCCCACTGACAAAGAAATGATCAGTCTATAATTTTAATAGTAGGTGTCTTTTACAGTGAGCGACAGAATAACAAAAAAAATCCAGAAAAAGGCATGTAAAAAAAAAACAACCAAACAACATTTGGTGTGATTATTCGCAAATGGAATAAACACAAAATAACTGTCAGTCACCCTCGGTCTGGTGCTCCATGCAAGATCTCACCTCGTGGAGTTTCAATGATCATGAGAATAGTGTGGAATCAGCCCAGAACTACACGGGAGGCTTTTGTTTATGATCTCAAGGCGGCTGGGACCATAGTCACCAAGAAAACAAATTGGTAACACACTGCGCCGTGAAGGACTGAAATCCTGCAGCGCCCGCAAGGTTCCGCTGTTCAAGAAAGCACATGTACAGGCCTGTCAGAAGTTGCCAATGAACATCTAAATGATTTAGAGAACTGGGTGAAAGTGTTGTGGTCAGAGGAGACCAAAATCAAGCTCTTTGTCATCAACTCAACTCGCCGTGTTTGGAGGTGGAGGAATGCTGCCTATGACCCCAAGAACACCATCCCAGGAACAGTATATAGCAGCGGTTCCCAAAGTGTTGGTCGCAGGGCGATTCCCAGTGGGTCGAGCTGACCCACAAATCCAGGGGTGCCGGAGACTCGGGAATCAGGTAGGCAGACTGATCAGGAGGGGGCCCAGCTTGCCCTGCATGCCGCCGGGCCCTCCAATTAATCTGCCCAGCAGCTCCGGCTGCAGCTCTGCCGAGTGCAGAGCTGCAGACCGTGTGATAAGTCTCACGAGCACCCCGAGTGTTACCATGGCAAGACTTCTATCACACAGTCTGCAGCTCTGCACTCTGTACAGCAAAAAAAGCGTAATTTAATGCAGTTGGATATCCAGATTAATAATATTAAAGAACAACTTAAACCAGTAGTTAATTGTACAGAAATTGATAATGCATTAAGAATGGTGAAAAATAATGTGGAAAAAGTGGAGGAAAATACACTAATTATTAAAAAGAGGAAGCTCCAAAGGGATCAAAATGATTACGCTTTGAATCAAGTTAGATCCTTTTCCCGGAATTATCATCAGGATTACTCTTACCGTAATAAGTCTAATCAATTTTCTAATAATTTGGATCGTAGGTTCTCAGGTATGCCGAAAGGGAAAATTCGTAATGGTGCATCACCTATGTCTAGAAAATTTAGAGAACCCATTCATCCTTCTTACCAATATCAGAATAAGAAGTTGTCTGCTCCGGTTTCTTCACCGGGTTGGCAGAGGAGCAGAAATAGAAATAGAAATGGTTCTAGAACTAGTTCCGCTCCTGTTTCTTCACCGGTTTGGCAGGAGAATAAAAATAGAAATGGTTCCAGAACCAATGTCGCTCCACTGCCACCCAGGTTTTCTCAGACTAATAGATATAGAATCTTGTCAGAGGATTCCACAGGAGACAAGTATCAAGAGAACTCTTCATCTTTCCCTTCATCCACTGCTCCTTTTTTAGGGTCGCATCCCCCACAAAGAACCGAACGATTAATGAGAAAGAGAAATTGGGTTCAAGAAGAAGGGGAATTAGAAGTGGAAGACCCATTAAAGGAAAGATCAACACTTAGGTGTAGTTAATTTATCAAATAAAACCCTTACTGGAGATCAACTGAGAGTGTTAAGTAAGGGACTAAAATTTGCCCCTACGTGTTTCAATGATGCTTTTAATTCTTTCATTGATTTACAGAAGTTTAATCGTAAATTGTGTTTAAAAAATTTTTTTTTAAAACATCCTCAAAAAAACTTTTTGGACTGTAAAGAAAATCATGATGAGAATGATGATATGGTACATACTAAGTTAAAAAATAAGTCAAAATTTTTTCCCAAATATCACTCTAGTGGGGCCATGCAGGTTTTTGAAAGACTAGTTGTAGAAGATATTAAGAAAATTCCTAAAAATAAAAATAAAAATATAAGATGTGAAAATAACCTTAAACTAACAGAAAGAAGAGCCCTTTTAGAACTAAGTAAAGATGAACAGATTATTATAAAACCCGCTGATAAAGGGGGGGCTGTGGTGATTCAAAATAGGGAAGATTATATAAAGGAGATTTATAGACAATTGGGGGATTCGAACATCTATTCCAAGTTGTCAGGGAATCCTATGGAGTCTATTAAAAACAAATATTTGAAATTAATAGAAAAAGGACGGACACTTAAGATTCTGAATAAGGATGAGTATGATTATTTAAATGTGAAAGTTTCAAAAATCCCTGTGTTCTACACCCTCCCCAAAATTCATAAAAATAATACAAATCCACCGGGTAGACCAATAGTGGCTGGGGTGAATTCACTATTGAGTCGGCTGTCTGAATATATAGATAGACTGCTGCAACCAGTAGTCACCTCACGACCTACTTACCTTAAGGACTCATCCCATCTCATTAGAGAATTACAAAATATAACATGGGAAGAGGGTTACATATTGGTAACCTGTGATGTCAATAGTTTGTATACTATTATCAAGCATGATTTAGGGTGTGATTCTGTTAGACATTTTTTATCAGACAGTTCAGTTCCAGAAACTCAAAGAGATTTTATTGTAGAGGGTATTCAACTCATTTTGCACAATAATTTTTTCTGGTTTGAAGGTTCTTATTTTCTACAACTTATTGGGAATGCGATGGGGACCAAGTTCGCACTGGGTTACGCTAATTTATTTATGTCCTTCTGGGAGGAATCTTTCCTCTCAGGGGATGTATCCTGGAGTGCGGACTTGGTCCTCTATCGCAGATATATAGACGATATTTTTTTTATTTGGAAGGGGGGAGAACAGCACCTTACTTCATTTTTGCAATTTTTGAATGATAATTCCAGGAATATTACCCTTTCTAGTGAACATAGTATTTCCCATGTTAATTTTCTGGATTTAGTCATTTATATAGAGGATTCTTGTATTAAAACGAAAACGTTTTTTAAACCGGTTGATGTCAATAGTTATATTGACACGACCAGTTGTCACCATGCTCCTTGGATCAATAATATGCCAAAAGGACAGTACATACGGATGTTGAGGAATTGTACTGATCCTCATCAATTTGATATTCAAGCTGATACTCTAACCTCTTTTTTTAAAGAAAAACACTATGACCCTATAGTTTTAAAAGAACAAGTTTCTCAAGTTAAAAAAATGAAGAGAACTGAGGTACTTAAATATAAACCAAAGAAGGATACAGTAATAGGAGAGAAAGAATGTGTACCTCTAATTTTGGACTATAATGTTAATTCTAAACAAATTAAACATATAATCAACAAACATTGGCATGTCTTGAAAACAGATGAGGATCTTAAGGATATTATAAGTGATAAGCCGAAAATTATTTTTAAAGGTGCTAAAAATATTAAAGACCATTTAGTTAAAAGTTTCGTCAATTGTAAACAGGGAGATAAGAACGTTTTTAATCAAAAACCAGGTTTTTATCCGTGTAAAATGTGCTTGCCATGTAAAAACACTACTTTTAAGAAAGATACACAAATTACGTTCAAATCCAATGTCACAGGAACCTGTTTTAAGATACGTGATATTGTTACATGCCATTCTACTAATGTGGTGTATCTCCTCTGGTGTCCCTGTGGGCTCCAGTATGTGGGAATGACCACTAGGAGTCTGAAAACCCGCATTATGGAGCACATGGGGAACATACGGAGGGGATACACCAAACATAGTGTATCAGCACATTTTTTAGAATACCATAATGGTGACGCTTCTCTTTTAAGTTTCATGGTGATTGGGAAAAAACGTATGAATTGGAGAGGGGAGGATAATGTCCGAGAATTAAGTAAATTAGAGGGTAAATGGATTTTTACCTTGGACACTATGTGCCCTAAAGGTCTTAATATAGATTTCGAATTAGTTCATTTTTTATTAAAAATTTAAATATATATAATTTTTTTTAATATTTTTTAATATTTATAGTACTTGTTATTAATATATTTTTATGTTTTTTTTTCTTTTGGACATTTCCCCTCTTCAATACACAATTTTTCAATTTTTTGTTTTATTTATTATGCCTTGTGTTTTAAGAATATGTATGCACCGATCTACTAATTCACTACTTGCTATTTTCTTTGTTTCTACACCATGTGGATTAAGTTTGTTTGGGCATATGCCCTTTCCCAATATGGACATCCTTGGGACTGTTTATACCATGCTCGAGTGTGGAACGCATGGTGGAACGCAAAAATATCATGTGACCGCATCTAACCGGAAGTCACGTGCGTTTTGCCGAAACCGGAAGTGACACGATCGGCGGTATTTGGAGACTACAGCTGGACCTATTTGAACATATCAAGGGGGCTATTTAAGCCCTGAAGTTTTTTCCAGGAACTTAGCAATGAGGAAGGCCCTATCAGGGGCTGAAACGCGTTTGCACTTTACTGGACTTCTCTATTGGGACTTTTTTCTGGCGGTATTTTCTTATTGTTTATGTATTGTAGTGTTCCACTGCTTTAAAGTTTTGGCCACATTTGCGGTGCAATACTGTATTATATTTCATGATTATACCTGCCTTGTCCCTAGTTATTTATATATTTTATTTCAATATTTTATTTCAATAAATTTGTATTTACATCTACTACTGTGGACCTCGAGTTCTTCTAACAGGAATCTATCGAGAGCCTGAATAGGCACCCAAGAGTGATGTGCATAGAGCCTATGAGGCTCCACCTTTGTGAGTTCAATCCACATATATTATAATTTGTTTATTTTAATTTATATGGAAAGCACTATGTATGTTCCATTTGTTTTTCAGATGTAACCAACATATTTACGTCTACAATAGGTGGTATACCTATTTATGTATATATTTTGTATATACTTTTTTTGAGTGTGTGTGAACCTATCTATTTATCTTCAAACTTGAGAGTTAACCCACTGAACCACCAGGGAGACACTGGACCACCAGGGAATTAAATAAAGGTAGGACACAGCCCCCCAGACCCTGCCCCCAACCCCCCCAATGTAACCCCTTCACTCCCTGCCCCCCCACACACTGTAACCTCTTCTCTCCCTGCCCCCACACTTGTAACCTCTTCTCTCCTGCCCCACACTGCCCCTTCTCCCCTGCCCAACACTCTTGAAACCCCTTCTCCCCTGCCCCCACTGTAACCTTCTCCCCCCTGCCCCCCACACTGTAACCCCTTCTCTCCCTGCCCCCACACAAACCCCTTCTCTCCTGCCCCCCACTGTAACCCCTTCTCTCCCGCCCCCACACTGTATCCCCTTCTCTCCCTCCTCCCCCACACTGTCCCTTCTCTCTCCCCTCCTCACACACTGTATCCCCTTCTCTCCCTCCTCCCACACTGTAACCCATTCTCTCCCTGTCCCCCCCACACTGTAACCCCCTTTCTCCCTGCCCCTCACTGTAACCATTTCTCTCCCTGCACCCCATTGTAACCCTTTTTCTTCTTGCCCCCACACTGTAACCATTTCTCCTCCTGCCCACCCACTGTAACCCTCTCTCACCCTGCCCTTATGCTGCCCCCCCAAACTGTTACCAGCAAACATACTCCTCCCACACTCACCCTCACCTCCTCTCTCTGCGTGTATGTGTATCTGTGTGTATTGTGTGTCAGCATGTATCGGTGTACATGAGTGTGTGTTATCTGTGTGTGGGAAACTACGTGTGTGTGTGTGTGTGTGTGTGTATTTGTCTGTCTCTGTATGTGTATGCCTCTAAAATGGAATGCCATGACATGCCAATTTTAGGCATCTAAAGCTGATTTCCATGGTGTGCCAATTGTATGCCTCTGAAGTCGATTGCCATGATATACGCTGTACTGGGTCTGGTGACTATAGTGTGCCTATAAGAATCATATTTTTGACGTTGAAAAATCTGTCTGCTAACTTTTTTAGCTGGCTCCTTGATTTCAAGCAAATTTGTCAAGTACTGACGTAAAGCAATATTTTGAAATTAAAAAGGGAAAAAAAAAACACACAACTTAAAACAGATGCCATACTGTTACATAGTTGCTTAGCTGAAAAGAGACATGCATCCATCAGATCTGTTTTTGCTGTTGATCCAGTTTAAAGTGCTTCCGATTTTCCAAACACTAGTGTTTACACTAATAAGATGTTAGCTGGTCCCCTATTTATTGTAGTATACGGATAATGCATTAAAAATGCACAAAATGTTTAATGCATTTTCGTTAGGAAAAATAAATAATTGTTCTTTTAATTCATTGTTTAATGAATAAACACCTGTGTGTTCTTGCACACCTAGGAAAGCTGTCACATTTGAAATAATTGCACAATATGTCCAGCTTCCTAAGGTCACCTTCCCAGATGGTAACCTCCTTAAACAGAAAATATATTTAAAAAAAAAACAAAAAAAAACAGGATACAGTTGTGCACCTGAAATGAAATTAGCAACACATAGTGAACTATTGTTATGTAATATGGAAAATAACACTATACTGGTTGCACTCACAGAAATGATGAATGGTTTGAAATGTTGTGCAAGTAATGCATTTGATCACTATTTAGGATTGATTAAGCTGGTGTGTTTTTGTTTTTTTTGTACATGAGATCAGAATTGTTTACATTAACCCCTAAAGACGGGAGGGCAGCTCTAAACACCGCCGGGCGTAATTGTACGCCCTCCGGTTTTTGTTTACTTAGCGTCAAATATAAGGCTTGCGTTTCATTTTTTTCACATTAAAATTTGCCAGATTGGTTACGGTGCCTTTGAGACCCTATAGTAGCCCAAGAATGAAAATTACCCCCATGATGGCATACCATTTGCAATAGTCTTTTTTAGTAGCCACTTAGTCACAAACACTGGCCAAAATTGGTGTTTTTTGCATTTTTCACACAAACAAATACTAACGCTAACTTTGGCCAGTGTTTGTGACCAAATGGCTACTAAAAAAGACTGGACATACCCCATTTGCAATACCTTGGGTTGTCTACTATTGCAAATGGTATGCCATTATGGGTGTCAATTTCATTCCTGGCTACTATAAAGTCCCAAAGGCAACGTAACCAATCTGGCGAATTTCAATTTCTAATGTAACGTGCTATATTTGACCCTGTAACTTCCCAAAACGCCATAAAACCTGTACATAGGGGGTACTGTTTTACACGTGAGACTTTGCTGAATACAAATATGTGTATTTTATTGCAGTAAAAGCAAACAGTATTATGACATTGACAGTTAAAATGTCATGTAGAACTAAAATCAAAAAATCTTATCTTCTCCCATTTTTTTCATATTAAATTATGTTTCATAGCTACATGTTTGATATTAAATGAAAGCCCTGTTTCCCCTGAATAAAATGATACATAATAAGGGTGGGTGCATTTAATATGAAAGAGGTAAATTACGGTTGGACAGACATGTAGCGCAAATGCCAGGTTTTGTTTACATTTTGTTTTGTTCACAACGTGTACATTTGGCTCAGTCCTTAAGGGGTTAAAGGTGCAACATACTAAGCAGTAAAAGTTCTATTTTGTCCAGATGATCTTGAGAACTGTTATAGTATCAGTTTGTTTTCATGTCAGAAATTGTACTCTAAACATGTGACCAGTGTGTATGTACGGTATGTAACTGAAATAGCAGAAATAACGTCACAAGATATGTAAAACAATTTAGATCATCAGTGGGCCTCTGACCTTTCTGCAGGTTATAACAGCCAGCAGTAAGCATTCAAGCCTTCCAGTGGTATGCAGAGACTTGTAACAAGATATGCCTCTAGTACTTACTCTTCCTTTCTTTGTTGTCATGTTAATCAGTTACAAAATAGAGGAAAAATAAGGAACAAGTAAATATACTCTAGTACATGCATAGGCAACCTTCAGCACTCCACTAATCAGCCACAACATTAAAACCACTGACAGATGAAGTGAACAACATTATATCATTACAATGGCACCTGTCAAACTGTGCAATATTAGGCAGCAAATGAATTCAGTTCCTGAATTTCATATGTTAGAAACAGTAAAAAGTGGCATGCAAAAACATCTGAGTAACTTTTGTAAGAGGCAAATAGTGATGGTTAGACAACTGGATCAGAACATCTCCAAAACTGCAAGTCTTGTGGCGTGTTCTCAATATTCAGTGGTTAGTACCTACCGAAAGTGGGTGCACATAGCTAATTGATGCACATAGCTCAAATTGCTAAAAATGTAATTCTGTCGACGAAAGAAAGGTGTGAGAACAGAAAATTAATTGCAGCTTGCTGTGTATGGGGCTTCACAGCTGCAGACTGGTCAGAGTGGCCATAATGACCCCTATCCACTGCCAAAAGCACCTTTAATGGAGACATAAATTTCAGAATTGGACCATGAGCAATGGAAGAAGGCTGCTTGGTCTGATAATCATCTTCTTTTAGATTAGGTGGATGGCTGGGTATGATTGCATTGTTATCTGCAGAAGAGTTGGCAGCAGGATGCACTATGGGAAGAAATCAGGCTGGCAGAGGGAGTGTACTGCTGGGAAACATTGGGGCCTTGCATTCATGTGGAACATGACAAAGAATTCAAGGTGTAGCTGTTGTAGAATTATTAGGCCTCTATAAATCTGTAAGGCCCCTTTAAATCCTCTTGCTATACCTCTAAGAGGCCCCCATAGTTTTACAAGGAAGCTTTGTCTATAGAACATAGAATTTGCATGTCAGCAAGAAATAGCTTTGATAAAATGTGTATTTACTAAAATCCTTGAAACTTAACCTTGAGAAACTAACAAGTGCCAGCTACGCTCCAAATGGATAGCTGCCAAAAGGCCCCTCCCGTCGAGTGAGCTCCTCATGTTAGCAAAATGGCGCTAAAACCTGTAGGAGTTAAGAAATGACGTAGATAGTGACCTAAGAATGGGGAGGGCATTTTACTAACATCTTAGCACCTAAGCCAATTAACAATGTCTATTTGTCTATATCTTGATTTTCTTCAATGATGTAATAATGCCTTTATAAGGGTCTGCGCACCCATTTTCTGTCAGAAGCCATTAAACTTCTCTGAAGTTCTTTCATTACCCTGAACCTTGTGTCTCAGTGTGAATTTACTTCTGCGTGCACGCAACTTTATTATCTTTAATTTGGACAGGAACAGATAGTCATTCAAACTAATTGGTTTGCAGTAAATTATCTACTACATAGCCATGACCTCCAAATTCACCAGATCTCAATCTGAGTATCTGTGGTATGTGCTGGAACAACAAATCCGAACCATGGTGGCCCCACTTCACAACTTTCAGGGCTTAGAGGATCTGCTGCTAATACCTTGGTACCAGATACCACAGGACACATTTAGAGGTCTTGTGGAGACCATGCCTCGATGTGTCAGAGCTAATTTAACAGCACTAAGGGGACCCTGCAAAACTAGTGTACGTAAAAGCAGGAAAAAAAAATAAGATTTAGGAGGCACACCCAAAGCATGCATTTTATAAAGGGACAGCACCAGTAGACTGTGAGGCACTATAAATAATTTAATGACATTAAATGGTTATGGTGTCTATAGTGTACTTTTAATACATTTGATATGTTTTGACAAAAAATATGCAGATTTTTTTTTGCATGCTGATATCTATTTTTTTTTTTTTTTGCACAAATCAAAAAAATAGATGTTTTGCAGAATGCTCATCCCCTCATGCCAAAAAGACTTCCTTATTAAATGTATGCACAAAATCCCAGTCCAAGCACAACTGAGAGCAACTGCTTTTACTTCACAGCCTGGCTTCAGACAGTCAGATAAACTATGAACCCATGCTCCACCCCAGGGGCCCATAACTAAATATGCATTCAAGTCACATACACACATACATTCCCCCTGGGGTTAAAGATCATATGCCTCTCTGAACAATGTAGATGAAATATAAACTCCCTCACAGACCACCCCATTCACCTTATCACAGTGTGTATCTATGTATGTCTGCGTATGTATGTGCCAGTGTGTGTATGTGCACCTGTTGTGCCAGTGTATCTGCCAGTGTGTATGTGTATTTCTGTTTGTTAATGTGTGTGTATGTGCAGACATCCCAGCAAACACCAACACAACATGCAATCACACCCCTGCAAACACAAACATGACATACAAAGACACCCCTGAAATCCAACTCTAAAATTATATACCAACACTCAAACACACCCTTTACTCAAACACCAATACTTCACACAAATGAACATCCGCATTTAAAATCCAACAACACACCACTGCACGTATATGCAAGCATAACATACAAACACACCCCTGTATATACAAACACCAACTCTACACAAAGAAGCACACCTGCTACTAAGTACTACAATCTGTAGAAATTTGCCAAAAAAAAAGAAAACATTATACTCTGTTAATTAAAAGGTTTGTGCTGTGGCGCAAAATTTTTTGGGGCTTCCATGATGTTGGTACACTATGTCAAAGGGTTCCACGGGAAAAATTAATTGGGAACCCCTGCCTTACTGTATGCTTTTCTGGGTGTCATCGCCTAATGCACGTGGCTTTGTAGTTCATATCACTCAGTGCTGTCAGAAGCTAAACTGTGTGCATACCTTTTAAGAGGAAGTCTTTTTTTAAGTGAGGGGCTGTGGCTATGGAGGCAGGTGTAATGATGTTTGAATGCAAGGAATCTGTTTATGTAGTGCTACTGTTTGAATTTAGGAGTGTGTGTAATGTTCGTGTCTGCATGCAGCCACACACATACATACACAATGCCACACACAGAAAAAAATCCACACAAAGATGCAATTCTATCTCACCCTTGGCAAACATGCAAAAACGCTACATGAAATTTTACTTCAGATGATGTTCCTTAATATGCTAACTAGGAGTTAATAAATCTGGAAAACAGAATGCCAATGTATTTAATGTAAGTCCAGGTCCTAGTAGCCAATCAATATATAAACACTTTGCTGAGGGGGGAGGCACAAAGAAGGTGGAGAGGCACACAAAGGGGTTTTGGGTAACAAAGAGATGCAAAGAGGGGTTAGGGGGGGACAAATACACATAAGGGAATGGGGGGGACCAAGACACACAGAGGGGCTAGGGGAACAGAAGGGCTAAGGGAGAATAGAGACACAGAGGGGCTGGGTGGGCGAAAGTGACCCTTAAAGGGACACTATAGTCACCTGAACAACTTTAGCTTAATGAAGCAGTTTTGGTGTATAGAACATGCCCCTGCAACCTCACTGCTCAATCCTCTGCCATTTAGGAGTTAAATCCCTTTGTTTATGAACCCTAGTCACACCACCCTGCATGTGACTTGCACAGCCTTCCATAAACACTTCCTGTAAAGAGAGCCCTATTTGGGCTTTCTTTATTGCAAGTTATGTTTAATTAAGATTTTCTTATCCCCTGCTATGTTAATAGCTTGCTAGACCCGGCAAGAGCCTTCTGTATGTGATTAAAGTTCAATTTAGAGATTGACATACAATTATTTAAGGTAAATTACATCTGTTTGAAAGTGAAACTAGCTTTTTTTCATGCAGGCTCTGTCAATCATAGCCATGGGAGGTGTGGCTATGGCTGCATAAACAGAAACAACGTGATTTAACTCCTACATGACAGTGAATTGAGCAGTAAAATTGCAGGGTAATGATCTATACCAGGGATAGGCAACCTACGGCACTCGTGCCATGCACGGCACTCAAGGTGTCTTTGCACGGCACAGCTCTAGCCTATCAGGAGTCCCAGTGAAACTTCAGATACCTGCTAATACAAAAAGGTGGTGAAGGACAATCCTCAATTTATGCATTGCAACACATAGAGGAAGTGATCTCTGATCACTTCCTCCCAGCACTTGTGAATGGGAATCCACACTGTAGTAGAGCAGCCTGCAGCTGCTGTTGCAGCTCCTGTCCTTGACCTGTACCTGGCCAGCCTGGTCCCCACTGGAACCCAGGGAAGCCACACACACTGCTAAATATACACAGAAATGCACAATAACCCTCCCCTCATACAAATAATACGAACAGCCCACAAACATACACACAATCCACATACATGCACACAACCCCACATGCAGTCTCTGACATGCAATACCCCAAACAGACCCCACACATACACACAATTCCATAAGCAGCCCCTATACACAGCCTACATTCATATGTTGCATACACGATACCACAAACTACTCCTGAACATACACATAATAGCTCATGTACGTACAAATATTCAACGATACAAAGCAATTACAGTATAAATAACTCAAGCAGAATCCTATATCGGCACAGTGTTGCTAAAAGGTTGCCTACCCCTGATCTATAAACTAAAACTGCTTTATTTAGCTAAAGTAATTTAGGTGACTATAGTGTTCCTTTAAAGGTGCTGGGAGAACAAGGACACATAGAGGGGCTGGGGGAAGAAAGAGATTCACAAATGTGCCGAGAAAGAAGAGCCAAACAGAGGAGCTGGGGAAGGGGGAAAAAAAAGAGACATACAAAAGGAGTTGAAGGAGAAAGAGACACACAAACTTGACAATTTTTGTTTTGCAAGTGGCTGATTTTGCTAAAATAGTCTTTAACTGGCCATAAACCCATCAATCATATATGTATGCTCTAACTCTTTATTTTTTGTAGCAGGGAAATTCACATCCAATTTGGTTTATATTCTCAAGTAATTCTCACTGCAACAAAGAGATCCCTTTGAAAATAGCAGGGATCTATGGGCTAAAGAAAATCAACTGAATTAGTGAATAAATAGACCCCTATATCCAGTGCCACATTTACCCCTCTCTGACTTTATACTACAACCTCTTCTCACCTGTTCCATATCATCTGCTGGGATTATAACTATTCACAGGTTGTGCTGAGATAAAAGGACCGATGAATACTTGTTTTACTGAGAAATCCTTGTGTGCAAGACCATTACATATCACCATCGGCTGTTCTCCTTTGCACTTATCTATTAAACTCCAATATCCTTACTCTTATAAAGGCCAAAGTTTAACAGTTGTCATTTTGTAAGGTTGTGAAATTCAGGACAGAGGAGAATGAACCAATCTTGAAAGCTTTGCATTTTTTTTATAACTGAGAAGTAGATAGTGAAAACGAAATTGCACTTTGTAAAACAGAATACAGGGCAGGTAATTTCTTAATATAAATGCCCTACATTAAATATATTGCACTGCAATTATTTCTCATATGCGCACACACATGCAAATGGTTTCTTTTTTTTATTTTGCCTTTAACTTTTTCTTTAACTAAAACTGGGGGTTTTGAGGTATTAGTTGCACAGCCCCCAAGTCACCTATTGCTGGTGTGGACGTTCCACTTCCACATTAGCAGTAAAAATGTCATCCATATTTAGATGGCAGTGATAGGCTAAGCCAACCACTTAAAAGTATGTAGTGGCTTGGTGCTTTCATATTATCCCTTTAACTTTCACATGCAGTCCATACAGCTTTACTACTGATCAGAAAAACCAAGGTTATAACACGATGCACAACATTATTAATAAAAAAAATTATTTTTAAAAAATGTTTAAAAAACAGGAAATACTCAAGTCTGGGAGGGAAGTACACGAATTAATTATTAAATAATAATGACGCCTACCCACCATAACTACAAACAAGACTACAAATTGCACTAAAGGTGTGGGAGCCGGGATTACACCTCTAATCATAGAGGAATCCATAAGACACTGCTTAGCTAAAAGTATATTTGTTGTTGTTGGTTTTTTCCTGTAGTACACATTACATGGCAAAACTGTTCATGCAATTAACTACAGCACAGAGGAGGGAAAAGTGAAGTATGTGGTGGATTTGGCAAACATAAGCCATTACAAATGAAAGCAACGTGGACGATAATGTCAGGGATCATTTTTATTTTTACTGCAGGTTGTTGTTGCTTCTTCAAATTAACCATTATCCTTGCCTTGGCATATAATACTATGCTTGATTAGATACCCGTGTATTGCTGCCTAGGGCATTACTGGTTGCATAAGGTTACATAAAATATATGTCTCCTACTCTTAAGAAATAATTCTCTTCCATTAACTATTTAACTGTCAGTTAACCCTTTCAGAAAAGACGACTCCTCACCATTAAAATTGTCCAGCCCGTTTATATCTCACCATTCTGAAGTAGGCAACTATGTTTGAGTATAACCAGCGCATAGTCACCAGAACTCTGCCAGGAATCAGCTTCACTGAGCTACTACTGCATTAGGAAGCAAACATCGAATCTCCACTAAGGGAGCGTCTGCAAACCACTCGCATGCTGGAAACAGGCGCAGCACTGGTTTTGTAATGTAAATTGATGTACACTTTATCCACATCCTCAGAGCAATTCAGAACTATGTCCTTCGGAAGGATAAGCGCAATAAAAATAGCTTTTAACGCCAGTTCCGTAAATTTCCAGGTAGGATACTTTGTACACAGTCCCTTGTGGCTGGATAGCTAGGATTCTAGTGTGGGTTCCAGAGGGCGGAGATCTTGTGACCATGCCCTGCTGTCAGAGCATCCCCTTCTGCTAGCATCTTGGATAAAACGCGGCAAATTCTAAATAAATACAGTGATTCTCAGTCTACTTGTGCAGAACGAGGGAATCTTAGAAATGTTACTGATCGGGTTATTTACTGAAGGGAATTTCAAACAGAGTAATTCACTGAACAGTGAATTGAATAGAATTAAAATCTAAATGGTTAAATAGCCAAACTGTGACTGTAGCAGTGTTGCAGAATTATTATTTTAAGTTTTGCAATGCTGCTTCCAATTCTCCTATATTTAACAGCTAATGGACAGAGGTGGCATACCTCCTCCCATGATCCGCAGCCGCTGAGGCAGGACTGGCTGGGCTCCTGCTGCTAAAGTGCTCCCTGCATATTCATGCCTGCTGCACAGCACATCTAATGATGTGTTATTGTTATACTACTTGTGAACAGTACCCTGGATTTGGTTTCCAGGGAACTAAAGTAGGACAGGACTGCGAAGTTGGGGGTGTCCCTCAAAAACAGGACTCTTGGTAGGACTATTCATATGCATTGGTCCCTGCACCTTGGAGACTGAATACTCCTGTGGTGGACCCAGGGCCTAAGACTCTTACACCAGGCAGCACATTCCCATGTGGATGTGTTACCATTAAAGTTGTCAGTAACTCCGGTGGGTGCAGACCAATTGAATACCTCCCTGGGTTGGGGAACACACATACACACTGACAGGCATACACACACACTGACATACATAAAGACATAAATGCAGGTAAAATTTTATACTTTTGTAGCCACCCTCCAGTTCCCTGCCTTTATAGTGCTGGAAGGTTGTTTCCCTGGGGTACAGTATTTTGGCTAAGGGAGTTGGAAGTTAGGTGCTGGCTCTTCCAGGCAAGCCTCCCTCTTCTTTGCTTTCTCCTGCTGCTCTCCAGTTCGGCCTCCTTCTCTCTGCTCCCTCCAGCGTGGCTCCAGTCTGTGCTGAAAAGAATGGGGCCCGGTCACGCTGTTAAGACAGGGCCCCTGCTGACAAATGCCCAACGGGTGACCCTAAGTGCATGGCCCTGAGTGTGAGGGCCCCAGAGCAGTCACACCGGCTGCACCAGCGGTAGTTCGGCCACTGGTCACAGTGATAAACACACACACACTACACTCTACAGGCTTTGTAACACAAAAACACTACTACTACACCACCACACACAAACACAGTTACATACACATACATTGCTATCCACAGAGGTGTATCAGTCTGTGTAAATAAGAAACATTGTTCTTGCTGGAAATTACATTTTAGTTGCATAAATTGTTATAAGGAAGTCACCTAACATTTCTGACATGACCCGCACCTAGCCACACCCCCAGCCACACTCCTAAAATGAAAGTGTTGTTTTTGGTCCAGTTGAAATTTTGGGAGTGGCACGTGCCATACCCTAGGTATGCTACTGGCTATACACACACATCAAAACAAATAGTTTTTTGTTACTTTGCTGTTGCATGTTTGTGGGGTTGCTGCATGGATGAGGTTGTTTGTAGTGTGTGTGGGGAGAAATGGGGCTGTAATGAGTGAGGGTAAATAAGAGCAGGTGTGTGTAAAGGTAAAATTGGAACATTATAAATCAGGGTGGATAGAGGCTTTCAGTGAAGCTTTAAAAAAATAAAAACAAAAAATTGTTAATTCCCCTCTCACTCTTGGAAGGGGAAAGGAGAAGTTGATCCTTGGTGGTCCAGTGGGCTGGGTATTTGTTCTGCATCTCCAGGGGGTGCAGACCATGTCCATTGCTCCCTCCGCCTAATGAAGTAGAGCAGTGTTCTGCAGCCTTTTAGTTGTTCTGAACACTGGATTAGAGTGTTGCCGACAGGCTATCATGGCTATGCTCTAATTCAGGGGTCCCAGGCCGCAAGGTCCGCAAGAATGACGCTCGTCCGCAAGAATTTATTGCCGGTCCGCGAAAGCTTTCACCCGACTATACCGTCGGGTGAAAGCTTGCGGACCGGCAATAAATTGCCGCAAGATATTTCCCCGGTGCTATGATCATAGCACCTGGGAAATGTGCCTCCCTCTCCCCTGCTGGCTCTGCAGAACCGGAGCGGAAATCAGAGATTTCCCTCTCTGACCCGCTCGCAGTGTACTGCTGGCAGCTGGCAGGGGAGGGAGAGAGGACCCGGAGGAGCTCTAACCTGCAGCTCAGCCGGGTTCTCCTCTCGCGAGCTCAGAGTGTTGCAGCAATTACCACAGCAACGCTCCGAAGCTTGCAAGAGTGAAATCTAGCGGCTCCTGAGGCTGCTAGAGTTCACTCTCACCACTGGGACCACCAGGGATTGCAGGAAATGTTCCCCCTCCCAGGTAAGCAGGGAAGGGGGATATCAACATTACTATTTTTCTTTTAATTAAAAATATATATATATTTATTAATCTACCCTCCAACCCCACAGACCCACAATCATTCTCCCATATACACACACTGCCACCCATTCACACACACACAAACTGCACCTCTCCCACACACACACACAAACTGCACCCCTCACCCACACACACACATACTGCACCCCTCACACACACACACACACTGCATCCCTCACATATACCATTGGGTTTCATTTCTGTCTGATGCCGGTTCACGAAATATTTCTCTTTTCGCCGGTCCCCAGGTGCTAAAAGGTTGCAGAACACTGCTCTAATTCATTAGCATGTGTAAGCCAGAGGGAGCAATGAACATGGTCTGCATCCCCTGGAGATGCAGAACAAATACCCAGCCCACTGGACCACCAGGGATCAACTTCTCCTTTCCCCTTCCAAGAGTGAGAGGGCAATTAACAAGGAAAAAGCAGAGAAGAGGGAGGCTTGACCGGAAGAGCCAGCACCTAACTTCCAACTACCTCAGCCAAAAGACTGTACCCCAGGGAAACCACCTTCCAGCACTATAAAGGTAGGGAACTGAAGGGTGACTATAAAAGTATAAAATGTTACCTCTATTTATGTATGTCAGTGTGTGTGCATGCCTGTCAGTGTGTATGTGTGTGTGCCTTTCAATTTTACACAATGATTTGCTCAGTACTCTAAGGACTATATAAGAATTTTAAACATGTTTGTAAAAGCATATGTTAGTAAGGTGCTATTGCACATAGAAATTAATAGAAAACAGGGTGGAGGTGCAGTGCCTTGATAGTGCTCGGTTTAGTATAGGACTATCAAGGCGCTGCAACCTCCCCCCTGTTTTCTATCCAGCTTTTGATCGGAAGAGAGAGACTCCGTATTTGGTGATAGAGCTGCCATTTGGACTGTAATCATTTGACTTAAGCACTGAATTATAACTGTATGTTATCTTGTACATAGAAATTAATGTTTTTGTTGCACGAGCACTTCAAGAGTGTATTGCAAGTTGTTTTTGCACAGGTGTTGTGACACATTAAATAGTAAATATGGGGGGGCCTGACAGCCAAGATTGCCGGACGTGCTTTCTAAAAGCTCCAGTGTAACCGCTGGTGGTTCCCTTATTTACCACTATAATGTCTTAAAGCATAGAACTTAGTAGGGCTAACCATACAGATATCTTAGCCATAATTTTATATAGTGTAAGAGATCCTCTATTTAACATATATAAATAATTGAGAATACAATATAAAATAAGGATTGTCTTGGAAACAATAGTTTTGTCTTTTTGGATATTTATTATATAAAAATATAAATATAAAATCCATTATAGCAGAGTTTATAAGATTAAACTAAATGCTTGCAAATATCATTAATAGATTAACATACCCTTCTGA